GACGGAAAAGCATCAAAATTGCGACCAAAAACTCCCTAACGCTCAAACAGCAGGGCCCTGAAGGACGGAAAAGCATCAAAATTGCGACCAAAAAAGGCATAATGTAACTTCTGAAACCCATAGAAAAGGGTTATTTTTTAGTTACTTTTTCCTTCTGCTGCTGCTGCTCCTGCTCTTGCTGCTCCTTCTGTTCAAAAGATAGCTCCCGGATGGGAATTTCCAAGCTCAGAAACGGCGCCTCCGCCACGCTCAAACAGCAGGGCCCTGAAGGACGGAAAAGCATCAAAATTGCGACCAAAAAGTGCCTAATGTAACTTCTGAAACCCATAGACAAGGATTATTTTTTAGTTACTTTTTCCAGCAGCTGCTGCTGCTCCTGCTCTTGCTGCTCCTTCTGTTCAAAAGACAGCTCCCGGATGGGATTTAAAAGACAGCTCCCGGATGGGAAAACACCATGGCAGTGAAGGACGGAAAAGCGTCAAAATTGCGACCAAAAACTCCCTAATTTCCAAGCTCAGAAACGGCGCCTCCGCCACGCTCAAACAGCAGGGCCCTGAAGGACGGAAAAGCATCAAAATTGCGACCAAAAACTCCCTAATGTAATTTCTGAAACCCATACAAAAGGACGATACTGCCTAATGTAACTTCTGAAACCCATAGAAAAGGATGATTTTTCAGCTACTTTTTCCTCCTGCTGCTGCTGCTGCTGCTCCTGCTCTTGCTACTCTTTCTGTTCAAAAGACAGCTCCCGGATGGGAATTTCCAAGCTCAGAAACGGCGCCTCCGCCACGCTCAAACAGCAGGGCCCTGAAGGACGGAAAAGCATCAAAATTGCGACCAAAAAGTGCCTAATGTAACTTCTGAAACCCATAGACAAGGATTATTTTTTAGTTATTACTTTTTCCTTCTGCTGCTGCTGCTGCTGCTGCTCCTGCTCTTGCTACTCCTTCTGTTCAAAAGACAGCTCCCGGATGGGAATTTCCAAGCTCAGAAACGGCGCCTCCGCCACGCTCAAACAGCAGGGCCCTGAAGGACGGAAAGGCATCAAAATTGCGACCAAAAAGTGCCTAATGTAACTTCTGAAGCCCATAGAAAAGGATTATTTTTTAGTTACTTTTTCCTTCTGCTGCTGCTGCTCCTGCTCTTGCTGCTTTTTCTGTTCAAAAGACAGCTCCCGGACTCAGAAACGGCGCCTCGGCCACGCTCAAACAGCAGGGCCCTGAAGGACGGAAAAGCATCAAAATTGCGACCAAAAAGTGCTTAATGTAACTTCTGAAACCCATAGAAAAGGATTATTTTTTAGTTACTTTTTCCTTCTGCTGCTGCTGCTCCTGCTCTTGCTGCTCCTTCTGTTCAAAAGACAGCTCCCGGATGGGATTCAAAAGACAGCTCCCGGATGGGAAAACACCATGGCAGTGAAGGACGGAAAAGCGTCAAAATTGCGACCAAAAACTCCCTAATTTCCAAGCTCAGAAACGGCGCCTCCGCCACGCTCAAACAGCAGGGCCCTGAAGGACGGAAAAGTATCAAAATTGCGACCAAAAACAGCTCAGAAACGGCGCCTCCGCCACGCTCAAACAGCAGGGCCCTGAAGGACGGAAAAGCATCAAAATTGCGACCAAAAAGTGCCTAATGTAACGTCTGAAACCCATAGAAAAGGATTATTTTATTTTTTAGTTACTTTTTCCTTCTGCTGCTGCTGCTCCTGCTCTTGCTGCTCCTTCTGTTCAAAAGACAGCTCCCGGATGGGAAAACACCATGGCAGTGAAGGACGGAAAAGCGTCAAAATTGCGATCAAAAACTCCCTAATTTCCAAGCTCAGAAACGGCGCCTCCGCCACGCTCAAACAGCAGGGCCCTCAAGGACGGAAAAGCATCAAAATTGCGACCAAAAACTCCCGAATGTAATTTCTGAAACCCATAGAAAAGGATGATTTTTTAGCTACTTTTTCCTCCTGCTGCTGCTGCCCCTGCTCTTGCTACTCCTTCTGTTCAAAAGACAAGAAAAGTAGCCGTCTTCGAGCTTTCCAAGCTCAGAAACGGCACCTCCGCCACGCTCGAACAGCAGGGCCCTGAAGGACGGAAAAGCATCAAAATTGCGACCAAAAACTCCCTAATGTAATTTCTGAAACCCATAGAAAAGGATGATTTTTTAGCTACTTTTTCCTTCTGCTGCTGCTGCTGCTGCTGCTCCTGCTCTTGCTACTCCTTCTGTTCAAAAGACAGCTCCCGGATGGGAATTTCCAAGCTCAGAAACGGCGCCTCCGCCACGCTCAAACAGCAGGGCCCTGCAGGACGGAAAAGCATCAAAATTGCGACCAAAATAGTAGCAGTGCAGTACATCTTCTTCCCTTACGCGCTCCCCCTTGCGTCGGCCGGGGTCGGCGGATATTGGAATGTCATAAAGTGCCACGCCTGCCACGCGAAACGAAGCTACGCGAGGTTTGAAATTTCCAAGAGCGACCGCTTTTGCAACACTAGCCATAGGCACCCGTATGGGCCTCACACGAACGGTTGCGGACGGTTGCGAACGTTTTCGGACGGTTGCGCACCGTCGAGCGAACACAGCCTCAACCCCCAGACCCCCAGAGTGAAACGGAAACCTTTGCTACGCATTCGGGAAAAAGGAATCAAGAGGATGGAATGGTGAAAATTTTCCTTTTTTTCTCAGGCCTGTGAATGACTATGACTTGATTCTGGGGTTTGCTCTATGTCTTAGAAACTATGTGTGTTGTTGTGTTCTTCGCAATTAGTCACTTAGTCCGAATATATATATATATAAATACACGAATAGGTTCTCCGTGTGTGTTCTGTAAATCTTCAAGAGCATTGTTAGTTTGCATGTTACTTTTGAGGATTTTGGATGCACATTTGATTTTTTTGCCTGATGACAAAACTGCATAGGCTAGGATGTTTGTCTCATCCCTTGAACATATTGAGCATTGCAAATTAGTATATCCCCATTCTACACACATGATATCCCCTTCTAATGGGCATGTGTTGAATATACTTACCATTGTGTTTTTCATGTTTTCCGTCCACGGAGAAATGTTGCAAATCTTTGCAGCACAACGTGGTCAGCTAGGAATGTTTAACGATGCTTTAGTAAAGCAACCTTGTGACATTTTGTGACACATTGGGACCTCAGTCATCAACATCTACGTACTTTGTTGAGTCGGTCAGTAAGTTGCAAAGGTGCATCGCTGCAAATGGCTCTCACAATGTTGCGGATGTTGGTGGAACTGTGTCTATGTTTCGACAACAACTATAGTAAACTATAACTTTAAAAAATTGAGAAGGATGAAAGTCGCCGAGGTAGTGCCGTCTAGAGTCTAGGTAATCCTGTAATAAGTTCCAGTAATAAGCTCCAGGTACTGTATTTCTTTTCTTAGGCTGGATCTTCCCGGTTGCTCGAAAACATAATATGAGACTTCATATACCCTGTTTCCGGTGTTGATTAATCCTTTTCGGTTTTGATGGTCAACGCCAAATTTCTGAAGTTCCATGGAGTTCCAAGGTCCAGCATTGGGATTTGCCCGAGCTCATTGGCTCTGCTGCAGGCGCAGACTCGACTCCAGCCATCAGCCCATGCCCTCAGCTGTGTCGTCAGGTTGTGGCACCGCTGTGCTCGGAGAATCGACATTTAGATCGAAGAGCCAAGGCTGGTGGCATTGGACCTTGGATGTACATCCTTAATTGGTAGACAATGGCCTAAAGCTTGGAATATAAGGCTGACAAATGGCATGCATGAAGCACTTTTTGGCGGGTGCACCTACAATTAGTCCAAGGGGTTACGGCCAGTTTCTCCATTTTAGGTATCAAGTGGGTATGGTTGCATGAAGTCTGCACCAGTTGAGGTGCTTGAAATTTTGAACACACGAGGAGTTGTCAGTTTGTGCGTTTCGATGACTGCGAACCTTGGCTTTTTTGAAGGGCAGCTTCTTCTTGGATGGCAAGCCCATGGCCACCCGAAGAGCCGCGTAAGAGGGAGAGGTCTCCAAAGAGACACCTCCTTGACATCAGCACAATAAAAGCACGACGAAAGAGCATGAGCATTGTCCAAGCGAGAAAGTTGGGCCTCAAGTCGTGAGAAGCTGTTGATCTAGCCTCCTTAGAGTGCGGGAATTCGTTTGAACTGAGGCATTGCAACAATCATATAAAGCACATGAAAGCACTGGTTGGTGAACAATCCAACAAGAGCCAAAAAGATCCCAGAATCAGATCCAAAGCTCCTTTTGGCCCTGCCTCGGCTCAAGTCAAAATTGTACATAGCGGCAGGGGTGATTACTCCCCCGCGGGCAGGGCGTCCCGGGTCCAAATAGGAATGAGGTCAAGATTATTCTATTTGCATAACTCCAGCATTCTGGGCTGGTTGCTAACAAGTTCGGAGGAATACATCAGAATCTATGACTCACAAGATTTGTTCTAACATGTTCTGACAATTTCTTATTCTGCACCCTGGAGCCATACGAGACTCGCATTGGACGCAGAGGAGTTCAAGTCATCGCAGCTGTTTCTGGCTGTTTCTTGATACATTCCCTGGGCCCTGGACAGGACAGACTGAAGATGTCAGATGTGAGTGAGGCAGGTGCTTTCACATTGCCCCTCTATAGGTTATCGTAGCCGGTAGATTCATTGCGAGCCCGCAGGGAAATTCTGATCTTGCTTGAATTGAATGAACAAGTGCTGTGGCGATATTTGACTTGTCGGTTCCACTGGCTCTCAGTGCTTTGCAGTGTTTGCTGACAGGAAAAAACTTCTGATTGGACGTCTCCGCAGAACCGGGAGGTGGCAGCTGCAGTTGATGCAGAACCGGGTGCAACATGGCAATGCAGATCACTAGATATAAGGGAACGTTGAAGGTGACGCTCAATAGCTAACACTTTGGCAGCATGGTGTGACAATGGAATTCTCAAAAGTTCAAGTGCGAATGGAAGGTCAAAACAAGCCAAGCTGTCTTCTTGTCAGGGTGAGGAACCCTGCTGGCTGGAGAACGTGCCGATGGCAGTCCAGTGGTATGTGAGAGCACTCAGATTTTCAGAGAGCGATGTATCAAACCAGGCCGTGAAAGTATCCTTGGTGTGTTAATGTTGGATATCATCATTGGTGGTAAACGTTCCCTTTGGTTCATCAGCAGTGGAACAGCACACCCAAGTTGGTTGTCCTTGAGGATCAAGCACAGTTGCCGCAGCTGCCCTTCTGGACAAATGCAGATGAGACATCTGATCACGTGGATCAAGACTCAGCATTTTAGTATTTTTGCATAGTTCCAGCACAAAGATCACAAAGAAGCCAGTGCAAGTTGCAGTGCAAGTTGCAGTGCAAGTTGCAGCAGTTTGATGCGTGTGTCCTCCCGCGGACCTTGACGAAGTGAGGACACGATTCTCGAGTTCCACGTCTCGCCATGCAGCGACTTTCAGCGAGGATTCTGTGCCAAGCACGGGGCCAGGGCGAAGGTGTGCGACACGGCACCACCTCAGCCACCTCAGCAGATCTCAACCCACCGCCAGTTTCGCCAGGCCAATCAGTGTCGCTCTTATCATTTTGAGTGGGCTGCTAAGCAGTGGTTAAGCATCGCTTAAGCAGTTGCTATGTTTGCATCATCTTCGCATTGTCACTCTCGACTTGGAATCTTTTTATCCCGAACCACCAAGGTCGCAGCGACGGCGCCGAGCTATCGACGCTTCGACGGGGCAACTGTGCGGAACTCAGGTCCAAGAACATCAAGACATACAACAATTGCACAATTCCAAAATCATCATAAAAAGATAAAGATACAAGGAGGTCTTCTCATTCTTTGGGATTTGTGAAGGGCAACTTAGATGTTTTGACAAATGATTTGGGACAACTTTTAATTTTTGGAGGGTTTTGAGTGAAAGCATTCGATTCGCTTCCTAGATTTCAGGACGTACTGGGAGACACCTTGTCCATCTTGGAGCCTTGAGATGGGATGCCTGAACCTCTGCGTCTCAGATCTCTCAGTGTGATAGAAGTTGGGAAGTTTTTGATAGTTTTTGTATGTGTTTGCCACGCTTTTTTTTTCACCCTCCATGGATTCTTGACAGGCGCTTTAGCTGGGGATTCCTGTCCCTTGGCGCATGGCCGTGAGGAGGTGCTTGTGGTTGTCTCAATGGTCTTGGAGTCAGGATGCCCGAGCCGGCGCAGGTGTCCTTTCACCCCGCCAAGTACAAGACCAGACCCTGCAATGGCGCGGGGCACTTGATGTAGTGTGTTGCTGTTTTCTTTCGTTCTAAGCCTAAGCCCCTGCTTGAACATTCTAGCCTACTGGCTTCCTCTTTTCATTTCACCAGATTCGATACCGCAAAAGGATGCAAAGGGCCCCTCCTGATCAAAACATATCAAAACGGAGTGCTGCCATGGTCACAACACTAGTGTCATACTGCGACAACCACTTGATGTGGGAGGCACAGATTGTCGCGGAGAAGGAGCATGTTGCTTTGCTCATAGCGACAACGAGTTGAGGTCACTGCCTCAAGACTCCTGAGGAGACTTCGCACGAAAAGGATCTGGTTTGACTTTGGTTTGACCTACCTTTTCATGCTGCACTTGTACTGGACCAAGGCAACATGCCCCAGCGAGGTATTCCTACTTTATGATTTCGCTTGGGCTCTCAGTTTTGTGGCACAGAGCCTGCCAATCTTTGAAGATGTTCTTTGCCATCTCCGGATATCTTGAGGTCGAAAGGCCAACAAAACACGGATACTCAATCTACCAGGAGTGCTGCTCGCTCTCACTCTCTCACTTATCTTTTCAAGAAGGTGCTTAGCCGTTGCTTCTATGTCCTATGTGATGATCCACAGAAGGATCATTCCTGAAGTTCCTGGAAGACGTATGAAGCTTGCACTGGGAGTCGTAATTCTTTGGTGCAACTAAACGGAACCCGGCGCATAGACGGCCGTGGCTCAAAATGAAGATGGAGTATCATCCAGCATTGATTTTCTGTGCGTTTGTAAGGGATTTCTCAAGTTTCAGGTGTATACACTTTTTGTGGCTGAATTCCATTGGAAAGTTAGCAAAGTGGCGTTTTCGCCTGAACGAAACGATAATTTTAATGCTTTTTTGAAATGACGTAACTACTTTGTGTATGCCAGGATTTGCTTCTTTTTTTCCTCATCTGACAGAATCAATCCTGCGGCAGGAGGTCTTCCAAGTGTTCCAAAAATTCGCAGCAGCGTAGCATCCACGTATGTAGGCAAGGTACATGAACGTTAATATCCCCCCCACCCCACCCATGCCCAGTGACGTAGCAGCAGCGTAGCATCCACGTATGTAGGCAAGGTACATGAACGTTAATATCCCCCCCACCCCCCATGCCCAGTGACGTAGCAGCGTAGCATCCACGTATGTAGGCAAGGTACATGAACGTTAATATCCCCCCCACCCCACCCATGCCCAGTGACGTAGCAGCAGCGTAGCATCCACGTATGTAGGCAAGGTACATGAACGTTAATATCCCCCCCACCCCACCCATGCCCAGTGACGTAGCAGCAGCGTAGCATCCACGTATGTAGGCAAGGTACATGAACGTTAATATCCCCCCCCACCCCACCCATGCCCAGTGACGTAGCAGCAGCGTAGCATCCACGTATGTAGGCAAGGTACATGAACGTTAATATCCCCCCCCACCCCACCCATGCCCAGTGACGTAGCAGCAGCGTAGCATCCACGTATGTAGGCAAGGTACATGAACGTTACTACACCCCCCCACCCCACCCAACCCCCTTCTGCTAAAATATGTATTTCGGTCCACGGCCGTCTATGCGCCGGGTACCAACTAAACAGTAACTAAACACCTGGCACTTTGAATGGCGGTTGTTCCAAAGTCACAGATATCAACATATTTTCGGACCCGAAGGCTTTCAGGAGAGGATCACCAAGCCGAGGTCAAGGCTTGCCGCTAAAGACGCGCTTCTGCGCCTTCTATCCGCAAGTGGCTTAAGGACGAAGTCCGTCAAAACTCAAAACAGTGTTTTCATCCAACATTCCAGCTGGAATCAGCTGGAAGTAGTATGCAGCTGAGGAATATCAGCCAATGCAGACGTGGAGCAGCCTGTTCCTTTGCGCATACTCGCGATGAGGTGCCATGACGATTCCATATCAACCTCTTCCGCGGTTGTGTGCAGGATTACTTCATGCCACGTGACGAAAGGTGCAGACCAAGTTGCTCTCCATCGAGGAAGAAGAACATCATGAAAGTGCCATGACGCAAGCATTTTTCACCAGGACAGACTGCCTTGCTTTGGAAGATTAACATGACTTTCAATTCACAAACAGCAGAAGAACAGACGCATTCTCCTGCAATCGATTTTGGAACAGCATCAACCGTCACACACTTGGGACATGTCGGGACTGTTAGAGAGGAAGTTCAAGACGATGTGGTGTCCAATCGGTGCGCAGCATGACTGGCAGACATGTGCAGGGCGCTCAGAATTATTCTGGTCCATCCAGATCGTCGGATCTCTCCCTACTCAGCCCCTACTCACGTTAAAGTTCTTCATTTACCTGGGATTGCAGTCAAAACCAACCAAACCATACCAAACCTCTATATAAATACCATATGTCAGTCAAAAAATCAAACAGTTTCAGTCAGGCAGGTTGAGTCAGACAGTTTGAGTCAGATCATTAAAAACCCTTTGATTTTTGCATATGAATGGGGGGATGAACCTCCATAAACAAGGGCGATTTCGTGGCAAAAACCAGGGCATTGATCAGGTTTTGACCTGTAGCCTGAGGTCTACGCACATACCTACCAAGATGCACGACGGCAGGTTGTTGCGGAATGATGTTTTTGCTGCATTGAGACAAAGAACAGCACAGTATCTTGTCAAATGAATATGAAACAATTTAATATGATTTGTATTATTAATTTATAATTATAACTTATATAACCTTAATCATAAGACTACTTGTATCAGTTGTCATGGTGACTATGCTGCTCCTGACGCTAGCCCTCAATCGGATATGGTCCTCAGCCTTGTCCATTTTGGCAGAAGAAGGAGCTGCGGCTGACCAATTTCAACACGACCAGTTCAGTGTCCTGCAATCTCTGTTGATTTCTGTTGATTTGGTCGATTTGTGGCATCGTGCCCAGGAGACTCGTGTCGGCTGCTGAGATATGCTGAGACCATCTGAGACCATCTGAGACCATCTGAGACCGAGGCCACCAGTTGGTTTTTCAGCCCCTTGTGATGTGGCTCCAAGGCTTCGTACTCTCAGCGCTGCCCACTTGGACTGCGGTGCCCCTATGCTCACGGCGCAAAGGCGGGAAAGTGAGCAGTCTTGGATTCAAGGAGTCGTGGATTGATGTTTGAAAATGATTGAAAATGATTGACGATGTCGCCTTGGAAGTCCTTCATGGAAACATATTGTGGAAACATTGGTGATGCAAACCCTGGGAGGAGCAACTGTACCACCCGAAGTACTTCCGGACAGAGGGTTTCTGTATGGCTTTTGCAAATCTCAGGGCCAGCATTGATATTTTGTTGTGCTGCACTGTGGTTGACATCCAAGAGCTCCTGGTCATCCATTGGAGGACAGTGACTTGCCGCGATATGCAGTTGAAAGGAGAAAGCTGGCTGTTTTTGTTGAACTGTTTGAACTAGTGAACTCGTCCAAAATGTCGTTGTGGCCCTGAGTTGATGAATCAAGCATATTACAGGCAGAAGCAAAATATAGTAGAACCATGTGAAACCGATCCAGTTTGTATCAGTAATTCACTGCAGAAAGCTTCGAACCAACTTGCCGTGTTCCCCCCTCTGCCGGCCAGGGTGCCCCAGACAACGTTTGTGTGCATTCTATCATCGCCGATCTGAACACCGGAAGCAGTGGGAAGCTTAAAAGTGGCCACCGACCCTCGATTTGATGTTGCTTGGTGATAATCATTTTAATCACACACACAACATGTACTGTATTTGGAAAACACAACATGTATTTGAAAAAGACTGCTATCGCCAGCAGCATCATTATTGTGCATCTGTCAAGGCTTCCAGTGTTGACAGTTTCTTCATCCATCGAATAGTGTCAGGACTTCACCCGATAATCATGACTACGATCATCCTCTTCCGGCGGAGGCTGCGACAGAGGTCGATTGTATGTTTTGTTTTGTTTGAAGTTGGGATGTGAATAGCACTTCAGGTTGACTAGCTATCAATTCCAGGTATCACAGAACCAGGGGAACCAGGGTCATTGAACTAGCCTCAACTCCACAAGCACAGCAGTCCACAGGTGATTGATGCTGCTTGGGCCGATCAATTCTTGAACCCGCCAATCTTTGACAACTTGGATGATGAGGCCGTGCTTGTTCCCACACTCTTAGTCAAATCCCACACCAGCATAACAAGAAGATTATATTCTGAATATACATTTATTTACAATTATTTACATGTGTTCCTTGTATCATGAAGTTGAATTCTGGTTTTAGTTTGCTGAAGGAAATCATAATTTTCAATCTTGCCATTGTTAGAAACCAAGTTAGCAGCCAACTGCTGCAGGCTGGCCACGTTACGCAGGTCATATACGAGCCGGCGCAGGCAAATTCAAACGTCATGACCTTAGCGACAGTTTTCATATGCTATTGCTAAATATTATACTTTGATATACTTAGACAATCTTATAGCTAGATAGATATAGCTACTGCTATTAGTACGTCTACCAAACCATTTCCATGTGGAAATCACGGAACAAACGCATCTACTTGGGGCATCCCTTTGGCCATAGAAACTGATGAAGCTGAGAGTTTTTCTGTCCTCGTCAACGTCGTCACCTCGTCCTCATCTCCGGTGAGGCCAATCCTGCGCCGAAAAAGGTCCTTAGCCTTTCTCTAAGCGGTGAATCATGGTGAAGCCATGCCCAGCAAGCAGAGATTGCACACCGATGCTGCGCGGCTTTAAGGCAAGATCACCATCGAAAAGGTGAAGTCCTCCAAGGCCAAGTTCACTTTTAATGTTCACATCAGGATGGCTCAATACAACCAGGGGGGTGGACATCCGTGTATTAGCTTTCTTGATGTTCACCACATTACCAGAGTTTTGGCCTTTACGGCCTTTACTCACACTGGGCATTGGTCGAGATTTGCAGGTCAGCAGTGACCCGCAGAAGGTGACGGTCAGTGCCGCCTTTGCCTTGTGTGGATCCCAACATGTCCCCAGTGCACCTGAAAATAGCAGGGCCAAAAATTGTATTTCATAGGATTGAAGCCTATGGATCCTATGGGCTTGACTAGTCACGTTCATACACGTTGGACACACTGTTGACAACTCTGAAGAAGGTGCTGAAAGTGAGATGGCAGTTTCCAGTTGAGGTCCAAGAATTGCCTTTTGGCGAGAGACGCAAAAGAAGCCTGCCCCCTACTTCAGATGATGGACAGTTCAGGCAAGCGGCTGACACGTGACTCCGAGGAAAACTGGGCGAATCTGGACTTCTACCATCATTCGGCCATTTCCTCTGCGGAGATTTTTGCTGTCTTCAATGCGGGTAGGTCAGGGATTGTCAGGTTATGTCCAAGAATTGAGGACGAGAAGAGGAGACACCTTTTGCTGGGGCGCCCCCGATTTTGGGACGAAGTGTCGCACGAAGTGTCACACGAAGTCGCCTAGGCCAGCCAAAGACCGCTGGGCCAAGGTGCCGATCAGTTGGTGCTGCCATTACAGTAGATTGTGTGTTTGAAAATTGGGTACACCCAAAATGGATCAAAATGGCTATTTGAATTCAGGGAAACTGCTTGAGCATCGACTTTGGGGTATCCTATTTTCGGGCAAAGCCATATTCGGAATACTGAGACGCATCAGTTGTGCTGATGAAAAAAAGTGCACTTCTCACACTTCCAAGTCTTAGCCAGTGAGGTGACGACTCACAGAGATGGTGGAACATGGTTGAAAGCTCAGTGAAACCATGAAGTCGACATTGACCCGTCTCATGTCATCAAGGCTTCACGGAATGGTGGGTAAAACAATGCATGAAAGGCACATAGGTGTGTTTGAAAATGAGGCATAGCCGTATAGCCCCAGATAGCATCAGATAGCATCAAATAGCCATTCAAAATTCGCTTAAACAGGGAAAATTATGGAAAATTATGACTTAACCATCCTGAACCACCAAATTCTCCTGGACTCCTGGACCCTATTCTCAGCCCCACATGATACAGGGGCCTGGTCACTCTGGTCTTTCTGCTGAGGTCAACAATGCTGTGACAGAGCTCCTATAGTTCTATATATATATAGATATATTGACAATTTGAGAATCCAACCATGATTTTATCATTGTGTGTTGATGGCATTGACTTGAATTACCATGTCCTGCTACCTGTGAAGTGCGGATGGCTGTCCGCCACACCTGTGTACATAGTACAGTTTGCTTGCTTGGAGCATTCACAATTGGCAGAGGCGCATTTCTTCTGTCCTACGCATAAGTCAACTGGATAACTGTGTCTTTCTTTTGGGATAGAGTCTGGCTAGATGCTTAGTATTACATAGTGGCAAGTCGAGGAAGAACATGCCACAAAACGTTAACAATTTTGTGGGTTGGACTCTAACAAGGCCTAGAGGGGCAGAATTGACCAAGAACTTGTTGTGATGTGCCTTTTTCTCTTCCCTGCTGAATTCAGACCCACTCTGCAGCTGTCAGTGATGATGGCAGTTGGGTTGGGTTAAGAATTTGCGAAAAGTGCTTGAACGCTTTCCGTTTAGCACCTACCCATGATGATGTTGGACTCATGTTTCCTTCCTGGAATACACCAGGAGAGTCTGGCAAGAGAGGCGTATAGAAGGTCATCAGCTGTTTTCCTCAGGGGTTGCCACTGGTACAAACAAGGGGTCCTTTCAAGCATTTATCTTTACAAGAACATTTACATCCCGCACCTGAAAGCTATTGTATGTCTACATCTGAATATGTACAGGCTGGACATCAGTGTGTTGTTTTGGATATCCTTGGATCCCTTGCAGTGGTTTGAAGAGAGCATTTTCCGACTTCAGCTGTTTCAATTGCGAGCCGATGCTCAACCGAGCAGCCCGCTGCAGTAAATGTCTGAGACCACCAGGCCGCCTGAAAAGTGGCCTGCCGCCTCAGTGTGCCCAGTGTGCCCTTGAAGCTCTGTAAGTTGCAGCCTTGTTGGACCATGCTTTGACGCAGCCATTTTTGCCAAGGGGTCATGCTGGATCATCTTCCGCTTAGTCGGGCTATCAAGTTATATCAGATCTTTCCAAAGAATTTGCATGTTGACAGCGAGCAGTGATTATTTTGCAATGACACGTGCTTTCAAGCCGATATCATTCAGAAGCAGATGGCTGATGACGACGCGCATAAGATGAAGGATAAGAATGAGGCGAGCGGAGTGAATGTTCTCCAGATATGCGGATTCTTCAAGCCGAGCAAACACATCTGAAAAGAGGATGACTCTTTTGCTTGACCGCTGGAATCAAGTTGCTTTAAGGAAGCGGTGGATAGGAGCAAACCCATACAACCCTATGGACAACTTGAAGAGAGTTATGAACAAGTGCAGGAGATTCATGCTTTGCAAGAAAAAAGCCGTGGAATGATTCGCTCCTTCTCTGCATTGGAAATGGCCAAGTTGATTCACGGTGTGTTGGGCCATGTCGGGCCCTTGCGTTGCAATACCTCGCACTGGGACCGAGATGACTCAGGTCTTATGTCCTCCATGAAACCATCTCGGAGACTACAGGTGGATCGTGCTCCCAGCATTAAGCTGCGAGGCGGTGACGGGGCCCAAGGTGACGAAGCTGACAGTCACAGCATCTCAGTGCAACCATCCTGTTTGTGCGGAAAGCTGTTTTCTGGGTATGTGGAGGGTATGTGGAAGATGTGGAAGTCTGTAATGTACAACAGGATACACTGTATCAGTATGTCGTGTAGTGTGCTGCAATGTACTCTTGTTTCTACGAATACTATGGCCAGGCCATATCTGCACAAACGTATATGGCACTACACTCAAAGTCAAAGTCTGAACTGAAAGGCCAAGTAACATGCTCAGATTAGGGAAATGGTTGAGCATTTAACTGTCTGGAATACCAGGTGCTCTGGGCATCTGTTGTCATGTATCTGTGTGATTCTGATATCAGGCAATTGTGAGGTTCCAGCAATATGTTCACATGAAAAGTCATCAGAAAGAGCCGTGTTGTGTCATTTCTGAAAGATATGTAACAGGAAATGCAGTGCCAGGCACCAGAAGAGACACAGCTTCAAGTCAAGCTCTTGAAAGCCGAGCTCCATGATCAGGTTGCGCGATGTTGCGCGGGGGTATTTTACTTGACATGTCACTTGCGGATTGTTGTTCCAACCAGTTATACCATGTTATACCCGTTCATTGAAAGCCAAATAAATAAGCCCATGTGAGCCATGTGAGCCTTCAGATTTTTCTTTTCCCTGTGCCAGCTGCAATCTACTAGTCGGGAAAGGATATGAAGGAACCATTTAAATCCATTCAACGGTTTCAGATGGTTTCAGAACCTTGAGACTACTTCCGGATAAACGGACAATTCCTCGAAACTTCCAGGGGAAAAATGGAATGCCGAGCTAGTGCTCGAAGTGGGGGCCGATGGGGCCGGGGATCCGCACAGATGGAATTACACCGAAGTGAGCTCTACTCCTGCAAGCAGTGGGAGCCTTAGCAAAAAATAGCAGACATATGCTCATTATGCAGATTTATGCAGATTATGCACCAGTGAAGTTATGCTGCTCCAGAGTTTGGGTGTTGCTGTAGCCTTGGTGGAGCATCTCATGTCCCGCATCAAGGTCTGCCCAGGAGTTGTCTGCACATCGCACCAGGTCAGAGGCAGGTCTCAGTGGCATGGAGCGACTCTGCGCGTCCCAAAGCATGGTAGAACTTTGCAAAACTTCGCAGGCGTGTATCTCGAAGTTGGCCCAGCAGGTGCCGTATCTGGTGCAGTACTCATGTCAGTCACCACTTTCACTACTTTCATCACTTTCGCTAATGAGACTATATGGGACATGTGCAAAGGCAGCCCTGGAAAGCAGCCTCGCAGAAAAGAACTTCAATGCCCGTTTGGAAAGCGAGCAGCGGATGTGGATGGAGGATTCACAGCAGCTGCATACCTCTAATTGATTAGCTGACGACAGAAATGATGCAGCATCTCACATACTTAAGTTTTTAACACTTACAGTTGGAGATTTTTGTCAGGAGCGCCGGCGCATGCGCTCAGCACACCACCGTCAGACGCTTGGGAATGGGACATGGAAACCAGACCTTGCAAAAGCTGGGAGTCTCATACAGGAACATAAAGGTCTTGACCACGATAGAACTCTCTTCCTTATGATGCTTCTGATGTGTCAGTTCGGGCCAAGGTTCTCTCAACAGTGAAAAGGAATCGATGGAGCAGTTGAGGTGGATGCAGGGCGGATGCAGGGTGGATGTAGGGTGGAGAAATTCGTCCGTGCCATGCAGCGAATGTGTGGTCCCTTTGGATGAGGAGACAGGCGTCAGAAGAGCTCGCTGCAACAAATCGAAGGCTTGAGATCGAGGTCCCAATGGTCCCATTCTTGCAATTGCATCAATTGCATCCTTCTGAACTTGTTATTGATGGAAGAACTTGTTGTTTAGCTGTTTCAAGCTGAGTTCCTCCCCATGAGTGGTCCATGTTCTCGGATAGGCGAGGGAAGTAAGAGAGGCACGGAGTCGACAAAGGGCAGCGGAGGGTGCTGGACTTGGTTTCCTTTGGAAAGTTGATCAATTTGTGCGCCGAATCAGCCAAGCAGCCAACCGAATTAGACAGCTTGGTGTGGCTAGTTTCATCTTCAACTTGCTTTGTCAAGCCATCCTCGTCCAACTGGATTAAAACGGCTGAGGAAAGCTAAAGAGATCGGAGCAAAAGCAGGACTGGAAACTGTTGAATGAAACCCTAGATGGACACCAAAGTCAAGTTGAGTTTGATGTTGGGTCAACAAAGATCTTTCACAGATAAGCAATCACGAGCAAGCAAAGCAATACAAGTGGTGGGGTGGTGCAGCTTGATGATATTTGGAAAAGGCCTCTCTCTCCCTATGCGTATCAGAGATGGTTTGCATATTAATATACATTCTAAAATGGATGATGTTACTCAATGAATATCATAAAGGTGTTGATCCTCAGAGTCGCAACTATTGCGTAGCTCACATGTAGCCCTTGAAGAGACATGAATCAAGCACTTTTTTTAAATATCTCCAAGTAGTTGATTGTTTGTAGGTTTCAAAGGGTAAGAATGGCTGACATTCTCTGAATTGTTTCCGCTCTCAGCATTTGATAAAATCTGTGCGCTGAGGAGTCTCACACGAGCCTTATTCGAGGCGAAGCTGTAGAGGCAGAGGCCAGATCCCGCAGATGAAACACATGTGATGGATGTCATGGACCGTCACATGGTATCCCATGGGCAAAGCAGTTTGTAGCAGGTTCATGCTGAACGACGGCAAGAAGTTGCTGCGCTGGAGGCCAATGGCACAGAACCATGAAAGTTCAAAGAGAGTTTGCCGTAGTTTCAGCTTCCAAAGATTCAGGATGCACAGGTTTTTGTGAGTCCCAAGAATTCACGTGAACCATCAAGAATACCGTTGTTGATTGGTTACTATAGATCTTATATATTAATATATATATATGATATTATCACAAGGGATCTCGGGGGTTGTACTGCATCATGACTCATAGGCATCAAGGCTTCAAGCCTCACTGGTGGAAGCAGAACACCAGGTCGAAGGCTCAGGGCGAAACACACCTGGCCAACATGAAAAACATCAAGATGACGCCAAGATAATTTATTTGTTTTTCGTGTGTATTTCATGTGTATCTTCTGTATTTCATCTGTGCATCACTTTTGATATCTTTTGTGTATCAGTTGTACATCATGTGTGTGTGTGCATCAGTTGTGTTTTTGTATATCCTTTGTGTCACCAGTCTCGAAAAAAAAAGAAGAGCCGAGGTGCAAAGGCAGCAGGCCATGGCGAGGCTTCAAAACGAGATGGCCCTGAAGGAGCAGAACTCGATGACTTTGGAACTCCGTGCTGCCGTTGAGGAGGCGCTGTCGTCATGGGCGATATCCCACTTCGGTGGTTGTTTGCAAGGCAGAAGAGAAATATATACGGAATCAATGGTAACTGAATTTCTGAATCATGACTTATTTGTATTTATTTGTTACATACAAATCAGACTAACAAGATGAAATGAAAGATAGCGGGGATCATATTATATCTATGCTGCACCCTCAACAGAATAACATTGCGTGGAAGCCGAGGTGAAATTGGGACATATGCATGAAGAAGAACTCCTGAAGGCTCGCTTGGCAAGTTCATCACCTCGCAGGCAACAAAGTTTTGAAGCACTGAGGTATTGTCTTCCGAAGAAGCATATGCGTCCAGAGTGCACCAAGGTTGGCTGGAATATTGGCTGAGGGCAAGTGTTAGAAAGTATGAAAGACCTAACAAGGAATCTTGCTGTAATTTCAGTGACTCCGTTCTTTAGCTTACCCATAGGAATGATTTAGTCTCTACATGTCCCTGTCCCTTCTGTGACGTCAACTGCGACACTTCCTGGATCCTGGGACAGCCGTGCCACGGCTGCCACGGCTGCCACTGCCTCAGATTTGGGTAAGACGACCAGCGAGCTGAAGGAGCTGAGCAATGCTTTTCAGGTTCGGGACGGCTAGTTGTGGGCACCTCAACACCCCAAAATGGATCAAAGAATATCAATATCAAATCATATCAAAATGCCTAGTAAATCTTTTCGATTCGGAAAGGACCCCCAGGGGTCTCCAATTTTTTGGGATCGAAATGTGTCGTGCCGTTGCAGGCAGCAGCTGCTGAGCATCTCCATGAAACTCACGCAGCAAAGGAGCAGGTGGACCATCAATTTTTATTATATAGACAGATAGACATATAGTATATAGTATAAGTATAGTATTATATATATATATATTTAGCATTATATATGTCATCATATTATTATTATATAGACTCAGACCATCATACAGACTTATACTGCAATGTCGGAGCTGCTTGCATCCAAGCAAAGAGATTCCGCATCGCCGACCTACAGAGACCCACAGGCAGCTGTTGCAGAGAAAGCAGCTCGAGTTGCTGCGGAGCTCCGACAGAAGCTGGAGCGTTCTTCTTCCGAGGCGCTGGGCGATGGGTCCCGCGTTGTGCTTAGCTTGTTTTCTCACCCCGCGACAATTCAATGAACAAATTGTTAAAACTTGTCCAAAGACAACTGAATGACGGAAAAATGAAAATTGAGAATTGAATAACCAAAAGGATCCAAAAGGATCAAAAAGGATTCTCTGTCTAAATGATTTCCCGTTACCATGTTTTTTGTCACGCCCGCGGTCACCGCCGGTCAGTGACACAGCAGGTGCAGCAGTTGCAGCTCCAACATCAACAGGACATGGAGACCCAGGAGACCCAGGAGACGCAGCTTAGGAGTGCCAGGCCTATGGCAAGAATCAATGGGCTTCCTAGCAGTTGATACAATCAATGGGTTGCTTTACCACTGATTTATGATGATTTGTAGGGGATCATCACTACAACTGGAGCTGTTGGATTGGGTTGCGGAATGTTGCAGAACGGTGGTTGAGTGATTCTTTGGAGGTGTCCTGTATCCAAAATGAAGAATTGATGTTTGTAAGGTTGGTATATGCATTATACATAATACAATATGTCTATATATAATTATATATATACACGTATATAACTATATCACAAACATATCTATGATATGAATCAATATGCATGCACACGCACGTGAGTATAACAAATCCAACGTTTGTCACTCATGATCTTGATCTTTCGGCCAGGCAAGAAGTCTCTGAGCAGCACCGGGTACTCCATCATCAGGAGGCCGCTCATTCCTGCCAAAAGATGACATCCTTCGGTGTTCCAGCTGGATGTGGTCCCTCCAAGTGTTTGAACCAGCCAATCATCGCTGTTGGTCCTGCGATATTTGCCCGAACATGAGCCGTCTTGCTAGATCTTGCTAGATTATGTAAGTGTGTTGCTGACACACACATTGGTATACTATGATATACTGATATATGCCATGCAGGCCTCTGCCGAAGAGACGAGGTGCACAGTGTCACAGGGATGGCTGTGCTTGGGTCACGAAGGTGGACCCATCACGAGGACTTCTAGGTTTGTTTGGTACATCCCAGGATCCGAGGAATGACCAAGACCCAGTCAGTCTTCCAGTAGACTCGGCCTCGGCCTTCTGGTGGTTTGAACAGGAAAGTGTCATCAATTCCTTGTATTAGTTTGTGCAGCTTGTTTTGCAAGTTGACAAGAATCACCAATAACATCCAATAATCACTTTGGTATCTTTGATAGAATCACCAATACCCAAAATCATCATTAATCATAATCACCATTAATCACCATTAATCACCATGAATCACCATTAATCGTTGCATGCAACAAGCCACATGACACCATCTCTGTCGACAGGCTCCAACTCAAGGCTACAGAGGCAAAGTTGAGGCGAGAGATTTCTCTCAGCGTGATGAGGTAGATATGTTTTTGGAGTGCGTCCATCACACCAGATTGATATGTGCATGTATGTATATATATATATGTATGTGTATACATATATATATATACACACATACATAATCATAGAGATACAGGTGCCAATGTGAAATATCCTGTTGGACATGAAGTGGATCGGATCGTGCACCCAGAATATTTGTGGGTCGGTCGGGGCATGGGCTGATACGAACTCCAGCTGTCCAGACGTTGCGATTCAACACATCCAGGTCTGTCGAAGGCAGTTGCGCAGAAGCCCAGATGTGTTTTGATTCATGCTACCAGGAGACCAAAAAATCCCCAGGGCATTGAAATGACACTTGCGCTTCCCACTCGTGGTCATGTTTAACCAGACCTGAACTTATTGCGCCACTTAGGAATATCCAGTGTTTTCATTTGTGCATCGGTATCTCTTGCCGAAGATGTCTCTTTTTTGGACGAAATCCCTGGTGAAGCCAAATTGACAAAAGGGATGAGTTGGAACATGATGAAACATGTTGAACCCATCAACCACAAAATGCTTGATGGTTTGACAAGTTGAAGGCCCACGCTTTAAGCACCCTGCGACAGGAGCTCATCTTGGCGCAACAGGAAGCAATTGAGCAGAAGGATCTCAGAGAACAGGATTTGGCGCAACTGCGCCGAGCCTGCGAGGAGTCCTTGGAAGGACAGGATGACATCACCAGCCATGGAAATCCCACGGCTAAACTGCTGATGTGAATATAAGGGGCTACGCCCCCTGCCGCCGACCCCAGGCAGGGTAGCTTGGGGCGGCGAGCGGGGGGCGGTAAACTGCTAAATACTCGTCTAGCTGATTTACCTTGTTCTGTTTTTTCTATCCAATCTTTTGGAGATCCCTAAATTTATATAATTTGCCGCCTGTGACGCGTCTCCCTGAAGCACTGGCCAGACTCAACCTGAGGCACCAGGGCCAAGTGGCCAAGAATAGAGACTTCACAAAGGTTATTTGGAAACAAACGTGTCCTCTCGACGAAGGACCGCACCAAAACACCATGACAGCGAAGGAGGGATCGGGCCCGCGGGCGGCGGCCCATGGTGCCAAACGTTGCTTTCTCAACTCCCTAGAAACTAGCTCCAAACTTGGACTTTGCCCGCTCTTCATCGGCCACCTGCCAGCTTGCCCGTGTTCTCTTCGAAACTTTGCCCGCCTCTTGGAGGACCGTGTCGCAGCACCAAAACACCATGGCAGCGAAGGACGGATCGGGCCCGCGGCCGGCAGCCCATTCCAAACGTTGCTTTCTGAACTCCTCAGAAACTAGCTCCAAACATGGACTTTACCCGCCCTTCATCGGCCACCTGCCAGCTTACTTGTCGTCTCTTGGCGGACCCTGTCGCAGCACCAAAGCACCATGGCAGCGAAGGACGGATCGGGCCCGCGGCCGGCAGCCCATGGTTCCAAACGTTGCTTTCTGAACTCCCTAGAAATTAGCTCCAAACTTGGATTTTGCCCGCCCTTCATCGGCCACCTGCCAGCTTGCTTCTCTTCTGTTGGCGGACCCTGTCGCAGCACCAAAACACCATGGCAGCGAAGGACGGATCGGGCCCGCGGCCGGCAGCCCATGGTGCCAAACGTTGCTTTCTGAACTCCCTAGAAACTAGCTCCAAACTTGGACTTTGCCCGCCCTTCATCGGCCACCTGCCAGCTTGCTTCTCTTCTCTTGGCGGACCCTGTCGCAGCACCAAAACACCATGGCAGCGAAGGACGGATCGGGCCCGCGGCCGGCAGCCCATGGTGCCAAACGTTACTTTCTGAACTCCTCAGAAACTAGCTCCAAACTTGGACTTTGCCCGCCCTTCATCGGCCACCTGCCAGCTTGCTTCTCTTCTCTTGGTGGACCCTGTCGCAGCACCAAAACACCATGGCAGCGAAGGACGGATCGGGCCCGCGGCCCGGCAGCCATGGTGCCCACCACAACGTTGCTTTCTGAACTCCCTAGAAACTAGCTCCAAACTTGGACTTTGGCCCGCCCTTCATCGGCCCGACCTGCCAGCTTGCTTGTCTTCTCTTTTGCGGACCCTGTCGCAGCAAACCAAAACCACCATGGCAGCGAGGACGGATCGGGCCCGCGGCCGGCAGCCCAGATTGCCAACGTTGCTTTCTGAACTCCCTCGAAACTATCTCACAAACTTGGACTTTGCCCGCCCTTCATCTGCCACCTTGCCAACTTTCTTGTCCTTCTCTTGGCGGACCGAACACTGTCGCAGCACAACCAAAACCCATGGCAGCGAAGGACGGACGGGCCCGCTGCCCCGCGGCCGGCAGCCCATGGTTCCAAACGTTGCTTTCTGAACTCCCTAGAAACTAGCTCCAAACTTGGACTTTGCCCGCCCTTCATCGGCCACCTGCCAGCTTGCTTGTGTTCTCTTGGCGCACCGTGTCGCAGCATCAAAACACCATGGCAGCGAAGGACGGATCGGGCCCGCGGCCGGCAGCCCATGGTTCCAAACGTTGCTTTCTGAACTCCCTAGAAACTAGCTCCAAACTTGGACTTTGCCCGCCCTTCATCGGGCCACCTGCCAGCTTGCTTGTGTTCTTTTGGCGGACCCTGTCGCAGCACCAAAACACCATGGCAGCGAAGGACGGATCGGGCCCGCGGCCGGCAGCCCATGGTTCCAAACGTTGCTTTCTGAACCCCCTAGAAAGTAGCTCCAAACTTGGACTTTTGCCCGCCCTTCATCGGCCACCTGCCAGCTTGCTTGTGTTCTTTTGGTGGACCCTGTCGCAGCACCAAAACACCATGGCAGCGAAGGACGGATCGGGCCCGCGGCCGGCAGCCCATGGTTCCAAACGTTGCTTTCTGAACTCCCTAGAAACTAGCTCCAAACTTGGACTTTTGCCCGCCCTTCATCGGCCACCTGCCAGCTTGCTTGTCTTCTCTTGGCGGACCCTGTCGCAGCACCAAAACACCATGGCAGCGAAGGACGGATCGGGCCCGCGGCCGGCAGCCCATGGTGCCAAACGTTGCTTTCGGTTCCAAACGTTGCTTTCTGAACTCCTCAGAAACTAGCTCCAAACATGGACTTTACCCGCCCTTCATCGGCCACCTGCCAGCTTACTTGTCGTCTCTTGGCGGACCCTGTCGCAGCACCAAAGCACCATGGCAGCGAAGGACGGATCGGGCCCGCGGCCGGCAGCCCATGGTTCCAAACGTTGCTTTCTGAACTCCCTAGAAATTAGCTCCAAACTTGGATTTTGCCCGCCCTTCATCGGCCACCTGCCAGCTTGCTTCTCTTCTGTTGGCGGACCCTGTCGCAGCACCAAAACACCATGGCAGCGAAGGACGGATCGGGCCCGCGGCCGGCAGCCCATGGTGCCAAACGTTGCTTTCTGAACTCCCTAGAAACTAGCTCCAAACTTGGACTTTGCCCGCCCTTCATCGGCCACCTGCCAGCTTGCTTCTCTTCTCTTGGCGGACCCTGTCGCAGCACCAAAACACCATGGCAGCGAAGGACGGATCGGGCCCGCGGCCGGCAGCCCATGGTGCCAAACGTTGCTTTCTGAACTCCCTAGAAACTAGCTTCAAACTTGGACTTTGCACCGCCCTTCATCGGCACCTGCCAGCTGCTTGTCTTCTCTGGCGGACCCTGTGCAAGCACCAAAACACCATGGAGCGAAGGACGGATCGCGGCCCGCGGCAGCAGGCCCATGGTTCCAACGTTGCTTTCTGAAACTCCTCTAGAAAATAAGCTCCAAACTTGGCTTTGACCGCCATCAATCGGCCACCTGCCAGCATTGCTTGGTTCTCTTGGCGGACCCTGTCGCACACCAAAACACCATGGCAGCGAAGGACGATCGGCCGCGGACGGGAGCCCATGGTTGCCAAAACGTTGCTTCTGAATCCCTAGAAAATAGCTCCAAACTTGGACTTTGCCGCCCTTCATTCGGCCAACTGCCAGGCTGCTTGTGTTTCTTGGCGGACCCTGTCGCAGAACCAAAACCCATGGCAGCGAGACGGATCGGGCCCGGGCCGGCAGCCCATTGTTCCAAAGTTGTTTCTGAACCCCTAGAAACTAGCCTACCAAAACTTGGACTTTGCCCGCCCTTCATCGGCCACCTGCCAGCTTGCTTGTGTTCTCTTGGCGGACCCTGTCGCAGCACCAAAACACCATGGCAGCGAAGGACGGATCAAAACCTAGCTGTCTGACCCAAAACGGCGCCTGCGCCACAGCCAAACAGCAGGGCCCTGAGAGACGGACCGGGCCTGCGAGCCACGGCCATGAGTACCTAACGTGGCTTTCTGAACCTACAAGAAAACCTCGCTGTCTGACCCAAAACGGCGCCTGCGCCACAGCCAAACAGCAGGGCCCTGAGGGACGGACCGGGCCTGCGGGAATTGCTTCTTGCTTCTTGCTTCTTCTTTCTTGTTTTCTTGCTTCTTGCCCTTGCTGCTTGTAATCACTTCTTGGCCCTTGCTGCTGGTAATTCCTCCTCTGACGCGCTCCCCCTGCTGCAAGCGGGGTCGGCGGATTACAGTATATAATTCTGTATATATATATATATTTATTGCATATACACATGCAATCATGTAATATACATAATCATGTATATATATATATAGACATACAGTGTAATATACAGTATATGATTGTGTATATACAAACGGCATATTGACTTGAAAGGCACTTAAGTTCTTCACTTTCCGACGAGTCAGATTCAGCAAAACGAGGCATCCCATCATTTCTCAGGTGCTGAAGAAGCAAACGGCAGCTCAGTTGGAGTGTATCCGACGACAAGAGCAGCTTGCCAGTTTTTTCGCAACATTTTGGGTGACAGATCTGGGTTTCCGGGGAATGTCAACAGTTGGCTCCAGGTGTGTTATGGCCTTGATACACTTTCGATCGGTTTCAGGAAGACAAAGAGGTGAATTTTGTGGGTGCCACCAGCATTTAGACGATAGGCTACACATCTGTGTGCATAATGTGTATGTGAGTAGATAGATAAAATATTTTTAGCTCTATCTACAATGGATAAACATGTGTATAGAACGGTATAGATATATTTATACACAGCTGTTTATCTAAGGAAATTTAGAACTGAAACTTCCGACTTGTGGACAGATGCAGCAACAGTGGTGTGAAGAGTCAGAGAAGACAAAGAGTCAGAAGACAAAGTGTCAGAGAAAGAGTCAGAGAAGAGAGAGTCAGGGGAAAAAAATATCAGAGTGCGCGAAAAGGTAGAAAGTTGCGACACACATCATAGCCATTGAATATATATATATAGTACTTCTGTATCTATATCTATAAATACAGCGCCATTAACATAGATTAACTATAAATGGCCATGTTTTTCTGTGTCGGGTCGACTACCGTAGGCTAGGTCGCTAAAGCGCATGACAGCGGCAGCTGCGGAGCCATCTGGTCCTGAACGCTGCAGTTGCTCCACATATCATTCAGCAACTGCAGCGTTAAAAAAGCTTGAAAAGGTAGGTCTAGGGGAGGCTAGCAAATATGTATGTATATATATATATACATATTGTCTACATAAACAGATGAGTACATGTATAGGTACATATTTAACTATATATTTAACTATATATATACACGCATATATACAGCGTATATAGATATATACATATATATATATATGTACATATATATATGTATATATATACACATATGTATATTTCTAAATATCACTATTTATATTGGGATACAGCTATATATGTACAGTTGTATGTACAACTATACACAACTATGTATAGTATACTTAAACATCTATTGTAACGCGCCCTGGCGCTCGGCGTGTTTCGCCATGTTTCACCCTTTTGTTCGCGCGTCAGTGAAGCCGATGGCTATCACAAGAAGCTCATCGAACAGCATCAAAGCTTTCTGAAGGCCAAACAAGACATGGAGGTGCCGCGCCACGGCCGAGTTGGGTTTCAGTCTCCAGGTAGCAATGGATAACCAATGGATTGGTTGTCTCAGAAAAACCTTTCTGAGATATTTGAAAATGATAGATGAATGATTTCATCATTGAATATCACCAGTGATCAACATATTCATAACCATTATCAACATATATCATTACATATATCATTACATATATCATTACATATATCAACATATTATCAACATATATATATATATATATCATGACATAATAAATATCACCATCATCAACATGATCACCGTCCCACCATCTTGCCATCACTCCCAATAGTTCACCCCCTTGCGTCAGTGGCTTCTTCGATGGCAAGGAGAGCACAATTGCAATGAGATGCTGGGATTCGTCGAATGTTCGGGTCGAGGGTCGAGGGTCGAGTCGATTGGGTCGACATTGGTGGATTGTTTTTTTTTGGGAACCAGCAACCATTGGGGAAACCATGAGTTTATGGTTTTTCTTAACCAAAAAAAACGGTGGTTTCTCTACTTTTCGCCTGTGAATGTGTGTTGAACAGGAGGATTTTCGGTGCATGTGCCATGGTCAAAAAGTTGGGTCGGATTTTCCCATCATTGATGGGATGCTCATCCACCAGTTCTCTCCGGATTCACAGGGATTCCCAGTGGCTCCGATTTAGAACTGAACTGACCCATAGCTGGATAGCGCTTTGGAGAGGAACAAACACTTTGGGTCAGTTGGATAGTGCAAAGGAACTCTAGAAACGTGAATTGGGAGGATTTTGGGGAAACTTCCGGCGACTTTGAAAAACTCAGGCAGCTGGTGGATATCATGTTCAATGCCCCAGAGGAGCATTTGGAAGTCTCGGGGGCAGCCTCAGGTGCGGCGTGGTGTGGGTCAAAAACTGTTCCCCTTTGAAAATATGAACACCTTTTTCAAGAGAAGATTCGAAAGTGTGAGCACCCGCCAGGTCATACCAGAACTTGCGACATCACAGTTTTGAAAGCGGCAATTTGCCCACAGACACATCACGGCAGACTGTTTAAGATGACTCTTAGGTTTTTCATCCCATCCCCCGTTGATATTTTATTAAACGCTTGCATTCTGTTCCAAATCTGTGATGTCATCCCCATGCACCGTGGTTTCTGGGTGTTTCGCAGGTTTTTATTTGGATTTTAGGGTTTTGAGAAGGCATTGGGGAAGGTTGCGCGCCACCATATTATATATATATAATTATATATATATATGTATTATATGAGGCTTCAGACAATTCAACTGGGAGAAACTTTTTTTTGGCCGGACCGAAAAGATGTACATGCACTCCCACACACACACACAGACGAAGATACCTGTAGTCTATAGATGTATCACCTGTATATAAATATCACATCATCCGATATATAATGATGTGTATATATATATACTTATATCTATCTCATATCATATCAACATCATATCATATATCATGCAACATATAATGTGATATATCATGCAATGTATCATATCCTGTATCACATCACGAAAATATGTGTGTATAATTGTGTATGTATCTATATATATAGATACATACACATCATATGAACATGCCACACAGACACAGAATACATAGTTGTATGTAGTTATGTACAGTATTTGTATATATATATATACACATTTATACAAGCTATAACACACACAAATACATATTATACAGTGCAGGCACATTATGAATTCATATATATATATAGATTTGCATATACTAGAATGTGTATATAATGTATATATATATATGTATTACAAGTAACTACAAACCAATTGAATATTCGTTTTTTATTTGGTGCTTCTGGAAGTCAGTTCGCTTCTGGTTGTCAGGTGCGAATTGCCAAAAGGTCTGCACCTTAAACGGCTTCGAACCTTGGCAGTCGGCGTTGGTATTTGGAGCTTTGAAAGAATGGGCTTAGCCATCAATAAATAGTGATTTCATGGGATTTATTATTATTATTGTTATTATTGTTATTATTATTATTATAATATATATACATTATATAATATTATATATATACATTATATATATACATTATATATATATGTATATTGGGACTTCAATTTGAAAATGATAGTTAAGCGTGGTTTGAACATGCAAACAAATCACCATTTCGTAATTCAAAAAATGGTGATTCGTTACTTACTCTCTGGTGTCATCAAACATGGCGGGCTGGGAAATCGCCGGGCCGCCATGGGAAAACCATGGGACTAGGAAGACTAGCTCGCTGTGAACGGTGATCACCAAGGTCAGGGTTACTCCGGTTAGCATGTAGCCTCTGGTAAACTAAGGCAGCGAACTGGAAAATCACCATGATTTTCATGGGTAAATCAACTATTTCTATGGAAAATCACCATTTTTAATGGGAAAATCCACTATTTCTATGGAAAATCACCATTTTTAATGGGAAAATCGACTGGGCCATGGCTTCCAGTTCGCGAACTGTTAGTCAAACTACCGGAGGGTAGGAATGATTTGACTCAACTCACCTCTGAACATTTCGCCCTCCCATACGCTGAGGATGGCTTCTCTTGGAGTCGTCAAGGGGGATGTATCCTGAAATCCTTAGGCACGGCGGATGATCAACTGCAAACACAGCCATCAAATCACAAATTCGAAGTCAAATCGCAAAACTCAGTTGGTCCCGGGACGTTTCAAGGACTGGCCATGAACGCTGTGCTTGTTGGTCCACCATTGGCATGTCCGGCAGGTCAAAGTGTCAGTTTCCAGGCGGGATTGACCATGAGAGCAGCTTCACCAGTGATGGCACCACGTTGGTTTCTGGTCCCGCCATTCCCAGGCGGTCCACAGCGAAGGAAGCTACTCAGGCTATGCCTGCTCACAGCAGGCCACCTACCTTCCCTGGATCACTGACGAGGTGGGGACGACATGCTGAGCATTGCCGAAGTGGACAGCCATGGATTTCTTCGGTTTGTTCAATGATCGAAGTAAATGGGCACATCTTCCATAGCATTCCATGGCAACGTTTGACATTTCAGCCACGACCCCACGGCCCTGGAATGCCCTGGACCATGTGGTGACGATGACGTAGAAGTTGGGCGTACAGGTTGCCGGAGTCAAAAAGAAACATAGCTCCCCCCAAAAGGCCATCAAATGGGGAAACTGAAGATAAATCACTGAATAAATCACCTCCTTCAGACAGACCAAGTTGAAAAAACTCTACGATGTGAAAGAAATGGCAAGTTGAAGGAAGACACTACACTGAATGGACGTTGAAATTAGGATCCGGAAAATCTTGCCAAGTGTAAGTGTAAGTGTGTGTGTGTGTGTTTCCACTCGGAGTGGCTACATTGGGAAACGAGCAAATCTGATCGGCACCTGTGTCTACACCATCTCATGCGAGGACACAATCAGATCCCACTGATGTTACACAGATACTAGGTAGCATATGCATACATTTTATTGCAGATGTGCCCGTACGTCTGGTATAAGGAGCAGAATGTATCTGTGTAAGTATTCATGGGAGCTTACCCTCTGGTAATTTAACAGTTCGCTTTTTGGAAGCCATGGCCATGCAAAAAACATAGGTAAGCCGGTAAACCATTTGGGTATGGATCAATACCTATTAATACCATTTTGAGGGGAATGAACATCCATTTGCCAGCTATTTTGATGTTCACCAGGGGTACAAGGTTTTGACACACTGCCATTTATCAATGGGCCATTTTCATCCATTTTCCAGTTCGCAAACTCTTCGTTTACCAGGGTGGTCATCCACAGCCATCACCATTCGTAGTCGTACGAAACATCTCCCAGCGCAAGTTTCGCAAGTTTGGAGTCACCATGATCTCCAGTTAAACATAGTTAAACTATGTCAAATCATGTTAAATCACCATAGATTCACAGATAACTATAGAATACTATAGATAACTCATGATCACCTGCGCCAGGCACAGAAGCACACGCTCTATGATGGCATGACGAGTACCGCTGCCCCCGGTGTAACGTTGCCACAGAGCACCTTCTGCTTCATGTCACCTGGACGAAGCTCATGGGGTGCGTCACGCTACGGCTGGAGGTTTCTGAAAAATGATAAAAACGGCGACCCCAAAGCATGGCTTTTACCAGTGACAATAGCTAATCAGAATCAATGCTGGATGATTTTGGGGCACTCCCCATTTTAGGACACCCCCATGCAGATGGACCATGTACTGTGGTGAAATTGGTAAGGTATAATCCATTTCAAGTCGTGAATGTGAGACAACATGTGCTTGCTGGTTTCAATGAGTGTTGATTTTCACGCGAAATGTCAAATTGAGACATGGCTAGTTCCTAGCCACTTGCGGAAGCTGGGGGTATTGATGGCTGAACCAAATTGGCACCCCACCAGATTCACCAGATCAACTGGGGCGTTGAAACAACTGCACCAGGATCGCCAGGACTAAAAATAGCATGGTCCGGTGCTTTGGAACAAGGCTTTAAAAAAAACTTTCCAGAAACAGTTGGGAATGGAAAAATCATCCCCTGCCTGACGAGCGAAGTCCATCATTTTTCAGAGGGGTAGGCGGCTCAACCACCAACCAGATTGTTGATTGGCTACGTTTCATAGGGCATTCCACTAGCTGAATAGATTGGTGAATCACTGGAGAGGCAGTTTCTGCCTCACTGCAGGTTACTCCAGCCCTACAGCGATGATGTGAAGTTGGCCGCTGGGAATCGCGGGTGGGATTAAGGATGAAACAGTCGTTGATCCATGTAGGGGACCTTGGGGCCAAATTTGAGATCCATTCTTTCAGATACTCCCTAGATCATTGGGGTTATGATTCCAAGTCATAGATTCATAGATCATCTCTCCCTATGAAGGCCAGAGGGGTGGCCATACTGAAACAGTGACTTCGGAGAAATGAACTGGGTCCCATTGAACTTGATTGATGAAAGGCTCATCTTTTCACACAAAGCTGAGAGATTACAGCCTTTTTTTTTACGGTGTAAGACCAGATTTGATTCTAATGGTCTTGACTCAGGGTATTCTGGGGTGAACTAACATAGATGTTGGAAACCCACCATGTGTATATAATTTTCCGAACGGGTTTCCCCATGGCTTTTTCCCACATCTTCTTTTGTATGTTTAGAGGAGGGTAACTCACCCATAAAAGTTGGTGATTCCCAACAAAAATCTTGCGGACCGAGCTAGTCTGACTCATTGAGCAAAAGATCTGAAAATTCAGGGCAAAACCGAAAACTAAGTGGATGGTGAATCAACCATTGATTAACCATTGATTAACCATTGGTTATCCATTGGTTAACCCATTGGGCTCATCATTTTTCCAAGTTTTCCATGGGCCATCTTGGGGTTCGAAAAAAAAAAACAACATGTCTCGGACCGAGGTATCAGAACAATCTCGTTTGGGCAAAGGAATCTTCAGCTGAGACTCGCCAAGAATGGGAGAGGTTTTGGGCACTGACTTGTTGGGAATTGGGAACTACATACTTCGGGGTGTACTGGGGTTATTAATAAGTGCAACTATGGTCATAAGCCCCTATAGTTTGGGATACAACCCCCATAACTTTGGGTATATATCCACATATATCTGGGACTGCACTTCCAAGGAACTACATTCAGACTCTCATTTTAATGCCAGTTCCTGTCATTTATACACCTGCTGCTTGCGCATTTCTAATCAAAGATTGGCATCCAAAACAACTATCAAAGACTACGTATATATTATATACGTATATATATATACATTAAGCAAGTGGACGTTAAGGAACTTCTGAAACAACTATTGAGAAAACACATGGCTTAAAACTTCTGAAGCCTGACTTTCTCACTGGTGAGGTGATCATTCAGCTGTCTACAGCAGTCAGCAGCTGGAACTGCCCAGCGGCCTCAAGACGTGTCTTGGTGTGTTGCCTGGGCCTTGGGGGTGTAAGCGCTTGCTGGTGCCCCGTAGTTCGCCAAGTTGGTGCATCTCCAACTTGGGTTTATGGATTGTTTATGGTATACCCTCTGGTAAACTAACATAGCTATTGAAAATGGCCATTTATATCCATTTATAGTGGATTTACCCATTAAAAATAGTGATTTTCCATAGCTATGTTAGTTTACCAGAGGGTATATCTCGAGCAACGTTCACATCACTGTCACCACATGGTGGGATTTTCATGGGATTTCCCACCGGATATGTTTGGAATTGTGGAGAATGATTCGCAGCGACTGGGATGATGCAGCGACTTTGCATTGCTGGAATCGAAATCCCCTGGGACCAGGAATTCCAGCCCGTGATGTTTGCCATGTATAGACACATGAGATATAATAGCACGCTGCACACACATATATATATAACTATTATTATTATCATTATTGTTATCATTGTTATTATCATTGTTATTATCATTGTTATTGTCATTGTTATTATCATTGGTATTATAAAAAATATTGTTATGTTTTTTAAACATTATTGTCATTATAGTATTACTTATTTATTTATTTATTTATTATATATTATCACATATATATATGTATACAAACATATTATATATATATTATACACATACCCTCTGGTAAACTAACATAGCTATGGAAAATCACAATTTTTCATGGGTAAATCAACTAGAAATGGCCATTTGCAATAGTTTTTTGTATGTTTACCAGAGGGTATATCCCATTAATATCCCATTGAATCACCATAAAATCCCATTGAATCACTATAAAATCCCATTAAATCACTATCAGTTCATGTTTGGTAACCATTCATCTCAGCCATCCGACACCCTAAACCCAAGGAGAAAGATCTATTCGTCACAGATGGCGGAGAAGGGCGGGCAGTGGAATGTCGCGTCTCGGCTAAAGCGGCCATGGCTCGGGATGAAATTCCGGCCAAATGATGCCAAATTTCAATGGCTATTGAAAAATAGGGAAAATGAGGTTTTAACCACTACAAAAAACCATGGCTAGGTCGGTTTTTTTTTTCCGATTTTCCCTGAATTTTCTGATAAAACCATGTGGGATTCTAGTAAACATGCCAGCAAGATAGTTATAGCACAAAGGGATCCATCGCGGGGATGCATGGGTTCCAACGACTGTCCTGTGTCGACACCTGGCATCACCGATCTGGTCAACTTTAGTAAATCATTCAACCCATCTTCCCCCCAAAAATGGTTTATATATGTTTATATTATACCACCCATCAACATGTATAAACTATTATAAACTTGTATAAACATGATAAGTCATTGCAACTGGTGGGCTGGATGCTATGGTTTTTACTGCACGATGGTCACCGGCGCCGGCTTCAGCCCCAGGAGCTCAACACCGATGTGACGATGGCGCTGTTCCGAGAGGTCTTGAAGGACCCTGAGTGGCGACAGGCGCGTTTTGCCGTTTCCGGCGTTTCCGGCGTCGAAGGGCGTCGAAGGATAGTCTGGTTGAGGGGAAGCCCATTTTTTTTCCGAAAATGATGGGTACACCCCAAGTTAATGGCTGTTTCACCAATGGAACTGGGGTATCTATTTTCAGACAAACCTATATAGCTGTGTAAATGGCACACATTACTTTACTTCGAGTGATCCCCACTGTGACACACAATTCTGACATAGTTTCTGACATACCAGCTGGAAGTGTATATATATGGCATATATATTCTGACATTCTCTGACATTCTTTCCGGCATTCTATCTGGCACCTATTCTGGCATTTTATCTGGCAATCTATTTGCCATTCTATCTGGCATCTATATAATGCATACTGTATCTACATAACATATCCACATAACATATCCACATAACATATCCACATAACATATCCACATCACATATCATACTATATCATACTATATCATACTATATCACACTATATCATACTATATCATACTATATCATACTATATCATACTATATCATACTATATCATACTATATCATACATCATCATCATCATCATCATCATCATCATCATCATCATCACCATCACCATCATCACCATCATCACCATCATCACCATCATCACCATCATCACCATCATCACCATCATCACCATCACCATCACCATCATCATCATCATCACCATCATCATCATCATCAGCATCATCATCATCATTATCATATATACATGTATATATATAGCATGATATCATGATATCATGTATATCTACATCGATTATATCTATCTGTCTATCTACCTATCTATCTATCTATCTATCTAGCTATCTAGCTATCTAGCTATCTAGCTACCTAGCTATCTAGCTATCTAGCTATCTAGCTATCTACCTATCTATCTATCTATCGATCTATCTATCTATCTAATCTAATCTAATCTAAATCTAATCTTAATCTAATCTTAATCTAATCTTAATCTAATCTAATCTAGTCTAGTCTAATCTAATCTAACCTAATCTAATCTAATCTAATCTAACCTATCTATCCATCTATCCATCTATATATGTGTATATATATATATGTATATTTGTACAGTAATCTCCAGTCGAGTCCATGATTTTCCCAGTTTTTTTTTTTCCGTTTTATGGATCCGCTGCTGTTCAGCGGTCAGGCCAGATGGATGATCTTCGTGGATCCGCAGTGTGTCTTTTCGGCGCCCAAGTTGCATCGGCTCTTGGCACGCCAGGCGCGGGTCCGGGAGACCCGATGGGACATTTTTTCATCCCATAGGTTGGGATATAATACGGTATTCCATATATATATATATATCTATGTATACATATATATATGTATGTATGTATGTATGTATGTATATATATATATCTGGTTGGTGGTTTGGAACATGAATTTAATGACTTTCCATTCAGTTGGGAATAGTTAATCCCAACTGACGAGCATATTTTTCAGAGGTGAAACCACCAACCAGTATGTGTGAATGTGTATATATATATTTCACCCAGAAACCAAAGTTGGGGATGATTCTACGAGATATTTTCATGATTAATTATGATTATGCGATCTGGATCATCCATTCTATGGGATAATAAATGGAGAATAATCATCAACTGTCTATGAACATTCCATGCTTCGATGTGCATCCCTCGAATCGGATCGGTGGTTTATAATCCATATATAATCCATATTTCATCGCATAGAAAAGTGGGGATATTCCATATATAACTACATAGGTTTTTTTTTCACCCATTTACTAAGTGAGGCCCGCACCCCTCAAGTAGTTCTATGGGATAATTATGATAATTATGGGTTAGTTATGGGGAAATGGATCAACCCACAATTATGGGATAACATCTAAAATCAACCCATAATTATCCCTCAATTCTATGCGAAATGGATAATGATAACCCAGAATTAAGGGATAAGAAGCCAGGTTGATTTTAAGGGTTGAAGCCATGAGACATTGGGAGATCAAGTGGCAGACATGGCAGACATGGGAAAGAAACTCATAGAAACTAGGGTTGATAGATAACACTGGGGACTGAAAAAAAGGCAGAGATCGTTGGGGTTGAAGAATCATGAGCTTTGTGTTTGTTGGAGTTCAGCAAAGCTGGATTTTAAACAATCGGGATGAGCATCTGCGAATCTCGAAGACGCAGCATTCTGGGATGTCTCCACATTGTTGCACTAGAGCCAATGGCAGAAAAATGATTAATTAGGCAACATATGGTAAAATGGTAGATGAAACATATGGACTACAGATGATTGCAGTGGCAAACCGAATAATGACACATCCCGAATGAGGGTTTATGAAGTTGTGAAAACCCCTACTTGGGATGATATTTTTCATCGACCGCAGTCATGGTTTGTTGATGGTTTATGGCGTTGGGTTTGCCACATCAACGCAATTAACTTGTGCTCATGCATTTAACTTGCATCACAAACTTTAGACTTTAGTGTCTTCCATCCCCTACACCACAGCCTGCGGTGAGTGGTCTGTTGTCAGAATTGCTTGGAGGATTCATCGCATTTTTCGTGGCTAACAATTCTAGCTAGTCAGTCCCCAGTACAATATTGCATATCGCATTTATACACGGGGCATACCTATGGGTATAATTATAGGTATAACTATGGTTCTTCAGCAGTTATGCTTTCCATAGGTTATTTGGGATCCCTTTCTCCTTGCCCTTTGGTAAACTGACAGAACTATGGAAAATCACAATTTTTCATGGGCAAATCAACTATTTCGACTGGGTCATTTTCAATAGCAAACTCTTGGTTTACCAGAGAGATATCATGTTATATCCAATACGGTACCCCATTATTATATAACCATTCTTAACCAATGATTAACCATTTTTATCCATTGATTAACCATTGATTAACCATTGGTTAACCATTGATTAACCATTGTTTAACCATTGGTTAACCATTGATTAACCAGTGATTATCCATGGATTATCCATTGATTAACCATTGTTTATCCATCGACTAACCTTTGATTAACCATTGATTAACCATTGATTAACCATTGATTGACCATTGATTAACCATTGAGTATCCATTGATGAACCACTGCTTAACCATTGATTAGCCATTGATTAACCGTTGATTAACCATTTTTATCCATTGATTAACCATTGGTTAACCATTGATTAACCATTGTTTAACCATTGGTTAACCATTGATTAACCAGTGATTATCCATGGATTATCCATTGATTAACCATTGATTAACCATTGATTAACCATTGGTTATCCATTGGTTAACCATTGATTAACCATTGATTAACCATTGGTTAACCATTGGCTATCCATTGATTAACCATTGATTATCCATTGATTAACCATTGGTTAACCATTGATTAACCATTGATTAACCATTGATCAACCATTGATTAACCATTGATTATTCATTGATTATCCATTGATTAACCATTGATTAACCATTGGCTATCCATTGGTTAACCATTGATTAACCATTGGTTAACCATTGGTTAACCATTGGCTATCCATTGATTAACCATTGATGATCCATTGATTAACCATTGATTAACCATTGATTATCCATTGGTTAACCATTGATTATCCATTGATTAACCATTGATTATTCATTGATTATCCATTGATTAACCATTGATCAACCATTGATTATCCATTGATTATCCATTGATGAACAATTAATTAACCATTGGTTCACCATTGATTAACCATTGGTTAACCATTGGTTACCCATTGATTAACCACTGATCAACCATTGATTAACCATTGATTAATCATTGGTTAACCATTGATTATCCATTGATTAACCAGTGATTAACCAGTGATTAACCAGTGATTAACCATTGATTATCCATAGATTAACCATTGATTAACCATTGATTAGCCATTGATTAACCATTGATTAACCATTGATTATCCATTGATTAACCATTGATTAACCATTGATTACCCAATGATTAACCATTGATTATCTATTGATTCACCATTGATTACCCATTGATTAACCATTGATTAACCATTGATTAACCATTGATTATCCATTCGTTAACCACTGATTAACCATAGGTCAAAAATTGATTATCCATTGATTATCCACTGATTAACCATTGATTAACCATTGATTAAACATTGATTACCCATTGATTTACCATTGATTAACCATTGGTTAACCATTGATTATCCATTGATTAACCATTGGTTAACCATTGATTATCCATTGATTAACCAGTGATTAACCATTGATTAACCATTGATAACCATTGGTTAACCACTGATTAACCATTGATTAACCATTCATTAGCCATTGGTTAACCATTGGTTATCCATTGATTAACCATCGATTAACCATTGATTAACCATTGGTTAACCATTGATTATCCATTGATTAACCGTTGATTAACCATTGATCAACCATCGATTAACCATTGGTTAACCATTGATTAACCATGGATTAACCATTGATTAACCATTGATTGTCCATTGATTAACCATTGATTAACCATTGATTAACCATTGATTATCCAGTGATTAACCATTGATTATCCATTGATTAACCATTGATTAACCATTGATTAACCATTGATTAACAATTGATTAACCATTGATTATCCATTGATTAACCATTGATTATCCATTGATTAACAATTGATTAACCATTGATTATCCATTGATTAACCATTGATTACCCAATGATTAACCGTTGATTAACCATTGATTAACCATTGATTAACCATTGATTAACCATTGATTAACCATTGATTAACCATTGATTAACCATCGATTATCCATTGATTAACCACTATAAATCACCACGATAAAAAACAACGATTGCCGATGGGAAAGTTCAGCCGTCACCAGGGGCTCGTGGATACGCTGGCCTTTTTGGTGTCGCCATCCGTGGGATTTCCCAGTTACTTTCAGGCGAGGATGGGAGATACCGATATATGAAGCATGGTGGAAGTATGTGAAAGTTCGCCCATTCCAAAATTGGGGGTTGTAATACAATATATATATATATTTTATTATTATTATTATTACTATTATTACTATTATTATTATTATTGTTATTATTATTATTGTTATTGTTATTATTATTATTATAATATATATATATATATTTATATCAATTATCTAACATAATCCCAGGGTTCCTGTAGATTCATGACCCGGTGAATTTGCGTCCCAGTGGATTCTCTGGCAGGTGATGTCTCAGAGTGCGCTGAAGACCTTGGCCGAGAAGAGCCGCGCATGTTATTGGCAGATGCGATGCAACTCGTTCGAAGAATGGCTATTTTAGCCATGGGTAAAACCATGGATGCAATCATTTTTCCAGGATATCAATATGAGATGTAATATTCACCACCTGGAGATATATATATATATACATATATATATATATACATATATATATACATACATATATATATATATGAATGATGGGTTTACTACTACAATTAATTATAAACCACCTATCATTCCTCCAGAAATGGAGTTTAACATGATAGTTCAAGCCATCAGAAAATAAGGGAGATGGCTATGGGCCAAAACATATTTTGGGTTCGACATGGCGACAAGTACTTACACATGACGGAAATCAATTTCAGGGTTCCGGAGGTGAATTTTGACCACTACTGTACACAGGTGTGGGCCTTTTTAAGGCAGTACCTCAGATATCTTGGAGGGTCCACAGATTTTCATATGTTTGATAAAGTCATGGAGTGACCTTCACCCATGCCATTTCCGGCCATGGGCCCCGTCCCAAAATGGACACCACCATGACCACCAAGTTTTTTCTTCCTGTGCTATTGGTGGTGCATGAAGTGAGTCTCAAGCAACTCAGTGGGAGTTCCGCATTGCGCTGCTCGCAGATTGGGGAGACACTCAATACCACGACTCCATGTGGCTAGATACGTGCCTTGACGAATTCCGGGGAAGTGGTGCCACGAAGTGGCTGGTTCGGCTCCAGTCGCGGGGGTTGGGGTTTTTACTCGACATACCCGAAAACGATCGAAAACAATGATTTGCCATGATTTTCCTATAGGTTCGAATGAAGAAGAATTGGGGATTTCCAGTGGTAAGACAAATTACTGAAAGGTTTTGCCAGTTCCAGACCAGAAATGTAGCCTGAGGTCTGACAGGTAGTCAGTGTCAGAGATTAGTCAGTTCCTTTCAAAGGTGCACCGGTGGGACTTCACAATGGTGCTAGCATCTAGGTTTCATGAGGTTTCCAATGGGGGTTCCCCAAATCATCTGGCAGATTCAATATCAGTTTTATTGAAACCGAAACCAGTGACTCAGAAATCCCCCAGGTTTCTCCGAGAACCCGAGATTCGAACGGTCGTCGTCGTCGTCGTCGCCGTTTTTTTCCGTGACTTAGGTGTTTGAAACAGACCGTGAACGCCAGGCGCGGGGTGGTGAACCCTGGTGCCCCATCCAGGTAGAGGTTTTTGATGGTTTTTTGGTAGCCAGAAAAGACCTATGGATGGCCATCCCATAGCTATGACTTACGTTACATTTGTTAAAACAGGTGCAACTTTTCTCTGGTTGAGTGAGTGAATAGATAGCAGAGAAGAGGCAGCTTTTTGAACAAGTAAAGTAAAGTAAAGCATCGAACTAAACGGGCCGTGCCACAGGTTTCCTTGCGAAAAACATCTGGGGCACAAGCAGATCAGGCTTTCTGAAGGTTGCCAATATTCTCAATTCCAAAAAACTTAAAAAATGGAGAATCTCTGTTTCCTCACTTTTGGGAATGGTTGGTGACTTTGGAAAGCGTTGGTTCAAATTTTGTACTTGACCCTGGGCTTGCAACATTTTGGATTTTCACTTTTGGATCCCATGTTGTTCTTTATGTGCACCATTGTCCACACCAATGAATTAGTGTATGTCCCGGCAATGCTTTCGGTTGCGAAACTGGCTTATTTTCGTTTCAAAAAAATTGCACCTTTTTATACCCTCTACAGCAGGCAACGGTATTCTACAAGGCGTGCACTTTTTGAACAGTAAAGTCATGACGTGAACAATTATCATGACAGCCAACGACATACAGACACCGCGGTCATGATCAAGAAAAAACAGGAGCTTAGTGCACCAAAACTTTTCTGCGGTGTCAAGGCATTGTGCATCATCACATGCAACATATATTCTTCCACATTACAAGTTTCAGTCAGCCAGTAGTATTACAAACTTGCTCAGCGGCATTTTTCATAAACATGGTACATCTCATAAAGCTTCTGGTTTGACCTTTATCATTTTTCAAATTATGCCCATGCATCCCCATGCAAAAAAAACTGATCCTATTTGCTGCACTTTCCTTCTTGGCTTTGTTGGCTTGATGCGCTGCCTTGCCAAAAGCATGCGGCAGCTTCGATGCCTATCTCTTTGCAGTGGTGTAAGAGTTGTTGTGTTTGGACAAGTCCTGGTGTCTAACAAGAATTCTGGGAACCATGTGCCATAACACAATTGCTTTCTTGGTCAGGTAAAAGTGTTGTTAGGTGTGAGGAGGCCTTGCGCAAAAGGCCTCTTCAGACGTACACCTTCAGCAAAAGCCCTTAAATGAGGGGCCCTCTTAGATAATGAATCCCTGTCACTGGCGCGCTGTTAGACGATGCTCTCATCTAAGTACTAAACATTTTATCTAAGAAGTGTGTATAGGGGCAAAAATGAGCATTCTGTTAGATGAAAGACAAAATGGGTTAAGTGTGAGGCCATCCGTAAAAAAGGACTTTTCTTAGGAAACATGGGGTTTTGTTCAGGTTTTTTGGCTTCCGGTTTAATAATCTAATACATGGCCTTAGGGTTAGGGTGTGCTCTACAAAAGGGGATAAATGGGGTGTAACGATATGAATTGACTTGGGCGCCAACTTCGTGGCGGACCCTGAATCCGAAACCCCAACCCTCATTTTGATCAAATCCAAATCTCAAGGTTCAATATTTTTGACGCACGAACATATTTGCACAAAGAGAACAGTTCAATTGTTTTTCACGGCCTTTGTGGTTTGAATGCCTCGGTTTTTTCCACCTTTTCTTGTGTTTTTCTGATGCTCATTTCGTGATTTTTTTGCTGCCCGCCTATTTATATAATTTATAGACACATAGAAAGAACACCAGGATATATATTTTTTATTTTCCGGATTTTCTCGTGCTCTAGGCCCGTGTTTTTTTTCGTGTTTGCTCGTGTTTTTTCTTTGCATTTTCTGCGTTTTTTTGTGGTTTGCTCGTGTTTTTTCGCGTGCCCCTTTCCGTGGTTTGCTCGTTTTTTTTGCGTGGTTTTCTCACACTTTTGTGGGTTGCCAATTTTTTTGGATCAGTTAATTTATTGAGTCTGTCTTTGTGTCAGGCTTGAAGATTTGTGCGCTGAATCACCGCGGTCTCCTTGGAAAAGGAACATCGTTTTCTTCACTTTATCTCGTTTTTTTCTGGTGCCCACTGTTACAGCGAATGGGCCGTACACAATAGTATTATATTTATATATACATATACATACAAAGCTATGTCTATACCATAGCAAACTGTAAGAAATTACCGACGGGTCAAAAATTTAAGGGGATATGCTAGCCAGGATAATTTTTTCCTCTCTCTTCTAGGATTTCCTGTTTTGAAAGTTTCACAGAATCTGAAACGACCTGGTGAATGTTGGGACCTGCGACCTGACCTATGACATACTTTAGATAGACATATGGATGGGATTTGATGTTTTTTTTGATGCTTTGGATGCAAAGTCAATTTTTTTGTGGTGTAAAACGTGTAAAACCCTAGGGTACCTGTTATCAACACATATTAACCACTATTACAGTACCCATTATTACCCATTATTACCCATTATTACCCATCATTACCCATTATTACCCATGATTACCCATTATTATCAGTATGATAAATTATTACCCATTATGATCAATTGTTAACCATTATCAACTATTGTTAACCATGCCAGGCGGGTCGAAGTATCTGAACTCGTTGGCACGACAAAAGGCAGGATGGAGCTTTGGCCAGCGATACCATGGAAATTTTGCCCAGATGTACATACGTTACAGAACATATGTACATGTATATGCATATATAACACACATATATATATATAACAAGTATATATATATATAACAAACAAATATATATATATATATAACAAACAAACATACATATATATATATATATAATTACAACGTGTATAAATAAATATATATATATATACATATAACATGTACATAGATAGTAACATATCACAATGTAATATATATGTAAAACAGTAACAACATACCAGATGTTGTGGTTTTCCTTCATTGTGGGCATGTTTTTATGCTCATTCAACTCTCGTTGAGCGTTCTGATCACCGATGGGTGAATCTCTCAGCGCAGGTGTCTCTGAAGCACCAGATATTCTGTGGATGAAATATGATGAAATTATCAAATAATTATGTATATAAATATATATACACATACACATGTAAATCACTAATTCTCTCTGCAGCTGCTTTTGAGTGGATTTCCTCGACTTCCCTCGTGCTGCTCTCAGCGCAGGTTGCCACCATTCACATGTTGCTGCCTGGCCCATGGAAACCGTTGATGCACAAAGGAGATTTGCCCGCTGGGCCCTGGAGTTTTGGGGTTTCTGCCCAGAAAATCTCATGGAAACAGGAGGTCAGGGTAGGCTTCGTACAGTTATAACCAAGGTTTTGACCCACTTATCATTGGGATGAGCCACCAAGGGGTACTCCAACGCACTGACTGAGGACCCTTATTTTTTTTTTGTTTTTCTCGACCATTCCGAACTGGATTGTCAGTGATCAGAGCCAACACAAGGTGATTTGCAGCTGGCTCCCATTCAAATTTATCCTGCCAAATGGGTTTGGTACCTGACAATTTAGGGGACAACCTCCCAGCTCCAATGCATTTGAATGTCAGAAGGGTACACCCATGGTACACCCCTATCTTCCGACCAAGAAAACATGGCAAGTTTAACACCTTCTTATATATATATATAGATGTACACATAATATACATAATATACATAATATACATAATATACATAATATACATAATATACATAACATTCATAATATACATATGCATAATAGACATAATATACATAATATACATAATATACGTAATATACATAATATACATAATATACATAATATACATAATATACATAATATACATAACATACATAATATACATAATATACATAATATACATAATATACATAATATACATAATATACATAATATACATAATATACATAATATACATAATATACATAATATACATAATATACATAATATACATAATATACATAATATACATACACATACATACACATACATACACATACATACACATACATACACATACATACACATACATACACATACATACACATACATACACATATCATGTATCCCAATGATATCACTTATCACAGTCACTATTGTTGATGGTAAAACCCATCAGTTTCTGGATCACCCAAATCCGTATCTGGCCGCGAGGAAGTGCTACATGTGAGAGGCGCCTAGTGGGTGAGATGGCTATCACTGTGCTTAACTTATAAACCAGCTTTACATAAGTTAGGGATAGTTATATAACCTTGTTGGTCTATAAACCCAATGCATACATTTCGGTACTTATATCCCTAACCATAGTTTTTCATGAAATTCATAAATTATTTGCGTCAACTTCAGTGAGCGAATGATTGTAATTTCTTTAATCAGAAATCGAGACGGTTTTTTCCAGCACGGCTAGACACACTGATGCAAGATCTGACAAGTCGGTCACGGGCAAAATCTGAGGAATCTGGGGATCCAGTTACTGACGCTGAATGAGGTTCCTGGATGCTGTTTTTTCAGGGACAGCATCTGTTTAACCTGAAAACTGCCCAGAGTTTTTTTGGTTGTTTTTGAGACACCCCTGATTAAGAGTTGGGCTCAGGGCTGCTATCCAATTTTTTTTGGGGGATTCTTGAGAGTCCATGGGAAATGAAATTCACCAATCAGATCCAGTAAAATGGAAGGGCCCTGCTCAGGTTTTTTCTCGTTGCAGCCGTGCAAAGACCACGGCGGTGAGACTTGCCGGGAGACCGGGACCGCAATCAAGACTCTGAAGCGAAAGGCAAAGCAAACATTTTAGGTTTGTAAGCGCCGTTCCAGTTATACGTGGATAACTATATATATATACATGTATATATAGTTTTTTGGGGCCCCATATCCCAACCAAATAAGCATTGTTCTACCGTTATACCAATAAAAGTAATCTCAAACTACACCCGCAAGTACTATTTTTTTGTTTTGTGGTTTCTTCACAAATGTTGTGTTTCTTTACATACTCTGAGTGATTTTCCTTCTTTTGTTTCATCAAAACTCGACCCGTTCCGTGCCCCCTAAAAATAGATAGTTAATATTCGCCCAAACATCAACCAGCCCGATAAAAGATAATAGTAATATATATATATATATTAAATATACATATATATATAATATATATATATATTATATAAATGTAATATATTGTAATATATATAATATTTATATATATATACACACACACATATGGTCACCTTTTTTTTGGTCAACCGGCCCGATTCTGACTCGGCCAAGCCGATGTCTGACCTGGAAAAGACGGCAGTTCTTCACAGGGATGTCGCCCTGAAGCCAGTTATATGGGAAATCCATGGGAAATGACACATTTCACCATGGAAAATCATGGAAAATCATGGAAAATCATGGAAAATCATGGAAAATCAATGGGAAATCATGGAAAATCATGGAAAATCAATGGAAAATCAATGGGAAATGTGGGTTTTCCATAAATGGGAGTACCCCTTATTGATGGATGGTTTCTTGCATGGAAAATCCCACTAAAATGGATGAATTAGGAATTTAGGGGTACCCCCCATTTGAGGAAACCACCATATAGATTATCACTGTACAATTATAAATAGAATAAATAAATAACATACATAGATGACTAGATGTAGAAACATAAATTAAAAGACAAACAATGATTATGTATATATATATGTATCTGTCTACATTAATATATACATGTATACAAAGTGTATCTAAATATTGGATGGCCAGTGTTGCAACGTTTGTCTTTTCCAGCCACAAACTAGTGCAGTGCGGACAAGAACTGACCCTGTCAGTTGGAAACCGCTGACCCCAGGATGGGGGGATTGTTTCGGGTCTGTTTGCCCCAACGTTGTGCGGCATGGAACCATCCAAAAAGGTGGGAAGTGGCTCGAGGGGATGGCTTTGATCCCTCCGCAACTAAGTGGTTTTTTCTTCAGCAAGCTGTAACTAGATTGGTACCATGGTTATTCACCACTTCACTGGGAGCCCCAAACAGCAGGGTTTGAAGAATTACACATCGGGATGCCACCGAATTTCGCCGCGGAGCCTGCCGGAGCCTGCCGGAGCCTGCCGCTGTTCACATCCAGAGTTTTTGGTGTCACAGGATTTTGGAGAGTCCGCTGTCGCAAAAAGGGTGTGGCACATTGGACCAAGTTTATGGAGGGCTAGAAAATTGAGTGTTTTTTTATTTCCGTTTTTTTTAATTTCTGGTCCCCAGCTTCTCTGCTTGGAGCAAGTTTATTCTGCCCTGAAGCCCTCAAGCGACCGTGAGCCTGGACCGCCTGAATCGCCTGGAAGTGAACATTCCCAAGTGACTGGCAACCCAGGAACTTGGTTGCTTGATGAGTTACCATTTGGTTATTTAACATAGCCATGGAAGCCATGGCCCATTTATAGATGGTTTACCTATTAAAAATTATTTTCCATGGCTATGTTAAATAACCAGATGGTAAGTCTTACCGAAACCAATTTGCGGAATAGTTTATATGAACTCTTCCACACATTTCAATGCGGTAAAGTTCTTTGGCATGGTTTGTAGGACCCCAAAAAAGTGGTCATCAGAAAAATGGCCAGGGCCTTTGGGTTGACGAATCAGCGGAAGGGATTGACGGTTTTGGTTTTGGCCACTGCGAAGCGTTCTGCTCATGATTCATGACAGTTGCGGGTTGGCACAGACTTTCGCGTGTTTGGGACCAGTTTCTGCGAGGGTTTTTCGCTGCGCTATGCGGCTCTAGATCTGACTATAGTGAATCTGCAGAACCATGCTGAGAAGATGTGGCCCATTGGTGAGAATCCCCGGCCTTGCATCCGATTTGCATCATCAGGACCCCAACAAAACCATATTTGAAAATCGTGCAACAAAAACATGTATTTTCACGGGGGCAGCAGCAACACTTCAGCCCGCCATGTCCACGGCGGTCTATGCGGTGCATGCGGCGCAGTGGGCCGCACGCCAGGGTGCGTCCGCGCCGCGGCGCGAGTTCTTCAGCCAGCTGAGGTGACGGACGACGGATCATGACGGGCGGAGCAGGTGACTACCCCACTATACCCCACTAATCCTCAAAAAACGATGGAGATCCCCGGGAGTTCCGGGTTCAGAAATGCTCAGGGTAATGGGTTCCTGGACTGCCGAAATCCAAGTGCCTGAAGTTGAGCCATGGCTTTGCACCACCATTTAGATTCAGATGGTAGATTGCCTGAATGATTGTGGCAGTTTAAGAATCTGACACCACTGAGAACTCTTCGCAGTACCAATCACTGGATCTTTTAGTCTTTTAGTCAGCTGGGGCTCCGTTTCAGATCCTGTTGTTTAGATCTCCCCATTGGGAATGGATATATCATGAGTTATTACTTGGATTTGCTGAAGATGTTTTTTTTTTATTTTCTCCATGGGAAATTCACTACTTGGGGAATCTATAGGGAATATTTTTTGTTTTTTTTTTGGTGGTTCCTTAAGCAAATCCATGACTATGTATATGACCCGTCATGTATGTACATATATATATAATTATATATATGATTATATATACGATTATACATACGATTATACATACATATATCTATACAAATATGTACATAATTGTATATATATATGTATATGTATATATATAATTGTATATATATATATGTATATGTAGATATATATATGTATATATATATATATATGTATGTATATATATACATATATATATATCTATACAAATATGTACATATATATGTATATATGTATATATGTGTATACATATATACATATATATATATGTATATATGTATATATACATATATACATATATATATATATATGTGCATAACTATGTGTATATATACATATATATATATATACACATATATATATATACATATATATATATATATACATACTTATGCACATATTTATATATATATATATATATATGGTACCCCCCTCAAAGATCTACCATTTTGGACCTACCTTTTTGAAATCTTGTGGTTTGGGATGATAATCGAGCAATTAATTGAAAGGGGGGACCATATATATATATATATATATATAATTATATATAAATATATATCTAAAATATATTTAAATAAACACGTATACATATACACGGGCATATGCACTTCCCAAAAATTTGCAAACTTTGCAAACTTTCCTGGATTCAAGATTCAAGATTCTGGGGGAAACTTCTTGAATCCAGGCCTGGTCTTGGATTCAAGAAGTTTTCCCCAGAATATCCCAAAAAAATTGCAAACTCTGCAAACTTTCCTGGATCCATAAACTTGGAACCTAATGGTATATCAAATGGAATATTAATGATTCTTACATGGTAAACAAAGTATAGATGGTACATGAAAGGTTTATTAAAGACAAATTAAAAGGAACATAAAATGTATTCTAGAGGTAGAGAGGTATCCTAAAGGTGCATTAAAGATGTTTTCATGGTCAATAAAATTGTATATTTAACGTAGATTAAATGGTATATTTAAGGTAGATTAAATGGTGTAGAGAAGTTTTATGCATTGAAGGAAGGTGCATTAAAGATGTTTTCATGGCCAATAAAATTGTATATTTAACGTAGATTAAATGGTATATTTAAGGTAGATTAAATGGTGTAGTGAAGTTTTATGCATTGAAGGTATACTTATTGTATACTAAAGGTATTCTCAAGGCCAACTAAATTGTATATTAAAGGTAGCTTCATTGTTCTCCAATGGAATGCTACAGGTATATTGAATGGTATATTAAAGTTTTTTTTTTTTAGATTGTATTTAAAAAGGGATACTGAAGGTATGCCAAAGGTTTACTAAAGGTTTATTAAAGATATGTTTATGGTCAATAAACTGGTATATTAAAGTATATGGAATCTATAATGAAGCTATATTCATTGTATATTAAAAAATGCTGATCAAAATATTATTCTTACTCTATTGCATCAAAAAGACATACATATCCAACATGTTAGAATCTAGTGTTTTGAAAGAAATACTGATACTGTATGACTGAAGGAAGGCTTAATATTAGTTTGAAAGGAAGACTGCACTTCTTCAGAAAGAAAACGCTGCATGTTTAGAGGAATGCCCTATTTTTTGTAGGGGTACTGTTTCTTGAACGAAATGATACTTTGTTTGAAGTTGCAGTTTATGAATGAAGGTGATTTTTTTCAAGCATGGAAAGGAACGCTGCAATTTAAAACAGATGGCTTCCTTCAAGAAATGATGTGCTTTCTGACCTGAGTATGTGCTCATCTGTTTTGAAAGTAATAGTGTACTTACTTTGTTTTTGCAAAAGGTTCCCAACCCTCTGTGACATCAACAAAAAGCTAAAAATGGTAGATCTTTGGGGGGGATTGCATATATATATACATATATATACATATATATTTATATACATATATATATACATATACATATACATATATATATATACGTATACATATACATATATATAATATATATAATATATATACATATATATATACATATATACATATATATACATATATATATACGTATATATATACACATATATATACATATACATATATATACATATACATATATATAACATATATATATACATACATACATACATACACATATACATATACATATATATATACATATATATATATACGTATATATATATACACATATATATATATACATATACATATATATACATATACATATATATATAACATATATATACATACATACATACATACATACATACATACATACATACATACACATATACATATACATATACATATACATATACATATACATATACATATATATATTATATATATATGTATTATATATATACAGTGTATACATACAGGCAGGCACGGCAGACAGAGCGAATGTGCACGCCAGGTTGAAACTTCGGAACGCCCGGAGACTTGGCGAAAAAGGCGGCGAAGAAGGCGGCGTCGCATGGCGTCGGTTGGGGAATCCCATACTTCGATGGTCGGCTGCCGGTCGGCCAGGTCGGGGGCCATGGGCTTTGAGAATATTAACCCATGAACATCATCAATGGGTATATTATACCTCCATCAATGGATGATGTTCATGGGTATATTAAGGTTATAATATTCTCGATATATTAAGAATATTAACCCATGAACAATTAAGGTTATAAATCCATGGAAAGCGAGCTATTAAATTTGATTTTTCGGTGATATTTCCATGGGATGATATTCTAAAAAAACCTATATAGAAACACTTGAACATACAGCAAAAACATGTGGATTGTGAATATTTGGATCATGGTAAATTTAGTATCCCAATCCATAAATCCCCTGCGGAGTTAGCATGGCCGGTCCTATACTCCCATCCAGGAAAGTAGAGATACCATTCCCCACGGTCCACTCGGAGAGTGGCTGGAATGTCGTCTATGGCACGATGCTTCGGCAGTGGGAAGAAGAGCAGGTGCCACCTGGGGATCCACAGGGTGATTGAACCAGGAGGGTTTCAGAAGGGGATTTCAGGGGGATTTGGGATGTAATGGGATACAACTAGCCAACAATTATGATAGCTGGGGATATATTGGCTTTATCGGAGAATAGAGGATTCACGCCAGCAAATCAATTTTCATGCGGATTTTTTTCAGATAAAGCCACGTGTTTGGAGAATAGCTGGAACATCCCCATGTAAAAGTTAGGTGATTTTGCATTGCCGAAGAATTACCAGAGGTTTTTCGGTGTTTCGTGTCGTGAGCCATCCACTTTTTTCAACGGGTCAAAGTACTGGGCATGGCTACGTCGCGGCTACGACTGCTCTACTGCTGACTGGTGGCTGCCATGACTTGAAGAGCTCGAAATTTAGGAACCCCAAACTTCCAGGATGTTCCTTCGATGCTATGGATCCATCATTTCCAGGCTATCCAGCTATCCAACTTTTCAAAATGACTGGGGGTTGCCAAACATATCAAATCTGTGGTCGGAAGCGTGTTCCCAGTGCCACCCCCAAGGTGTCGCATGGCCTATGGTCCCAGTCATCTGTGATTTCATACATCTATGGTTGATATTGGTGTTTTTTGCGGCAGAATAAGGATGGAAAAGGATGGAATTTTGCGCCATTTACTGGGTGGTTAGATCCCCATCATATTCCATAAGCAGATTCCGTAAGAACATTCCATGTTCACGTTTCCCAACAAAACCAATCCATATAATCCATTGGCTATATTTTTTGTTGTAAATGACATAAAATTAGCCCACTTATGAGTTTTGGCAGAAAAACGATCAAATTATGACATAATTATCAAGAACTACTATGAAGTTTTGAAGATATATCCCAGAACTATTATTATACTGCCTGTCAGGCCCGTCTCTTGGCCAAGACGTGGCGTGGCCGGGTGCAGGTGCAGTGGCGGTTTCTTTGGGGTGCATGACAGTTACCAATAGTTTTTGGGACATGAGAAACTGAATATATATATATACACACAGATATGTATGTATGTATGTATGTATGTATGTATGTATGTATGTATGTATGTATGTATGTATGTATGTATGTATGTATGTATGTATGTATGTATGTATGTATGTATGTATGTATGTATGTATGTATGTATGTATGTATGTATGTATGTCATGTATGTCATGTATGTCATGTATGTCATGTATGTCATGTATGTCATGTATGTATGTATGTATGTATGTATGTATGTATGTATGTATGTATGTCATGTATGTATGTATGTATGTATGTATGTATGTATGTATGTATGTATGTATGTATGTATGTATGTATGTATGTATGTATGTATGTATGTATGTATGTATGTATGTCTGTCTGTAATGTATGTAATGTATGTAATGTATGTAATGTATGTAATGTATGTAATGTATGTAATGTATGTAATGTATGTAATGTATGTAATTTATGTAATGTATGTAATGTATGTAATGTATGTAATGTATGTAATGTATGTAATGTATGTAATGTAAGTAATGTATGTAATGTATGTAATGTATGTAATGTATGTAATGTATGTAATGTATGTAATGTATGTAATGTATGTAATCTATGTAATCTATGTAATGTATGTAATGTATGTAATGTATGTAATGTATGTAATGTATGTAATGTATGTAATGTATGTAATGTATGTAATGTATGTAATGTATGTAATGTATGTAATGTAGGTAATGTAGGTAATGTATGTAATGTATGTATGTATGTATGTTTGTATGTATGTATGTATTGTATTGTATTGTATTGTATTGTATTGTAATGTATGTATGTATGTATGTATGTATGTACTGTATGTAATGTATGTAATGTATGTAATGTATGTAATGTATGTAATGTATGTAATGTATGTAATGTATGTAATGTATGTAATGTATGTAATGTTATGTAATGTTATGTAATGTTATGTAATGTTATGTAATGTTATGTAATGTTATGTAATGTATGTAATGTATGTAATGTATGTAATGTATGTATGTAATGTATGTAATGTATGTAATGTATGTAATGTATGTAATGTATGTAATGTATGTAATGTATGTAATGTATGTAATGTATGTAATGTATGTAATGGATGTAATGGATGTAATGGATGTAATGGATGTAATGGATGTAATGTATGTAATGTATGTAATGTATGTAATGTATGTAATGTATGTAATGCATGTAATGTATGTAATGTATGTAATGTATGTAATGTATGTATGTATGTAATGGATGTAATGTATGTAATGAATGTAATGCAAGTAATGCATGTAATGAATGTAATGAATGTAATGTATGTAATGTAATGTAATGTAATGTAATGTAATGTATGTAATGTATGTAATGTATGTATTGTATGTAATGTATGTAATGTATGTAATGTATGTAATGTATGTAATGTATGTAATGTATGTAATGTATGTAATGTATTAATGTATGTAATGTATGTAATGTATGTAATGTATGTAATGTATGTAATGTATGTAATGTATGTAATGTATGTAATGTATGTAATGTATGTAATGTATGTAATGAATGTAATGTAAGTAATGTATGTAATGTATGTAATGTATGTAAGGTATGTAATGTATGTAATGGATGTAATGGATGTAATGGATGTAATGGATGTAATGCATGCAATGCATGCAATGCATGTAATGCATGTAATGCATGTAATGCATGTAATGCATGTAATGTAATGTATGTAATGTATGTAATGTATGTAATGTATGTAATGTATGTAATGTATGTAATGTATGTAATGTATGTAAGGTATGTAATGTATGTAATGTATGTAATGTATGTAAGGTATGCAATGTATGTAATGTATGTAATGTATGTAATGTATGTAATGTATGTAATGTATGTACTGTATGTACTGTATGTACTGTATGTACTGTATGTACTGTATGTACTGTATGTACTGTATGTACTGTATGTACTGTATGTACTGTATGTATGTATGTATGTATGTATGTATGTATGTATGTATGTATGTATGTATGTATGTATGTATGTATGTATGTATGTATGTATGTATGTATGTATGTATGTATGTATGTATGTATGTATGTATGTATTATGTATGTATGTATGTATGTATGTATGTATGTATGTATGTATGTATGTATGTATGTATGTATGTATGTATGTATGTATGTATGTATGTATGTATGTATGTATGTATGTATGTATGTATGTATGTATGATGTATGTATGTATGTATGTATGTATGTATGTATGTATGTATGTATGTATGTATGTATGTATGTATGTAGTATGTATGTATGTATGTATGTATGTATGTATGTATGTATGTATGTATGTATGTATGTATGTATGTATGTATGTATGTATGTATGTATGTATGTATGTATGTATGTATGTATGTATGTATATATACATGTATGTATGTATATATGTGTATTATGTGTGCAATGTATATATAATATTCTATATCAATATCCATCAATATTCATCAATATTCATCAATGTCCATCACGATTCATCAATATTCATCAATTGCTAAATCGCTTATGATTATAATCATACATTATCAGGTTTTATATTTATCATGAATCATTTGATACACCTTGAAACATATAATATGATTTTAGTTGGGGAAACTACTACGTATATGATCAGGATGACCCTCTGGTAAACACAGAAAAACCTTGGAACATCGCCCACAGTTTCCCACAGTTTCTCCATGTCTTCGTGGATACCATAGCTATCACAGCTATGTTAGGACCCAGCCTCACCTTGATTACCTTGGTCCGCGAAGTCATAGCTGGCAGGATGGTTATTCCCCCAGTGGTGGGTGATTTCATAGGTAACAACCGACCCTTTCCCATGACCTTTGGAAACCTGACCTTGTATCTTTGGTGGACCAGGCTGCCAGAGCTGTAAGGGGGATATCCTTATCAAATCCCATGACATCCCTATAGGTGATGGTGAGACCACCATTTTCCCGCTGTATCCCATTAAACACCCATTAAATCTTCACTAAATCCCCACAGAATCATCATTAAATCCCCATGAAATCCGATTCTCCCAGCATTTTTGTTGCTGAAATGACCAGTTTTGATGGTAAAAACCCACGACTTTTCCAGCCACCGGTGCAGGCGTTGAGGGAGACATTCTCAGAGATTCGGCCCTTGATGGTCTCTACAGCATCTGGTTTCATGGTGCTGACGGTGAGTTCCTTGGTTGCCTTGGTTGCCTTGGTTCGACCATCCTCAAGTTGGGATATGAAGTTGGGTGTACCATGGTATACCACTATTTGTCTGGTTGGTGCTTTGGAACATGGCTTTTATAAATGACTTTCCAGAAACAGTTGGGAATGTCATAATCCTAGCTAACTGACTTTCATATTTTTCAGAGGGGTGGCTCACCACCAACCAGTTGTGAAATTGGATATGTCTAAAATAGATGTGTGTATAGTGATTTTTTCAAAGTGAAAAGCACAATGCCTGGCTGGTTTTCATAGCTTAAGAATAGCTCGGTTTTCATCGAGCTTGGAACATCTTCATAAACAGCTGGGATTCAATCATGGTGAATTCAACAGTTTTTTTCTGGTACAGATGTTTCATAATTATATATATATATGTCATATAGTTTGATGATTATGTCATCTGATTTTGATGAATTCTTCATGTTTTCCTCATCTGTCGAATTCATGGCTTGGCAGTTTTGTTGATAGCCCTGAGCAGGGATGTTCAGCTTAGTTTCAGATACTGATCCGTGAGCTGGGTACCCATCAGCCATCAATACTGGACAATTCACAGAACTGGTCTACTGCAAAGCAAAGCAGAAACCCAACCATTCTTGATATCGAAGACCCATGCATCTCGCGTAAATTGTCCCTCCAACAAAATCCTTGACTTGCAGAAACCAATGGCTTTCGGGTTACCTTCCCCTTAAATCCCCTTAACAGACTGACCTATGGATGGTCGAAAAATACCACAGGGTTTCTGGAAAACAACATCCCGCATCAGGTGATGTAATGGTCCAGAAGGCTGTTGAAAAGCGCAAGGAAATAGATGTGACCCGCACAACTGCCATGGGCCACTCAGCAGCATGGACAACGAACAAGGGGATTTGAACCAGATGGGGATGTACTGTATTGACAGTATTGACATTTACCTCCCCAATTGGAATAATTAGATGGTTTCATACCAACAATGATCCAAATTTGGGTTTGTCAAAGGGGCACAACTCGATGTGCACTTCTCGATCTGGGCCTTTGAATTGTTCAGACCCGGTGACCAGCTCGAGCATCAATGGGCTTCTGACGCTTCTGGGGCCATGTCCATCTACGATTTTGCAACCAGCAGCGAGGGTATGAAGTGTGCACTTGCAGCATTTTTGCCGGAGACTAAAGCTGGATAGACTCTTTTGTATCTTTTGTCGGATTCGATCTGCATCGAAAACGATATAGAAAAGTCATCGCAACCCACCATTTTTCACCATGAATCCCTAGCAAAGTTGACAGGGCTTTTCGGCCTGGGATATGCGGGCTTTCTGCAGCACTTCCTCTACACGCGCCTTTGGCCCTTGATTCTGCAGGTCGGCTCCGACAGTGGTGAAGCCCAACGGGTAAAGTGCTGAGGAGATCAGGATGGAACGATCGGATCACCTTTAGGTGAGCTTTCTCAATTGGTGGCAAAAAACCCAGTAAGATATGGCTTCAGTGGCTTCACCCCAGAAGATCCAGAAGTAGAGTAAGTAGGCACTTTTTTTGTCCAGGAAAGCAATACCCTCTGGTAAACTAACATAGTTATTGAAAATGGTCATTTATAGTGGATTTTCCCATTGAAAATGGTGATTTTCCATAGCTATGTTAGTTTACCAGAGGGTATGTGATTTTTGGGCTTTTCGTACGTACAACTCGCCGCAGGCAGCGCGTCTCTCGGGTTCGCGTGCAGTGGCCTTCCAGGCGAGATCGAGAGTTAGTGAAGAGCCACGCCACGTGCCACGCCTTTTGGTGTGGAATTGAAATGACATGATGAACCCCTCTAAAGACAGGTGATATATGATACATATGGTGATAGCATGTGTTTGCAGAAAGGCAATAGTAACTATAGTAACTGCCTGTTCCAAGTTCATAGCAAATCATAGCGCAAGTCTTAAAATGGGTTTAGGCCACGGCAGCTCTTAGTCCTGCTTCGTGATGACTAGATTCTAGTGTTCTGGCATCAGGATTTTGACCCAAACCTGGCAGTTTCCATAACACTTTGGGTCGCCCAATTTATGGAATCATTGATTTCCATGGGAAAATCCATCAATGGCCCAGTCGAAATAGTTGATTATTTACATATTAAAAATGATGATTTCGATAGTTATGTCAGTTTACCAGGGGGTAACACCATGGTGTCTCGGGGTCCCATGACTCAACGGACACCTCCATGACTTGATGTCTGAGAGACTTGATGTGCAGGATATGCGTCTGGTCCACGACCAGACGACTCCCTAAAGATTCAGAAATGGTGCGAAAAAATATCAAAAAATGCTATATAACAATGGGTTTGCGCACTTTTTTGACTATGGTCACACCAATGACCGGGGTTACTAATTCGTGATTCATCCCACTTAATAGGTAGTTCAGCCCAGGTGTATATAAGTGGATTCACCCTACTCCCACTGAAAAAGCCAGAGATATAGCCTACGTTATAAGGGGTAAGCCACCAATTTATGTCAGAAACCCTGGCTGCCATAAACCTATACCATGACTGGGGATGGTTTACACAACCACCCATAAAAATGGTGAAATGGTGTGTTATGTTGGAGTTACCCTCAGGTTAAACATACAAAAAAACGGAAAAGCCACCATTTTTGATGGGTCTATGGGTAAATCAACTATTTCTATGGGCCATTTTCAATAGCAAACTGTCAGTTTACCAGAGGGTATATCATGTTATATCCAATACGGTAAACCCCATTATATCCATTATTAGCCATTTTTAACCATGATTAACCATTATTAACTATTCTTAACCATGATTAACCATTAACCACTATTAACCATTATTAACCACCGTTATTAACCGCTATTCACCATTCTTCACCATTATAACAACCACTATTAACCACGATTATTTTCATAGATAGTCATATTGTTCGCCTATGGAAAGTTCAGCCATGGGGCACCACAAAAAATCCGAACGCGCCGCGCCAGGTTTTAGGGGATCAAGGCAGGGACGCCACCAGGGACTTCGCCACCATTGTTCGATGTGGATGAAAATGGGCATATGGCAATATCTAACTGGCCATGTACCAAGTACCAACTGAAGATGATGGGCATATTTCAAACTTTATGATATTATGTATATAAATATATCATATATAAACATATCATTGATATATCATATCAAGATGATGGTATCTATCATGGCAATATCGACTACTTGATGTACTGAAGATGATGGGCCTGGGTGTGGAAATGATTTCAGATTTCATGTTGATAGGCCATGAAATCATGGGACATCAGAGAAACTCAAGTGGGATTGAGGAACACAGATGCATTTTCTTAGATTTTCTTCTCTTCTTGGCAGATGATTCAGTTCAAAAAATTGCCCAGGTGTGTACATGCCGTTGATGTATCTTCCCATCTACTATGCCAGTAAGGCTCGACCATCGTGGTGGCAAATCTGGCTGGGAATCCCCATGACATTCCATTGATTCCATAGAAACATTCCATCCACCGCACCCTGGAATCATGGTTTTTATGAGGGAAATCATGGGAAATCATCCCCAAATGGCCGCAAGATTCAGGTTAGTGAAATATGATACTTTACCCAGATTGATTCCATAGAAACATTCCATATGCCAGATGGATGATAAGACAACAGTGGAAGACTGGACAGGAATGGACAATGGGATTCATCTGCAAATAGCTATAGTGACAGAGAATGACTATAGTTCATGACTGACCAGAAACTCGATTCAACGTCTAACATCTACATGTATATATATAATATAATTTAATAATATATATATATAAATACATTTACATATGATATGTTTATATACATCATAGTATATATATACTATACAATGTATATTGGATCGTATATATATATATTGTGCATTACATATTCCAAATTTTATATTTACTAGATTAACATGTTTTATTTAATATATTTTATATTTTCTTGTGTATATGATGTATTATATACGAATCATTTCTTCGTGCACCATATCGTGCCTAAAATCGTGCTACTGTAACAGAGCATGGTAAAATCACAATAACCAAATATTATAAATTATATGAGTTATTTTAGACAAATATATTCTATACCATATTTCATATACCATATGTTATATATCATGAGTTATATATATATAGCGTATAGACTGCATACTATATAGCGTTTATTATTATATATCATATACTACGTACTATCAGTTGTGTCTATCTTTTATCAGTTATATATTATACTTTCTATATTGTGTATAAAATTATACGTATTACATATTATATAATATATAATATATATTATATATCATATATTATATATTATATATTATATAAGGTTTATTATATATATATTGTATAGTGAATATTGTATACTGTATATTGTGTCTTGTACACTGTATATTGTATATTGTATGCTTTATATAATATATTGTATACACATGCAACCTGAAAATCATGATAACAACAATGAGTATATGCATGTGTACACATATAGATTCGATTAGATCAGATTGGATAAGATCAATTGAGATTTGATAGTTTGATGACCTAGATAAGATTAGGTGGACATGTTCTACGGCCATGTAGTGCGGATTTCATCATTGCCTTCCACTTTGAGACACACGGTCAATGGCCATTTCAGAAACTGATTTATTGGAGGTACCTACCATATATAAGGCCTAAATTTCAGGGAATATCCCCACAAAATATGGTACGTTTACGTACCTCCATGTTAGGATCCTGAAATTCCCATTAACACGGCAGGAGATGGCATGTGCTGGGCAGATGATTTGGGAGACCGCCATGGCGGGTGTTCAGCGTTGCAGAGAGAATCTGATGACTGACCTCCAGCTGCTTGGCGACGGGGACGCCGTGGTCGGACGACTGGTGCAGCCGTTGTGAACCAAAATGGCTATAAACCATGGGATGATAACCTTCGAAAGTTGGGATATTCGCCCCCTAAAACTATGGTTATATATATATATACACTTTATATATATATCATATCATATCATATCACTACTAATTCTAATTAGTTCTTAATGGTTTTGTGCACCCCCATGGGTCAAGTTCCCTACCGAACCCAGGACTCGGACCTGGTAAACTGATCCCCGATTCGCGACTCAGGTTGTGCTGCTGTTATTGGATTCCAGTGCAGGCTGTGGAAAGATCTGAGCAGACCTGGATGGTACCCTCTGGAAATGACTCACCGACTAAGCGAACTTGAACATGGCAATTTAGTTCGTTGATTTACCCATTAAAAATGGTGATTTTCCATATTTTGGTTTTGTTGGGAAAATCTTCACCGGAAGCATCCGGTTTCCCCCATCAACTAGGGGTTTCCTGTAACAAAATCTGACAAACCCAATGAACATAGACTTGAAAGAAGGCCCAAGAATATCAACAATAATTTTGACTTGAGTCCAACTTTCAGTCTGACATTGAATCCAAGTTTCAATCCCGCATGAACTTTGTCAAACAAACTCCAAGAAATGAACACAGAGCGAGAAAATTCACAGCCAAAATGTTGACTCAACTGATCTCAAATGTGCAAAAATGAGTCAACATTGGCAACGTTGGTCCATAATGATAAAGTTAGTCCATAATAGCAATGACAATGATAATGGTGAGAGTGACAACAATGATGATATGCCTACTGCAACAACAGCAACACCAGCTACAGCTACAACTACAACCACTACAACCACTACAACCACTACAACAACTACTACTATTACTACTACTACTAATAATAATAATGATAATAATAATGCTGCTAATAATAATAGTGTTAATGGAACGTCAAAATCATAATTGTGATAATGATGCACTACTAATAACAATATCAGCAACAATAATACCAACAATCACAATAACGATAACGATAAGTAGTTATAACAATGATAGTGAACAGATACTTATACTAATACTAGTGCTAGTACTAGGATTAATACCAATACTAGTACCAAAAATAACACCAGTGATATTACTACCAATTATTGTTAATACCAATAATTGTTGTACGAAACCATTGAATACTTGTAATACTATAATACTAATACTAACAATTAAATGATTCCCTCTGGCTATTTAACATAGCTATGGAAAAAGGTCTGATTTATGATGATTTACCTATAAAAAAATGTGATTTTCCATGGCTACGTTAAATAACCAAACGGTACATAAAGGAGAGGCCTCCAGCTAAGTTGCCTGATATCTGGTGATTTTCCATGTGAAAACATGTGGGTTTCTGGAGGACAGAGCGCCAAAACTGGGGTTTTTCTGAACCAATGAGTTGAAGGGCCTCACCTTGTAATTGGGATAATGATATCCATTTTCCATGGGAAAAACCATTCATGGAGAACTGGGGGTACCCTCTGGTCAAAAAACGATGGACAGATCCACCATTTTTCATGGGTAAATCCACTATTTCAATGGCCATGGCTTCAATAGCTATTGTGAATAGTGGATGTGTGGATGTATATGGTTGATATGGTTGATATGGTTGATATGGTTGATATGGTTGATAGTGGTTTTATATGGTATCATCCTAATGACAGTAATAATCTAATCAATAATGGTGGTGTTTTACCAGGCCGGGTACTCCATTATCACTCCGGAAAGCTCCATCGCAAAAAAAATTACTTCGCAGGCGATCACCTTTGGCCTCATCCCACTGGCGGCGCGGGTCTTCTTTATGTCCATGGCGGGGGTGGTCTTCCAAGTGGGTTTGCAAACAGCGCCCTGGAGCAACCGGGAGCCGGCTGGAACCGGGTTGACAGGATTTTAATGGTAGTCTGCGATGAAAAAATTGGAAGATCTACTGAGAAATGCTTCTGAATCGATTTTTTTGGGGTATCTAAGATTGGCAATGGGAAGAAACACTGGGAGGTGGGCTGAGAAACATTCTTCCATGGGAAGAAAATACATGATTTCCCCCATGTCCGAAGTTTGACACTTTTCAATCTTTTGCGGGGATTGTTTTTTTTTCCTAACTTGGGCTTGCAGTTGGAGATGGGACTATAACCTCCGTAAGTTTAAGTTGGACAGGGCCCTGTAACTATGCTCGTATGTCCAATTTTAGGTGGAACTGCGCCCCCAAGACCGTTGGTAATTTCCCGCACTTTACAAATTAGCAGGGGGTACCAATTGGCTGGAGCCATGTAAAACATTCATCACTATTTTGCAGGTAAACCTCCTGATGAATCAGCCGAATTTTGATGAATCCGTTCACATGAAGGTTACAGCGGCTACACCCAATGTGTTCACCAAGTTATGTTTGTCAACTTAGCCTCACCTTGTTGTGGAAAACATGGGTGGAATTCAGGATCACTTGGCATATCCCATGGCCAGAGTTACTTCCGGTAGTGCAGGATGAACAAACATCAACTAGGCTTGGGGAATCATTCAGCTACCACAAGGTGGTGCCCCAAAGTTACTATGGTTTATGGATGTTTATGGTAGATATATATATATATACATAATATATATAATATATATATAATATAATATATATTATATATATATATATAATATATAATATAATATATATATAATATAATATAATATATATATAATAATATATATATAATATATATATATATAATATAATATATATATATACTATTATATACTATTATATACTGTTCATTCCTATGGTTTACCAACGTTCACATCACTGAAAAGGCACCACCTCTCCCCTCCTCACTCTGGGCCTTTCAGGTGATGCTGCACCGCCGCAGCGAATGAAAAAAAAAACGCCGAGCCAGGGCGGCAGGGCGCGCCAGCCCTTCTGCGCCAGGGAGATGTGGCCCCAGTTTTTTGGGGATCCCTAAGGAGTGGGGACCGCCAAGACGGTGGGACGAGATTTCCAGTTGAAAAATGGCTGTTGGCAACAGTGAAATACGAGGATTTTGTGAGGATTCCAACGGATAGAAATCAGGGGATCTTAGATGGATCCCTCGTATGATGTGACCAAAAAATCTAAGATTTTGGATCTTGTAACATGATGTAGCATGTAGTATCATGTAGTACCCAAGGCCCATAGTGAGCAAACCATGATTTCAAGCAAGCCAAGTTCCGCCTTGGCAAAGCTCCAGCAGAAAATGGCGCCTGAAGTGTATAGTTGGTGAATTCACTGAGAATTCCAGCATTCCCCGGGGCAAGCCATCGGCCTTGAGCCGAGCCGCCGAGGTCGACAATGCTGAGAAAACTACGATGAGTATGGTAAGTGATAGACCGATAAACCATCCCCAAGTCAGCATGTTGGGTGGTCTAAACCATCCTCAAATTTTGGCTCTATGACATTGGGTGAATTCCACATTGGGTGTATCAGCTCAAGGCCTGTGTCCAAAGTGCTGGAGCTCTCTCAGTTTTTCGGTACCGCCGAAGGTTTTTTGTGTTGGTGCAGAACATTGGTCCCTCGCCGCCCGGACCCGGCATCCAGCCAACCAGAGTAGGCCAAAGGCTAATGGCTCCATGATTTCCTGAGGATCAGTGCTGATGTGACTGATATGACATGAGTCTCTAGACAGTGAAATGGCGGTGGCCGAATAGCCTCGAATTACTTTGTATTTTCCGCAGCCTGCTTCATGCAATTCATGCACAATCAGCAATCAGCTGCTTTCTAGGTAAAATCTACCTAGAAATGCATGATGGCTTCTAAGATATCTCAGCAATACGTGCAAGAAGTTGTTTCTACTTTCCATACCGATGCCACTGCATCGTCTTGATTTGTTTTGTCTCTCGCTTGTGCATGAGCGGCAGGCACAGCAGTGGCCCAGGCTTCACCCACTGCAGTGGTTGCCCCGCAGCCACCTATCAGGTGCCAATTAAGCCAATTAAGTCAGGCTGAAGCAGGACGTAGACATCGCAGACAGACTGCCAGCCGCCACAGAATGCCACAGAATGCCGAATGCCACATATGCCACGGACCGGCCCAACAGGCTCCACTTTTTGCGAATTCTCCGTGACTTTGGCTCCGATGTACAAAAGCCTGCATCGGTCTGGCAACAGCTTAAAGCCGAGGTCAAGAGAGGGCACAGGTCCAGCTTAAAGCCGAAAAAAACCACCAAACCTTGGAAAATCTGTTGGGAATTCGGGAGCTCTTGCAGTTCTCGCCTAGATTTCTTGTGGTTTTTGGGGCTGAGATGGGGTGAGAGTTTCCAGATATTTGCCTCTGTGCCCGACAGTTGTGCAATTCAGATCCCAGCTTCGAGAAACTTCGGCCTCACAGGAAACGCGGAGACAACCACTCACGGCTGATTGTGCTATCCGACATAGGGTTTGTGATCGTGAATGCTCCAACTGTATCGACCTATTCAGTCTCTTCAGATTTCCATTATTGTATTGTCACAGTGCGAGTGAAGTCTGCCTTAAATTCCATTTCTTAGAAAGATTAGATTCCCTCTAGTCATAGGGATTTCCACAGTTAGCAGTTGGCACAATTCTTGGCCGCCAAGTTAGACAACACACCAATGCCAAAAATCATGCAAGATGGGAGCCCGGAACAGGGGCTCTGCGCATGGGGTTTCTCTTTCTGGTGCGCATGGATGGGAATGGGTGGGATATTTGGGAATGGGATGATTATTAATAGCTTAATATAAAAAATATGATGGATCATTCCTCCATTCACTAAGGGAAAGTTCTTTCATGTCCATTGACCCATGCCACAATGAGGCCACCCGAAACCGAAGCTGGTGCGACCAACAAGACTTTGGAAGTGGAGTCACCTTTGTACACATTGTCTATAACGCTTGCAGCAGGTCATTTTTGTAACCACTTGCTGCCCTGAGTGGAAAAAATATACCAGATGAAATAGCACAGATTTCAGGAGTGATGAGGACTTGCAAAGACTAGGCAGGTGTCAAGCTATCAATGGTTTGGGAAGCGGTACTTTTTCATGACATCCTGTAAACACCCTCACCTTACTGGAAAGAGGTCCTGTATCATACTCCCCAGCATCTTGCGAGCAATTGTTCCCGTGGCTCGAAGAACGTCGTTGGCGCACAAAAGGGTGACCCTGCCATGGAAATGGAACAACCTCGACTGTATGAACATTGGAACTTGCTATATAATTATGTATGAAATTAATTGCAACCTAGACCTATATAATGTATACATATCATATATGTAAATATTGTATACAGTAATATATGTATATATATATCAATTATTAAATATAGATTATATGTCTAGGTTCCAATTTATTTCAACATCGCTGGAACCTCCATGATCCGTTTTTCCACTCTCGGATGATGCCTTGATCAGAAATCAGGCCCTGGCTCGCAGCACGCACAGAGCTCTGGACTCCACGTGTGGCTTCAGCCATTGCAGTGATCATCTGAGAGTAAGAATCATGATAATAATAAAGAAATTAATGAAGAAATGAATGAATACATAAGGTATATATATATATACATATATTGATGATTATACTATATATATAATATGAGAATGATTTATAGTTGCCATCGTTGCCACCCACTGCCAAATTCTAGAGTCCAGAACCTGACCTTTGAACCTGTAGACGCAGCTGCCAAAGTAGCCGCATCGAATTGGCGCGACACGTAAGTTGCGCTGTTTGCACCAAAAAACATCGCGATCGCTTGTCCTTTCCGAGCCACACTGACTGACCACCTTTCTGTTGTTCTTTTTCATTTGTGCTTGATTTCACTAAGTGATGTTGATTTTTTTTACGCCAATATTTGCATCGGCGTTGTTTTAAGGGTATCCTTTCGCTTGCGACCGCGTGTTTTCCTTTCGCAACAACGGGCTTTTTATTTGGATATCCACCAAATCATAAGGCGTGGCATCAGATTTCTAGCGCTCACTTTTTGTCGACAGTGACTCGGAGTTTTTCCATTCGTAGCAGCTATGTTGGAACCGCATGCAGTGGCAGTGAAAGGCATTGATGAATTTTGAGAAGTCAGCTATGTTGGAACATGGTGGACCATCAGGGTTGAGAGGTACAGTAGATATGTCAGGATCAATGATTCAATGCAAGCTGCAGCACCCTAAAAAAAGGCTGCCTGGCTGTGAGATTGCTGAAATGTCGCCATCAATGCCTTCATCTGGCTCTCTTTGTTAGCCGTGCGGCATCACAGACACTTGCGCGCCAGAGACTCTAAAACAGACGGTGCCACCAAAACAGCTGGGATCGCGATCAGATGATGATCCCAACATGGCTTGAAAACGATCAGGTTCCAAGTTCTTCTGTGTTTTTTTCCCTTAGATGGATCTTCCCTTCATCAGGATCCTTTCTTTGGGTCAAGTGATGCTTTGGGTTTCCGGGAAATTCTCATTGGATTTTGGGGAATGGATTGAGAAATATTGAGAACACATTCCAAATCCAAGTGTCATTGGATTGGTTTAAGGGAAAATTTACAGGAAACCATGGTTTTCACGAAAGGTAGCTCCAGAGGGGCTACCTTGAGTTTTACTTTACGAAGTAAAGGGGAGGGCGGCCAGCCCCGTTACCTGATTCTTCAGGAGATTGCTAGTCATTTTAGTGCCCCCCCCCCCCGTACGAGGGAATAATAGGGTCTATGTGATTGTTCCCTTTCTGGCTTTCATTCAATGGAAAATAGGTTGCTTTAAAAATAATAACATGAATTAAATAGATTTTCCATTTAATTCATTTAATTAACTAAACGAATTTAATGAATTTAATGAATTAAATAGATTTTCCATTTAATTCATCTAATTCATTGAACTAATTAAATGAATTAAATGAATTAAATAGATTTTCCATTTAATTCATTTAATTCATTGAATTCCTGGAGTCCCCAGATTCCAGAAACAGTTTTCCATTTAATTTATTTAATTCATTTAATTCATTAAATCAATTAAATGAATTAAATGAATTTAATGAATTAAATGAATTAAATCGATTTTCCATTTAATTCATTTAATTCATTAAACTAATTAAATGAATTAAATGAATTAAATAGATTTTCCATTTAATTCATTTAATTCCTGGGGTCCCCAGATTCCAGAAACAGTTTTCCATTTAATTTATTTAATTCATTTAATTCATTTAATTCATTAAACTAATTAAATGAATTAAATGAATTAAATGAATTGAATAGATTTTCCATAATTCATTTAATTCATTAAATTAATTGAATGAATTAAATGAATTAAATGAGTTAAATAGGTTTTCCATTTAATTCATTTAATTCACTGAACTTATTAAATGAATTAAATGAATTAAATGAATTAAATGAATTAAATAGATTTTCCATTTAATTCATTTAATTCATTTAATTCATTTAATTCATTTAATTCCTGGGGTCCCCAGATTCCAGAAACAGTTTTCCATTTAATTTATTCAATTCATTTAATTCATTCAACTAATTCAATGAATTAAATGAATTAAATGAATTTAGTAGATTTTCCATTAAATTCATTTAATTCATTAAATTAACTAAATGAATTAAATGAATTAAATAGATTTTCCATTTAATTCATTTAATTCATTTAATTCCTGGGGTCCCCAGATTCCAGAAACAGTTTTCGATTTAATTTATTTAATTCATTTAATTCATTTAATTCATTAGACCAATTAAATGAATTAAATGAATTAAATAGATTTTCCATTTAATTCATTTAATTCATTAAATTAATTAAATGAATTAAATGAATTAAATAGGTTTTCCATTTAATTCATTTAATTCATTAAACTAATTAAATGAATTAAATGAATTAAATAGATTTTCCATTTAATTCATTTAATTCCTGGGGAAGTCGGAGACAAGCAGAATCATGCGGCCCAAAGCACCCACAGCACACTGCGAGACAGGTGGAGAGAAATGGCAGAAGTGGGGGAGAAAAGTGTGGAACCATGCAGCCCAGAGCATCCATAGCGTACTTGTTACTTGGAGACAGTGAGACGCAAGTGGGAGACAAGTGTAGAATCACGCGGCCCCGATCACCCATAGCATCCTAGGAGAGTGTACTGGGAGAAAAGCAACGCCCAGGAACGCAAGCCCGGAGATGGAAGCAAAATCATGCAACCCTTTCACAGGAGTAAGAAACCCATACAGGTAGCTCAAAACATTTAGTTGAGATTGCAGCCTGCCTTCACAAGTTCTTGCTCAATCTTGTTTTATATAACATGTGTGCTGTAAATCTTTGTTGTGTTGGAATGATCAAGGCATAGGGCGCTTCATTTTGTTTGCAATATATCTTCAAGGACCACAATCGCATTATACCAATTATTCCCTGCCACTCCCCCCCCCCCACCCCCCCCCCTCCCCACCCCCCCCCCCCCCCCTCCCCCCCCCCTCCACACCTCCCACGCACCCTAAGAGCAGACTCAAAATACTGTAATTTACAGTATTTTTGTTCTTTTCGGATCAAGAAACCACATTTTGCTACATGGTGAAACCTCCGTAAATACCAGTGTTTTTGCTAGGTGCTGGCCAAAAAACACTGTAAATACCGTGCTTTTTACTACCAGAGGCAAAAAACATCGTAAATCCCGTGGTTTTGGGCTTCCGACCCGCCAAAAACATCGGTATTTACGGTGTTTTTTGCTCCGAGAGTTGCAAAAACACGCGAAAACACCACCGATTTGACGATTTTCGGCAACTACGGAACCGAGCAAAAACGCTGCAGGGGTAACACCAACACCAACAACAACAACACCAACAGCAACAGCAACAACAACAACAACGACGACAACAACAACAACAACAACAACAACAACAACAACAACAACAACAACAACAACACCAACACCAACACCAACACACAACGCACAATGCACAATGCACAACGCACAACGCACAATGCACAACGCACAACGCACAACGCACAACGCACAACACACAACACACAAAACACACAACACACACACAACACACAACAACACACAACAACACACAACAACACACAACAACACACAACAACACACAACAACACACAACAACACACAACAACACTCAACAACACACAACAACACACAACAACACACAACAACACACAACAACACACAACAACACACAACAACACACAACAACACACAACAACACACAACAACACACAGCAACACACAGCAACACACAGCAACACACAGCAACACACAGCAACACACAGCAACACACAACAACACACAACAACACACAACAACACACAACAACACACAACAACACACAACAACACACAACAACACACAACAACACACAACAGCACACAACAGCACACAACAGCACACAACAGCACACAACAGCACACAACAGCACACAACAGCACACAACAGCACACAACAACACACAACAACACACAACAACACACAACAACACACAACAACACACAACAACACACAACAACACACAACAACACACAACAACACACAACAACACACAACAACACACAACAAGACACAACAACACACAACAACACACAACAACACACAACAACACACAACAACACACAACAACACACAACAACACACAACAACACACAACAACACACAACAACACACGCAACACACAACAACACAACAACAACACACAACAACACACAACAACACACACAACAACACAAACAACACACAACAACACACCACAACACACCACAACACACACAACAACACACAACAACACACAACAACACACCACAACACACAACAACACACCACAACACACAACAACACACCACAACACACCACAACACACAACAACACACAACAACACACAACAACACACAACAACACACAACAACACACAACAACACACAACAACACACAACAACACACAACAACACACAACAACACCCAACAACACACAACAACACACAACAACACACAACAACACACAACAACACACAACAACACACAACAACAACAACAACAACAACATCAACAACAACAACAACAAGCAGCACAACAACAACAACAACAACAACAACAACACGAACACGAACAATACCAACACCAACAACACGACCAACAACACCAACACCACCAACAAACCCAACCACACCAACAACACTAACAACACTAACAACACCAGAAACACTACCACCACCAACAACACCAACAACACAATACCAACAACACCAACAACACCAACACCACCAGCACCACCAACACCACCAACACCACAACCACCACCAACCCCAACCACATCGCCGAAGCCTTTCAGTCGCTTTTACCAGACTCCCCTTCATATTTTTGGAAAGAAAATGGCCGCGTCGCTTTTACCAGACTCCACTTTATGTATTTTTCCCTCCCCTCTCCCCTTCATTTTTTCTTCGGTTCCTTTCTTGCTTACCTACCTTTCGTGTTCCCCCTCTCAAGTTACCATTAAATATAGGGGTTTCCTGTAAATTTTCCCTTAAACCAATCCAAATCCAAGTGGTTGTTCAGTTCTTACACTTGGACATGGCAACATGGAAGCTGCTGATCACTGCTGCAGGTCCATCAGCAACGTTGACGGCTTTGGCATGGGACCCCCAGTTGCTGAGCTAAGGGCCCGAGGGCCCGCTCTCACGAGCCCTTAGAGCGTCTCTCCCCTGCTGAGTCAGGAATGTGATACACCAAAACTTCAAGCATCTTCAAGCAAATAACTTGCTGTACACTTATTGATACACATTTTGTCTCATTTTGTGTGTTGTGCCTCTTGCCGACCATGAACAAAATCATGGTGTTGTTTCTGTGCATGGAGTCAGGTCACTTCCCAAACTGATTGGTTTCCGGTTGTGCATCACTTGGGTGCCATCTGCCGTCACCGCAGCGCTTAGCTGGCCGGCCCCGCGGTGGTTTTTTCCGCGGGGAGTATTCATGCGCCTGTCAGTTGCCACCACCGTGGCATCTGATGAGTGAAGTCGGGATGCCAAGTGCACCTTGGGTGCGGTGCGGCGATAGCTACGATCCCCCCATGAGATGACGACCCTGCCTTGGGTTGGGGGTTTGAAGATTTGGCCGCCATTTTTAGGGTCGATGGTACAGGATGGGGCCCCCCAGTTATAAGTTGGTTTATAAACCATTATAACATATTATAACCCCCATTAACTATACTTATATCTACCATAAACAATAGTTAAGCCACTTATAAGGCAATTTAGCGATCTTGGGGGCCCCATCCTGTAATCTATAGTAAATTATGTTAATTTGCAGCTTCGATGATTTTCCCAGCAGAAAACTCCATTGAGTTTGGGCATTTCCGAAATGGCCACGTTTGATGCCACCGATGCGGCAGTACCCGATGCGACGACCCCGGCATGCTCGGTATGGAAGGGGGGCATCATGATATTATATCAGGATTGTATATGGCATACATACGAATTATATATATATAATATATAATTTATATATATATATATCTATATTAAACATATGGCTATATGGCTCTGGCTTAACTTATTTGAGAACAGTAATACGAATGATTGGCTGAATGTCATCTCACGGTGAATGTCAGCTTGAAGAAGGTGAGGTCCCTCCAATGATGTGGCTGTTGGTCTATAAACCCCATGAATACTATACATAGACTACATAGACCATAGTTATATCCCCCATAAACCCTACAGTGAGTTTCAACCAGTTAAAAGTCAACTTAGCTACAGGGGCCTCACCTTACATGTTAGTTGGTATCTTGCTTTTGGTTGCCGGGTCTGATATACAACGCACAGCTCAGGTGACATACCACCGGCAGATTCATGGTGGGCCCGTGATCGCAAGGGTCCAAGGGTCGCGGCTTTGGGGCCACTCCAGGGATACTTGCCATAGCTGGTTCAGATTGGAATGTCTCAAACTTTGAGATGAAATGACCAGTAATTACTGTCTCATTATATAATTCTATCATATTATATCTAGAATCTAGATGTAAATCATTCATTTTTCCGGGTGCGGCTTTTTCGGATTCGCCTTTTTTTTTTTGGATCCATCATTCATGACCCGATTCTCACCAAGGATCATGGTGAATTTTCCCCTGATAGTTCTTAAAATGAATCATAGATGATTATCCCCTTGAATTAGTCCTTGAATTATTCCATTTATAGACCCAGATGCTCCATGTATGGTATATTTACCAACATTTACCCTAAAAATCACCCAAATGTAGGTACATATACCATACATGGAGCATATGGGAGATGATGATCATAGATGATCCCCTGGAAATGATTCCATTTATAGATGATTCTCCCCCATTTTCATCCTGAGGTGGTCAAGAATGGCTTCCTGGACGAACGATGCGGGCCCGAGGTCGCCTATGTCGCGGTCGCCTTTCAGCCGGGTTGCTGGGAAGAAACCTTTGAAGAAACATAGAAATATCATGACTGGTTGGTGGTTTGGAACATTTTTTATTTTCCACAATGTATGGGATAATCCTTCCCATTGACTTTCATATTTTTTTAGAAGGGGTAGGTATACCACCAACCAGATGAAATATAGGTAGAAATATAGGTAGACATCATTATTTCGCAAGTCAAGTCGGCGATTTTTGTTTGACCCGAGCCAAGTCTACGGATGAAAATCACATGTTTTGGTGCTTGGAAGCCATGAATGAGGTGCCTTCAAGGGATTCCCAGTTGGTTGTCGGCCACAACAAACACAGAGATTGAGTAGGTTGATGACCGAACTTACCAAATGACCGACAAAAGAAGAATGCGTACCCCATCAACATAGGCCGACTTGCCAGATTCTGATCACACGCCACAATGATGAATCCATTTCTCCAGTTTGGGAGGCCCTGAAGTCACTTTTTATAGCCAACCATCCAATTTCTTGTTCTACTGACTGTACCATGTTTTATGCATGCAGTTGTTGTCAGCTTGCAAAGGGAACAAGGCCGACCGCCCAAAAACCCATGGCGCGTTGAAATCAGGATCCCTGATTGTAGGTTTTTGCACAGAGGGGGCTTTTCGCACGAACCAATCTGGTGGGTTTTTCCAGCTGGTTAAACCATCCACTTTTCTTCAAGACACCAAGGCACATGTGCAGATCATTTCTTTAGCATTGAGCAGCTCGAGCATTCTCCTACCGTAGATGGACGATGAAATCAAAGCCTTGCTGTATTGTTGTCAACCCCCAAATTTCAATGTTGGACAACAAAAATCAAACCCTGAACACAGAAGTTAGATAGAGTTTTGTTCAACATTGAAATTTGGGGTGTGGGGTTTTACTTGGTAGATGTCTGTAGGGTTTGATTTTTGTGTCCATCTGTAGTACATGGCCATCTTGGTATCCCTATGGTAGGCTTCGTTCAAAATCAGCGAAAGCGGTGACAGGTTACGAAAGCCATCCCCATAATTCAAGAAACCAAGGAATAGTCGAAAGACAACATCTCAATAATTATTTCCATAAAATCCCTCAAATATGCGGTTTCACCCGCACGAAAGCATGGTTTCAGGGGATTGCTGAATATTTTTGTTGATATTCCAAAAATAAAAGCATCTCTTCAGAAACTCTTCCCATAGAATCCCCCGAAAATCACCGTAAAATCATGATCTCTTATACAGGATGGGGCCCCCAAGATAGCTAAGTTGCCTTATAAGTGGCTTAACTATTGTTTATGGTAGATATAACTATAGTTAATAGGGGTTATAATGGTTTATAAACCCACTTTTTTCACTGGGGGGGGCCCCATCCTGTAGGTTTTTCAGGGGTTTTCCAGGAGGAGATCCACACCCGGGTGCAACGCTCGAAATCCGCGCCGAACCAACGCCTGGAAAGTGCCGGGAACGACGCTGTGCCTAGGCTTGATGGTTACCCTCTGGTAAACGTTTACATAGCTATGGAAAGATCCACCATTTTTAATGGGAAAACTCACTATTTCAATGGCCATTTTCAATAGCTATGTTAAATTGCCAGAGGGTATAAAACTCGTTGCCATAGATGTCCCAAATTCCCATTGGTTGGTTGATGAATATTTCGGGGGTTGAAGAAACCCCGAAATAACAACAGGTAAATGATGATAGATGGTATACCAAACCGGCCCCTCAAATGGGGGATCCATTTTCCATGATAAATCCATGATAAATCCCATTTTTCCATTATGATATGGATAAATCCCAGAAAATAATCCCATCAACATGGTTCCCCTAATGGATCCAATGGAAAATGGTAGGTTTATAATGGAAAATGGTTGGTTTATCATGGAAAATCCCATCTACACATGGATGATTTAGAGGTACCCCCATGACTTAGGAAACCTCCAGTTGGGCTATAGACCAATTCAGCCATCGATCGGGGACACCACATTGTAGCAGTCCCCCAAACGATAGAAAATTGGGGAACGTCATATTTCTTGGTAAAATTAGTGATGAATTGTGATGAATCACTATGCTTCTTCCACAATCATTCATCACAATTCATTACTATTTCAGAAGAACCATTACTTTTCTATCTATACGGGGGTTGCTATATGGAATAACTTCTGGGAAAATTATAATCAAAAGAATTGTCGAAAGAACTTTTTTGGATGTCTCTGATAGGTTCATTTTGGTCGCCAGAAACAGAAGACCAGATTGGTTGAAGTTTCCCATATTGTTTAAGACAATGGCCTACCTCGGTGTGAACGCTTTGACTTGGATTGGACGGGCTGGGCTCCGTTGAATGATGCGAAGCCTTGAATCCCTGACAAGACTTTGGAAACCTAGGAGGTTGATTGAGCCAAGTATATGATCTCACTTGTTGAATACACTGAGCCACTGAACTGGTGCAAGAAACGAGAGAAACAACGTACAAGAAACATGTTTTCTCAATGTTTGTTCCAACATGGTAAGTTATAACGACCTCACTGCGACCGAACCCTGGAAAAATGGCTTGGATTCGTGGAATTGTCCCAATATACATAGCCTATCATAGCCTTATTTTAGTGAATTACTGGTTGGTGGTTTGGAACATTTTTTATTTTTCCATATATTGGGAATAATCATCCCAACTGACTAATATTTTTCAGAGGGGTTGAAACCACCAACCAGATTATTGTAATTTGCCCAGATCAATTCTACGGGGTTGCCTGGCTGCCACAACTTGCTCCGTTCCCGCCCAAGTTTTTCAAGGCTGAGATTCAAACCGACGCAGACAGCAACTATAGCTCCTCGGTCTGGTGCTGTGTGTAAAATGAAGATAGCATGGAGGAGTGCTGATTCTATTTCTGGTGATTTTGGAGAAATATCAAAACATGGATCGACTTCTTTGCGTTCTGGTGCAGATTTTGGGAGAAAATGCTCTGGTTCTGGTGCCATTTTTGGAAGAAATTGATAGAAATTGGTCGAATTCATATGGTATAATGTTGTAAACCCAATGTCATCAACCATCCCCAAGTCATCACCATTTTTCTTGGGTGGGATGTTTACCATCGACATGGCCGGCTGAACACAGTGGGTGTAGGACTTCATCGGTCGTATTGTTGTTGTTCTGCAGTAAAACACCATGTAAAACATATATATATAATTACGATTCATTCATATTAATTACGTGTATATATATATATACATATATATATAGGGCCAGAATATTTGTCTGGTAAATATTCATGGGCTACATGAATGAATTGCAAAAACCACCAGATGTAGCTCCAAGAACTGAGATGCCGACTCTTAAGGACTTGGGCTCAAAACTCAAGCCTCAAAGAAGAGACCGTGGTTTCAGCTGGTTTCTTTAGGTCACATGGTCTCACAAAAACAACCTGGAAAACATTTGTGTGGCCGGAATTTCTTGCCATACCAGGCTACAGGGATCGTGGCCTGTCAGGACAACGATGGGATATGGATTGGGATTTTATATCTGGATGAATCATGGTGAGCCTGGTGAGTTCGATTCGGATTTCTATGGATTCATCATGTTGAGAAAAACAGATAGCTAAGTTGACTCAAAAAGCTTAAGGTTAACTGTCGGGTTCATGTGGGATAGTATACATTAGTATACTATAGTTTTTAGGGGGTTTATAAACCAAAGTTCACATCGGCCTGACGTTTTTTTTTTATGACCGGGACCACCGTTTCTGGGGACGTAACTTTTTTGTTTTTGATAGGTGGATGGGATTATGGTATGGATTTGATGAAATTTGGTCATGTTGATTCAGTGAGTAAACACTGTAAGTTCAGTGAGTTGAAACATTGGATTCCTAGGCGATAGGTGATTTGGAGCCATACGTGATGTTGTGCGCTTCTGAAAGACATTGGCTCTTTTAGTATTTAATCACGTTTGATCCCAACAACGAGTGCCGCACAGCATATATATATATAATAATAATATATATATAATAATAATAATAACAATAATAATAATAATTATTATATATATATATATATATGTATGCAAGTATATATTATGTATTCTAATACATGAACAGCCATTGATCAAGCCACATGTGTGTGTGTCTGTGTGAAGGCCTCTCCTGCACTTTTCAATAGCTTCGATGTTTTTTTGGTACCAATCAAATCCCATTGGCACATTGGTATAGGAAACATCGGTCCCATAGTAGCCATCCATAGGCTTCGTAAACGTCTTCAACACGCCATGAACATCTTTTTTTTGCTTCAAAATCCATGGATTGTTGGTGGTACCTGGCGGATCTTCCCAGATCTGGTGGCATCTTTGATCCCAGTGCAACTCCGGTGCTGTTCACGTGAGGAGATGCTAGCACCAGCCTTGCGGCTTCAGAGGTTCCGCGAAGCCCGCGGCTGGGCCGAGCTTGCGACCGAAACGCCGGCTGGGACGGTCAGGCTGTGATCCAGAGAATTCGTAGATTCATAGGGAGACTAGGGAGACTAACCATTAAACGTATGAAAAACTATAGATTTGATAGTATATTCACGGGGATATCTTGTCACATCTTATGATTATACATATTCTTGTTGAATTTGTATGATAATATCAGACAACATATCTGAGTTGGAAGGCCCGGATTCTCATGAATATTTCATGAAGATTTCCTGTCTACGATGGCATCCCTTGATTTCGGTGGTTACAACGTTTCCCTGAGTCGTTCTCTTTAAATGTTCTGGTGCCACATACTTCAGAAACCAAACCAAACGTGAAACGCCAAAGTTTTGTAAGTATTGGCCAGTGGGAATTGGAATACAACGTAATTCAATACAACAAAGGACACAACTCAGGCAATAGCATATGCAACATGTAAAGGCCAACATTTGACAACTGTCTCAGCTTGAGTCAGAAGATGTCCATTCAAGATTCAAGGAACGATAGCTGGGTTGGCTCAACAGTCAGAATTCCTGAACTCTTTCACTGACGACATCTGAGAAAATCTCCATTCTCCCAACACATCCGAGATTTTTTACCCGAAAACGAACGTTCGGAAAAGCATGGAAAAGCAATGGCTTTCCCGTTCCGAAAATGATCGAAATAGTGGGTTCTCCACATCGAACTGTTAGTTTACAGGAGGGTAAATTTGGAGGTTTCCTGATATCCCCCAGTTCTCATCCATTTTATTTTTGGATTTTCCATGGAATAAACCATCCAATGCTCACTTGGGGTACCCCCATGACTATGGAAACCTCGTATTTTCAAGACGGTGGATCAAATTCATCGTTTTAACACTTCCATTATAAAGAAAGTGGTGTTTTCTTTATTGTCTTGATTTTCCCATTCATCCCAGAAGAAAATCTGCTTAGATCCGCAGACAGTAGCCTCTGGTAAATTAACATAGCTATGGAAAATCACCATTTTCAATGGGAAAATCCACTATTTCTATGGCCATTTTCAATAGCTACGTTAAATTACCAGAGGGTACAGACAGAAACGGTGAATTCCTGGAGCATTTTGGGTTGCACAGCTGAGGTTTGTGGGATGTGAAGCCTCTGGACCATCCTCGCTTCTGCAGAGCGCTCTCCTGTCAACGGGGGTTCAAGCTGCAGTGCTAAAAGAATGGGAATGATATGGCTATGGGTCAAAACCCTGGTACCCCTGGTGAACATCAAAATAGCTGGTAAATGGATGTTCATCCCACTAAAAATGTATCTATAGGTATTGACCCATACCCATATTAATTATTAATGATGAATGAGAATGCTTTGGGGAAGAGGTTTCGGTTTCGCCATCCAATTTTTGGACAGAGTTGATCTATGTTGATCTATCCCCAGGTCGCTTTCTTTCTCCAAACGTTGCTAGGTGCTCTGCGACATACTCCCAAGCGAACCGCTGAGGCGCCGAGAACTGCTTCGAATTCACTGGAACGCCATAGTCATGGGGGATCCCCACTTGGCCCAGCTCGCTGGATGGTTTATTCCATGGAAGATCCAAACATAAAATGGAGAACTGGGGGTACCCCCATTTCAGGAAACCTCCATGTAGGAGGTCAATCCCCCATTTCGTGAACGCAAAATCCATGGCAAGTGCTCAGCTCGATGGCAGTGGAACTGAACCCTGACCAGGAGCCGGTCGACGGCCTTTCCGATTTCAAGCACCTTGGAGTAGAAGTTTGATACTGCGGGTCAACTGGCTGGTGACAAGGTGACAATGATGCTTGTACGTGCATCTCTTTTTCTCTTGTGTGTATCTATTATGATGATTTATGATGTATATTAATGTATATTATACATACCACACCACGTATAGACAGATACACATCTAACGATGCATGGAAAAAACATACTGAGTAATTTGAGTATATGCACAATGTGAGATACACAGCTCTGACCGGAAAACCTGCAAACTGAGGCCCGGTGATATATTTGTCGGTTTTTAATCCCCACTAGATTTATATTCCCCCAAACAACACACTAGTTATTGAAGTTATGGGGATTAGATCAAGATCAACCATATGTATATATATATATATTATATGTTTTAAGATTTTAAATAGATTCATCATCATTTTTATCACCTATACATGGGCCATGTTCCGTATGGTAAATCACCGGAGATTGCAATGACTTGCTGTGGGGTCCTTTACAGCTTGAGCATCAGAGTTGATATATACATAATATATATATATATATGTGGAATCATATGTATATGATATATGTATATAATATATGTATATAATATATGTATATAATATATGTATATAATATATGTATATAATATATGTATATAATATATGTATATAATATATGTATATAATATATGTATATAACTATATGTATATAATATATGTATATAACTATATGTATATAACTATATATAATATGTATATGCATACATACACATAGATAGATAGATAGATAGATAGATAGATAGATAGATAAGATAGATAGGATAGATAGGATAGATAGATAGATAGATAGATAGATAGGATAGGATAGGATAGGATAGGATAGGATAGATAGGATAGATAGGATAGATAGGATAGATAGGATAGATAGGATAGATAGGATAGATAGGATAGATAGGATAGATAGGATAGATAGGATAGATAGGATAGATAGGATAGATAGGATAGATAGGATAGATAGGATAGATAGGATAGATAGGATAGATAGGATAGATAAGGATAGATAGGATGGATAGGATAGATAGGATAGGATAGGATAGGGTAGGATAGGATAGGATAGGCATAGGATAGATAGGCTAGGATAGATAGGATAGATAGGATAGGATAGGATAGATAGGATAGGATAGATAGGATAGGATAGGATAGATAGGATAGATAGGATAGATAGGATAGGATAGGGAGAGATAGGATAGATAGCAGAGATAGGATAGATAGGATAGGTAGGATAGGTAGGATAGGTAGGATAGATAGGAGAGATAGGATAGATAGCAGAGATAGGATAGATAGGATAGATAGGATAGATAGGATAGATAGGATAGATAGGATAGATAGGATAGATAGGATAGATAGGATAGATAGGATAGATAGGATAGAAGGATAGATAGGATAGAAGGATAGATAGGATAGATAGGATAGATAGGATAGATAGGATAGATAGGATAGATAGGATAGATAGGATAGATAGGATAGATAGGATAGATAGGGTAGATAGGATAGATAGGATAGCTAGGATAGATAGGATAGATAGGATAGATAGGATAGATAGGATAGATAGGATAGATAGGATAGATAGGATAGATAGGATAGGTAGGATAGGTAGGATAGGTAGGATAGGTAGGATAGGTAGGATAGGTAGGATAGGTAGGATAGGTAGGATAGGTAGGATAGGTAGGATAGGTAGGATAGATAGGATAGATAGGATAGATAGGATAGATAGGATAGATAGGATAGATAGGATAGATAGGATAGATAGGATAGATAGGATAGATAGGATAGATATGATAGATATGATAGATATGATAGATATGATAGATATGATAGATATGATAGATATGATAGATATGATAGATAGGATAGATAGGATAGATAGGATAGATATGATAGATAGGATAGATAGGATAGATAGGATAGATATGATAGATATGATAGATATGATAGATAGATAGATAGATAGATAGATAGATAGATAGATAGATACATCATCTATAAACATACTGTGGATGGTTGCGAAATCCCGCACCGTCGGAGAGTGAGGCTGGAAGATCCGGCGGGTCTGGTGCACTTTGACCTCATTGGCCTTGACGAACCCGAGGCGACACAGGGCGACACAGGGCGACACAGGGCGACACAGGGCGACACAGGGCGACACAGGGCGACACAGGGCGTGGGCGGAACGGAGGATGTTGGAGAATCTATGGCAAATCCATGGATTTTGTGGAACATCTATGGGAAATTCATGGAATTTAGGTGAATTGATGGTAAATGAGGTGGAACTCTGTGGCTTTGGGATCATAGGACTTGGATTTTTAGACGTTGCGGCGAGTCTTAAGGATGTGTGCATTCGACGGGAGTTGGGGAGTTTGAAAGTCGCTGAAAGAAAGTGTTTGGAAAAGACGAAATTCCTTTCGAAAATCAATCACATGGCTATGGGTCAAAACCCTGGTACCTAGTGAACCCCAAAATAGCTGGTAAATGGATGTTCATCCCACTAAAAATGTATCTATAGGTATTGACCCATACCCACATCTCAACATTCATGAAACGCTTCAACGTTCCTTGAAGATCCTTGAACAATCAATCAATATCCATGAAAGTCCAGCCCAAATCCAGCAGATATTTGGTGGCCGCCAGGGCAATGTTAAGGGAAGAAGTTGGTCAGAGGCGGCGCTGGGTGTTGTGACTTTTTCGGGCGGAAAGCAGAAATTAGCCAGCTTGACATATTTTTCGAATAAAAAAGGCAACTATATTCCAATATGTTTCTATATATTCCAATATATTCCAATATATTTCAATATTATTTCAATATTATTTCAATATATTCCAATATATTTCAATATTATTTCAATATATTCCAAAATATTTCAATATTATTTCAATATTTTGTCAATATTACTTATATATTTCAATATATTCCAACATATTCCAATATATTTCAATATATTCCAATATATTTCAATATTATTTCAATATTTTGTCAATATTATTTCAATATATTCCACTATAATCCAATATATTCCAATATAATATATTCCAATATATTTTGATATAATATATTCCTATATATTGCAATATATCCCAATATATTCCAATATATTTCAATATATTTCAATATATTCCAATATATTTCAATATATTCCAACACACCAATATATTTCAATATATTTCAATATATTCCAATTTATTTCAATAATATTTCAATATATTCCAATATAGTCCAACAAATTCCAATATATTAAAATGTATCCCAATATATTCCAATATATTTCAATATTATTCCAATATATTTCACTATATTTGAATATTATTCCAATATATTTCAATATTATTCCAATATATTTCAATATTATTTCAATATATTCCAATATATTCCAATACTATTCCAACAATATATTCCAATATATTCCAATATTATTCCAATATATTCCAATATATTCCAATACTATTCCAACAATATATTCCAATATATTCCAATATTATTTCAATATATTCCAATATATTCCAATACTATTCCAACAATATATTCCAATATATTCCAATATTATTCCAATATATTCCAATATTATTCCAATATATTCCAATATATTCCAATACTATTCCAACAATATATTCCAATATATTCCAATATATTCCAATACTATTCCAACAATATATTCCAATATATTCCAATATATTCCAATACTATTCCAACAATATATTCCAATATATTCCAATATTATTCCAATATATTCCAATATTATTCCAATATATTTGAATATATTTGAATATATTTGTTGTTTTTTTTTTCAATGTTGGTCGCACATCTTCTGACCAGGAATCGGATCACAGAGTCTCAGCATCGAGGAGCCTTGGCCAGGAATTGGATAAAAAATGGGGTGCCATTTTGCAAAACGGAAAGCTCCAAGAACTATGGTTTATAGGTGATATATCTATAGTTAATGGGGTTTATAAACCAATTTATAACTAGGGGGCACCACCTTGTAGTTAGTTATAAACCATGATATGGGGGTTTTCATAAAATGGGGTACCCAAAATGGATGGTTTACAATGGACAATCCTATTAAAATGGTACCATTCTATATACCGCCTGGTTATTTCCGTAGCTATAGAGAATCATCATTTTTAATAGGTCAATCATCAGAAACACATCTATATATAAATGGACCATTTTCCATGGCTATGTTAAATAACCAGAGGGTAATAGATACATACTTAAATGGAGGTTTCTGTAAATGGGGGTATCCAATAGCTGGATGGTTTATTCCATGGAAAGAGAATAAAATGGATGATTTAGGGGTACCCCTATTTTAGGAAACCTCCATATGTATATATATATATGTATATGATAGATTTTATATACTTGGGCCACTTATACAGAATGAACCGCCAAGATGAAATTAGTAGAAAGAGCAGACACAGGAAGCATGTATGCTCATTGTGCTTCCTATATGTAGTTGCAGTAGTAGGTATTTTATGGTAATTTAACATAGCCATAGAAAATGGTCAGTGACCATTCATAGTTGACTTACCTATCAAATGGTGAGTTTCCATAGCTATGTTTACCAGAGGATAGCGAAAATCATGTTTGTTGGCCTTTCCTAGAGTTGACAACGAACTACCAACGTAATTAGGAGCTTGTTGAATATGTTTGACAGTCTACGAGTTGTGATCAGCTTTGGTCCTTGGTGAAACCCCAAGAAAAATGGTTGGTTTAATGGTATTTTAGAATGTTTTATGATGTTTTTGATTTGATGGTGTTTTAATGGGATTCAATGGGAATTACAGTTTTAGTATCATCAGATGAATCCTTGCTGTCCAGTTGTGTGAAGAAATCGATAATCCGCGTGCAATGCTGTGCTTGCTATGCAAGTCCGCGGGAATCTGAAGTATCGTCAACTCGAAACTCGCAGCAAAAGAGAACTTAAGCCATTCACAAATCCTCCAATCAACTCCAATCATTAGATTATATTAGATTCACATCAACTCACCTTTTGATCACCATTTTTTCACGGCTTCTCCGGTGCGCAGGACACGAGGGCCGCCTGCACCGCCTGCTGGGCAGCCTGCCTCCCCGGTGCTGCAGCCGCTCAATGCCCAACTGCTGCAGCAGCTGTTGGCAGCACAGGCGCAGGCGCAGGCGCCGCGCCATTCATCCCATAGAGAGGTGTAGTAACTGGTAGGGATATAACTGGTAGATAACTTCTGGGATATAACTGGTAGATCACTTCTGAGATCTTCTGAGATCTTCTAAGATCTTCTAAGATCTTCTGAGATCTTCTGAGATCTTCTAAGATCTTCTAAGATCTTCTGAGATCTTCTGAGATCTTCTAAGATCTAAGTAACTAGGGGACTGGTACATGGTTGATGTGACCATGATGTGGGTCGCATCGACTTCCCCGAAAAAAAGAATTATAATGGAATTATGCCCCAAAAAAGTTGATGTGATGATGATGGCCTTCACTTTTTCGGGAAACAAGGAACTCGGTGAATCCATCTATTTTTCTGCCGATTGGAATCCTCCGTAGGATCCTCCATGGAGAGAAGTTCCAGCCCAGACAGCGAATTGTTTTGTCAGTTTTGAGTCGGTTGAACAACGTGCAGAAGATTCGAAGATGTAAGTTTTGTGGTTGGAGTTTCCGTTTGAAATGCCAGTTTGCCAGAAGCGAAACCGCTGCCAGTGGCTGATAAATCATTAACAAAAACCATAGGATGAAGGGGGTATAGAATTGTCCAGCTGGGAAAAAATGGGAACAACTGGCAAAAAGAATAGATCACCGTGCTGGTGTTGACGAAGCCCTGCAATAAAGAACATGATGATATGGGTCTGCTTCTTCAAATAGTGGACCCCAAAGTACCTGTTGATGCTATGAATCATCATTTTCTGATATTTTCCCATATGTTCCCATATTTTTCCCATATTTTCTGCATTTCCCCACATTTTCCCTAGTATTTGATGGCCATTCGTATCCGGTCTCCCGCCCCAACTTCCAACTTCCGTCAGGTCATGGGAGTCGCCGCGCAACACTTCTGGCAGCCTCTTGGGCGATTTTGAGCAATTTCATGTAGTATCTAGGGTGGCCAGTGAGATAAAACCCTAGATGATTACTGGGGTTACATCATGTTACATCTACATACATCTACATACATCTACATACATCATGTTACATCTACATACATCATGTTACATCTACATACATCATGTTACATCTACATACATCATGTTACATCTACATACATCTACATACATCTACATACATCTACATACATCTACATACATCTACCATATTTCCACGTCGACGTTTTTTTTTAAAAACAACTTTGAGGTTACAGATGCAGCCATCCATGCATTCGCGGCCATCCTCTGTGCAGCCGTCCATGCATTCGTCCAGGGGCCAAGCCCCGCCCAGCCTGTGCAGGAAATCCTCGAAATCTCCATGAAACAACTAGATTTCCCTGAGATTTCCGATGAATTCTCATGAAAAAACATGAAAAACTCGATTCCTGTGAGATTTCTCATGAAAAAACGGGTGAAAAAATAGATTTGTGTGAGATTTCTGAAATGACATTTCGATACATTTCGTGACGGTTTTAACCAGCATGTACCCTCTGGTTATTCAACATGGACAATTGCAATTTTTTAAAGTTCGGTCAATCATCATTTTTATCATCTAATGTCATTATTTTCATGGGTCATGGTTTCCATAGCAATCTGTTAAATAACCAGAAGGTCAATCCCCATCAATCCAAATCACCATCGATGATTAGACCACGATCAGATCAGTCAAAAAATGGTGTTCTCCGAAGCTTTTTGTTGGAGCTTCGACCAGTGAATTGTGGATATTCCCGAGTATACTTGGATTGGATAGTAGAACCATGTACCCTTTGGTAAACCTACAAAAAACTATGGAACATGGACATTTATAGTGGATCTGCCCATTAAAAATGGTGATTTTCCGTTTTTTGTAAGTTTACCAGAGGGTAGAACCCATCATAAATCAACATGAACCAACCATTTTCATGTCGATTTATAAATCTCACATTCATTAATATGGCTTTTCCGAAGGATGGACCTCATGAATCAATGAATCTCAACAATCAACATCAACACCCATAGGATCCATGGTGCTGCTACATATGGTAACATGGATCCCATGAATATACCCCAAATGTTACCCTCTGGTAATTTAACATAACTATTGAAAATGGCCATTCATAGTGAGTTTTTCCATGAAAAATGGTGATTTTCCATAGTTATGTTAGTTTACCAGAGGGTAGCATTTTTCTACCAGCACCATGGATCCTAATTATGGGACATGAATCAGTTGAATCCTCCGTTGAGGTCGCCTCAGATCTCTCCGCAACTGGCACCACAGCTGGGAACGCACGTGCCGCAGCTGTCCGCTGGCCGAGGGGGAGCGCTTGCTGGTGGAAGTCGTTGAGAGAAACACAGTGAACTTGTGGGAAACCCTAGGAATATCTATGGATAATGATGGTTAATAGTGGTTAGGAAATTGTTAGGAATGGTTAATCATGGTTAATAGTGGTTAATAATTGGTATATAACCAGCAAAAGTAGACCTACCATGACTGGGGATTGTAAATAAATCAGCCATAAACATGGTGATGACTTGGGGATTGTCGACGACATTAAGTGTACCTCATTACATACAGTTAGATAAACCCAATGAGCAGTTCATAGCAATGATTTGGGTGCGTCTGAACATGGTTTATATATTCCCCAAATGGTTCTTTTAATATTGGGAAAATGATGAATTTTCATGAATGCATTTTAGGAGTATCATGGAGTAGCCTATTTTCAGACAAACCTACTATTCATATTATGAACCATTGGGGATGAACGATTCAATGGGATATTCATGGACATATCAGTGGAATATTACTGTATGGACGAATATAGCCAACAATATGTGATGGATTCTGGGTGCATTATAATGACCTCAACGTGACGTCACTGGATTTGAATGATGATCTGATTGTAGGGAATCATTCCCAAATGGCCGTATGATAATTATGACAACAGCTATTTTCAGGTTAGTGAATTCTTGCAATTCAGCCAGATAATCCCTATCACCTATATATATATATATATAATGGTCTGAAATATCATGAAATATCTGTAATTTCACCTACTATATAAATAAAGCAATGTTTTTTTTGGGTTGTTCTATATTGGGGGGGAAGGGATTGTTGGTTAATTGAGTATTGTTCGCGTAACATAGATAATGTATACTATATATATATATATTTAAATCTATGTATTACTTCTTGTGTTTTGAAATTGCTATGATCCAACTGACTCAAACGACCCGGGTTTTTTCTTCAGTTACAAGGTGATTTAATGGCCTTCAATGGGATTCAATGGTGATTTAATGGGATTTAGATAGCTAAATTCGACACACAGTTCACTTGGGTTACTTTTGAGTTGATTACGGGGGATACAACGAACGAGTATTCATGGGGTCTGGGCAAATTATAACGACCTCACTGCGACCTCACTGGAATCATGGTTAATGAGGGGAATCACCCCAAAATGGCCTTATTTCAGGTTGGTGAAATAAATATAATTTGTCCAAACAGCGTTATAAACCAACTTACATCACTGGGGGGCCTCACCTTGTAAAATTGCCGGCCAATTTTTGACCCGTACAATGCTGGGACTTTCTGAGCGATTGAAAAAAAATCGTGAATGCTCTTGATGAGAGTATAATAATGATATATGATGCAACTAGTAGTTACCACCTTTTTTGTGTAGATCATCTAGAATGTCGTTTCTGAAAAGCGTACGTGAAGCCGTTTCTACGTCCAGCCAAGAATTTTGGGAAATCCACAGATGGCTTGCGAGGGCAGTTCGTTTTTTTGTCTTTTCCCGCAGTAGATGACATACAGAGTGTATATATATATAATTATATATATAGTATATTACACATATTAAACTATATGATGTAATACATTAATAATATGTATATGTCTATGTCTATGTATATGTCTATGTATATTCACTCATTACCCTTAGGTAAGAATAATGGTATCATGCAAACCATCTGATCTTGGAGCCCATTTTGAGCCACAGCCAGACAACTCAACGTCGCGACGTCGCAGCGCTCAGGTTGCTGTCGCCGCTGATGTCGCCACAAGGGTCCAGTCAACCCAGTGGTCGTGGTGGCAAACCATGTCCAAGGTTGGTGAATCATTTCAAAAAAAAATGCCAGAGTCAATGATTAAGAAATCCTTGTTTGTTTTGCGAGCTGAGCATTTGAGCATTGGCTGCTATTTGGCTCAGTTGGTGATTAAAAAGGGGATTATGATTATACTTCTTACCCTCTGGTAAACTAACATAACTATGGAAAATCACCATGTTTCATGCGAAAACTCACTATAAATGGCCATTTTCAATAGCTTTTTGTATGTTTACCAGGCCGGGTACCCACAAGAAATTCGGGATGATCTCATCCTGAATCCGCACCCCACAGTTACAAGTTGAGCATCACGATACCCGAAAAATACGATATATAGTATATGGTTGACATAACTATGGTTAACTATGGTTGACATATCTAAACCCCATTCACTATAGATATGTCAATCATAGTTAACCTTGTGATAAACATGATGAACAAACTTAGCTATCCTAGGTGATTGTACAAACGCGCACACGCACATGTTCAAATACGGATGCAGTTGCGATCTTTTCTCGATACGAAAAATACTCAATGATACCAGCGATCAAGTCTCCCCGGTCTCCCCGGTCTCCCCGGGCTGCCCCAAATTTTCAATTTCCCTAATTTTCTCACATTGCATTTTGGCAGTATGTGTATATATACTATATTATATATATATGAATATTCCATTTTTGGACAAGCCATATCATACTGTAGAACTACAGATTTATATATATATATACATCCAAACGATTCCAAATTTCGCATGTGGACACAGCCGGTGATTGATTCGACATTCGTTGTGAGGCCGGAACCATCGTTGTTTGGAATCCCAGCCGTAACCCTCTGCTCGGCTTAGCCCAAAACAGCCCCCCTCTAGTTCCAGAAGGCTTGGAGAATAGTGGCAAAATTGATTCGAATGTGTAAAAAGCTTTCGAATAATAGTGCTATATTATGGATAGATAGGGCACAGAGATTCTAGAAATGAATAGATACACTGATGGAGTGTTTGATCCTTAAAAAGAAGTCATGGTGCCTGTGAAACAACTTTATTATAACGTGATGAAACATGGGGCTTTCTTAAACAGCGGACATCCCCAAGTCACCACGGGTTTCAATACAAAGTCATCGAGTCATCCATGACGACTGGATGAGATTTGGGCGCTGCTGAGGCTGTCCCCGGAATCTTCCCGACCTCAGTCGCCACAGCTTCTTGCTACGAGGGGAGCGACCAAACGTCTTTAGATTTCTGGTTTTAACATGTCCTGCGCAGATTCGAAGTCTCAGATCACCCTGACATCCTGGTCATTTTCGCCAAAACGGTCCCCGCCGGTGTCATCAAAAACAGTGGCAATGGAAAATCCCATGGAAATCCCCGAAAAAAATGGCCGGTGTGAATGACTTTGAATGGGACAATTATCTATAAATCACGGATCTTCCAGCACGTTTGATGACACCGGAGGGTATATTTGTTCATATTTGTTCTATACTTCTATACCATAATTTCTGCTGGTGAAATCCGAAAAAACCTCCAAGCCGAGGCCAAACAACCCATGCCCAGTGGGTCTGCAGGTGCGACGTGCGCATTTTGATCAACAGATTATTTCACGTCGCATTTTGATCATGTTCTTGTTTAAAACCCAGGGTTTATGAGGGCATATAACTGTAGTTAATGACTGGGGCTAATATAACTATAGTTAATGGGTGTTGATGGGGTTTAAAAACCAATATCACTGGACAACCTCACCCTGTAGCGAAAAATCGCGAGACATATCTGATAATCGCTAAACATCAGATGATCAATTCTGCTTCACTCAGATTTCTTGGTTCTAGAAACGACCAAGCAGATATTTTCATGTAGATAGGAAATCAATCCATAAAATATCCATATATAATCATATATATATAACTATAACTGTTTATACAGATCCATACATCTCCAATCTATAAGTATCTGTAAAAGTCTAGACATATCCGCAAATTTCTACAGATATCTATGAAAACAATTTATCAACAAATATCTATGAATCTTTGTACATATCTATCAATATCTACACATATCTATGCATATCTATAAATATCTGTAAGTATCTATAAATATATGCATACATCTATACACTTCACATATCCACAAATATCTATCAATATCTGCCAATATTTGTACATATCTACACATATCTGTAAACATCTGCAAATATTTGAAACAAATCCTATAAATATCGACGCATATCTGCAAATATCTATAACTTATAATCCCCTATGAATATATTATAACTAAACGGCTATCTATATTATATCGAGTTCAATAGAATTCGATTCAGTTCTATTATATCGAGTTCTATTTAGCTATTTAGAGTTCTGTGGTTCTATTTATATAGTTCTATTTAGTTCTATTTAGTTCAATAGAGTTCTATAAATCGCCATAAATAGGTGGTATGTTTACCATTCCCAGTCATGGGTGGTAGACATGACATTGTTTTAACCACATTAGAGATATTTACAGATAATTATTTAGTTCAGCCTGGTTTCCGATAAATATTACAGATAACCACACTACAGGATGGGGCCCCCAAGATAGCTAAGTTGGTTTATAAATGGCTTAACTATGGTTTATGGTCGATATAACGAACTAGATAACTATGGTATTCATGGGGTTTATAAACCAACTTATAACTGGGGGGCCCCATCCTGTAGAGATATTTAACCACATTGTTTCCCTATAAATATCGATTTTTATTGGGAAATCATTCAGCCAGGTGCCGCAGCCGCATACGATCAGGCGGGGCTGGCCTCGGTCGATGGAAAATTGACCGTCAAGCATGATGAATATTTAGGGAATAGATATTGATTTATATTTATAGATATTTCTAGGATATTTATAGCATAGTTCTAGGATATTTATAGATAACTATAGATATTTATAGCATATTTCTAGGTTATTTATTGAATATTTATAGGATAATAGATATTTGGAGGTTTTCATAAATGGGGGCACCCCCCCCCAAAAAAAAATGTCCCATTTTCCATGAATAAACCATCCACCTATTGGGGTGCCTCCATGACTATGGAAACCTCTATTCACAGATATTTATGGAAATACCGTGGGGACCCAAATCATCCAAATTACCCTCTGGTAAACATACAAAAAGCTATTGAAAATGGCCATTTATAGTGGATTTTCCCATGAAAAATGGTGATTTTCCATAGCTACGTTAAATTACCAGAGGGTATCTCTAAGTTTTTTGAAACGATGAAATTTGAAATGATGATAAACCATGAGTTTTGGATGATAAATGGCCTGACAACTAAGATTTCAATGATGAGAAATAGACCATATTGATATTTTGATTTTAAGGAGGGTTCCTACAATAGGGATCCCTCACGTCACCATGGGTTAACCTATACTAAGTCATGGTCATCCGTGACCCTGATTATTTGGGGTAACCCCCCCATTTTATCAAACCTCTAAATAACACTAAGTTTTTTTAAAGGAAAACATATGATGAACCAGCAATTTGTGAGTAGATGGAGTAGCGTATTTTCGGACAAACCCAGTGACCCTGCTCAGCGCGGCTGCGTGCGTGGGAATAGACATTTACCCTGAAATTGTGGCGGTTTTTGATATAAATTATTTATCTTATATATCGTTATAGTATCACACTACATATATATATATATACATACACAATGATATATATATATATATATGATATATGTATATATATATATAGACACTACATCACATATAATATATATATATATAAATACATATGTACATAATGGATCACAATAGTATATAAATCATCTAGTCTTGTGGCAACTTTTTGGCCTCAGCCGCTTTCCGCTTTCGTTTTTCCGCGGCGCTGAGGCATTCACTGAACATGGACAACGGCATGCACCAGGCGCCACGGATGTAGGAGGAAATTCAGGATTTACCCTGTAATAAACCGTGATATTTATCCGGATTTAATGGGATTTTAGTGGGAGTAAATGGGGAATATAGCTCGGACTGATTTGGGTGCTGCGACGCACGGCAATGCAGTGCGGCCGCAACAAGTCCTTGTCTTAGGCCGGGCGAGCCAAGTCACACGCCCGTCGCACAGCTCTAGTAGCTGTAAAAGATTTAAATGGGGAATATAACCAACAATATGTGAATATAGTGGGATATACTGGAGGTTTCCTAAGTCATGGGGGGGACCCCAGTCGTCACCATGGGTTAAGCTATACTGAGTCGTGGTCTGACTTGGAAATTCGCAATGGTTTCTTTCGAAAAATGATCTGCAAATGGTGCGGCATTCTCCACATCTAACTGTTCGTTTATAGGGGAGTAACATCCAGATATATACTAAGCACCAACAAGATAGAACAGGTTCAATAAATGACTATTTTAGTATGATTTTACATACTAATCTCATCCCCTGTTCATATTGAACGCACCCTAGAAACCGTGGTTTAGTAGAGACTTGAATTGTATGGTTCATAGACATATAATAGGTGCTGTGCATATATTTATCCATGTGGGTGTACTGGTATATACACACATAGAGCATCTATGAAACATCAATGCAGTGTATAGGTAGATGTAGGAGCTGGGAAAAACCTTTAAACGTTGTATGAACACACATTGCACACCCACACAATCTTACACATTACACGTTTGATACACTAAATGCACGTGGGTATATGCTTACTTGTGTGTTTTTTCATACAGTATATGCTCACATCACTTGCATACTGTAGAAGTCAAACATGTACACGCACACACTTAAGATACATCCAGGCTGCATGTGTACAGAGACACATATGTGTCATATGTACTTTGTGTCATACGTGTCTGCAGACACACACACACATACACGCACACATTTGTATACTGTATGTATACGTATACATACATATGTATATATATATATACATTAAATATGTATGGAATTATCTAGATAGATCAATAAATGTACTCACCATATAAGAACACAGATATACATCTGCAACGCGCCAAGATTAGCTCCGCCAAGATTTGAGCAGGGTTTCCACTGGAAAGTTGGCGAACTTTCTGAAGAACTCGTTGGCAAATTCCATACGGCTAGATATTGGGATTGGATACGACTCATGGTTTTTCTCATGCGGCCATATGTATCCTAATATGTATCCTAATATGTATCCTAATATGTATCCTAATATGTATCCTAATATGTATCCTAATATGTATCCTAATATGTATCCTAATATGTGCCATCATCAAGTTAGTTGGATATGTTTATCCCCTATTGGGAATCCCCTATTGGGAATGGTCATCAATGGCCGCCATAGCCTGGGATTCCCGACGAGTCGCAGGTCTTTTGGCATGTGGATGCCTTAAAGCTCAAGGGTCGCTTGGCTTCCAAAAAGCGAGCACTGGAAATCCCATGGTTGGCTTGAGAAAGTTCGGAAATCATCCATGGTGGATGTTCCATATCAGTTTAGTCAGTAAAAACTGGAGGGTATTAACTTGAGAAATTTCTGTGCCAAACAAGGAGATGTCTGAATGATTATCGTCCAAAGCCAGGAGTGTGTTCTGAACCGATACCTTGTTTGAAGAAGTTCTATCGCAGATATGTAGAAGATGAAAATTATAGAAGCATCAATGGTCAACTGGTCAACTGGTCAACCAGCAAGACCAACCACATGAACACCTGAATTGTGGGACAATTTTGCTTGGTACCCTCAGTGTAGCATCCGGGGACCGTCTATTCCCATCCAACGGGTCTGGAAGTTGCCCCGAGATTTGGGGTAAGAACTCATGGAGAAAGGGTGAACCCCGTTCACCACAGAATGCATTCCTTCTACTATAGAGCATGTACCCTCTGGTCATTTAACAGTTCGCTATTGAAAATTGCCCATTTATAGCTGATTTTCCCATGAAAAAATGTGATTTTCCATAGCTATGTTAGTTTACCAGAGGGTAAGTGCCATTAAATCCCATTAAATCCCATTAAACCACCATTTTCCTATGGTTTTCCTATGGTTTTCCTATGGTTTCAACCATTGATGTTCCGGCTATGGGACGAGGACAAGAGAGACAAACAGTCTCCCCGTCTTTTGAGCTTCCTTTTGAAGGACACCGGGCCGCTGGGGTGGGGCCGCCATGGGCCATGGCCAGCGGTTGAGACTGGTGTAGGAACCATGACTTCCTGCCTATTTTCGGAAACCATTTTCGGCACCATGTTCGGCACCATTTTCCATCGAAGATGGTGCCGAAAGATCTTGGGACTTCGAAAAAATCACCAGTGAAACACTGCTCCGCACGCCTCGCAGGACAGGTGAGCTTCAGGTGTCTCGGCCACGCATCTGGTGGTGAGATTCTCACATTTAGATACATTTAGCATCTGCTGAGATTTTGAGAGTGAACTATATAGTGAAACAGTTTTTGGACTAGCTCTCAAACTTGCAAAAATGTGTACTCTACTCTCCATTCCAGCAGCCTCCAGCATGAGTTTTTGCGGAAGCCATGCCAAGGTTAGTGCTAGTTCCAAAGCCCAATCCGGATGGCAAGGGCAACGTGGCAGCAGAATATTGCTTAGACTTAGACAACATCTTCAGCCTGTATTTGCTGAATTCTTATTTTCCATTATTTTCCTATTTATTAAATCCCAATAAACTCAGCATTTCGGTTGGTGAAATCTGACGCCGTGGAATCTAGGATCAAGTTGTCCCAGTCCATACCCTATGTTCAGTGGACCCCGAAAAGTTGGAGCCACTGATGATTTTTCTGCGAAAACATGGACATTTTCCCAGGCTTCTCTCGTTTTCCGTTACTTTTTGGTCGAAAAAATCGGGGCCAACAGCAGCTCTTCCAACTCGTCCCAGGTGGGGCATCCTTCAAAAAAGCCAACGGAGTCGGGAGTGTTCACCTGAAGTGCGAGGCACGTGATCAGAGGATCAGCGGATCAGTGGATTTTGATAGGGGAAGATGCTCGTGAAACCACGAAACATGGGTTGTTGGAAAAGGGTCGAACTGTGAAAAAAATCCAGAGGGTGACATGAAAAACATGTTGCAGGCATTTGATTCTACAGAGTGTTTTAGGGATGAACCTAGTCAAAAATATTTCAATCTACAGTGGGTTTATTTGTTCGGTGGTGACGGTTGTGTTTAAGTTTTAAAGGGAAGAGATTAATGCCTTTCCCCTAAAACCTCCCCAAAATTAACAAAAACTAGGGTCCATCTCTAATTTTGGAAAATTTCAGGTTGGCCAATTTGACTTTTGATTGATCCCCTTTGGAAAACAATTTAAAAATAAAGCTACCATTCGTGGGTTTCGCCCCCTAATAATAAAAACTAGTTAACCCCGGGGTTTTTATTATTAGGGTTCGTGACAATTTTGGTCTTTTTTATGAAGGGTTTCAATTTATTGATAGGGTCCGCTTCGAAATCCAATTTTTGGCAATATTTTAATTGCGTTATATCAGGAATTTCAATTGATTTTGAAATCGAAAAACATAGTTTTTTAAATTAAGGGTTTCAATTTATGAATAGGGTCCGCTTTGAAATCCAATTGTTGGCAATATTTTAATTGCGTTATATAAGGAAATTTAATTGATTTTGAAATCGAAACAAATATTTTTTTTAATTAAGGGTTTCAATTTATTACTAGGGTTCCCTAATAATAAATACCCCCCTAATAATAAAAATTACCTGAGGCTCTGAGGCGTTTATTATTTGGGGGGGGAACGTTTAGTATTAGGGGGAAAGGATTACCGGTACTCGATCCACTTCGAGGAATTGCCCTAGGTCTTCAACTGCCCTCTGTTATGTGCCTGATAGGGACAGGGCCACTAATTATTCCCCAACTTTTTTGTTGGTTTAAACATCTGGTTGGTGGTTTGGAACATGCCTTTGATTTTTCCATATATTGGGAATGTCATCATCCCAACTGAAGAGCATATTTTTCAGAGGGGTAGGTATCAGGTATACCACCAACCAGACATGTTGAAACTATCAGCTTCGACGGTGAATGGCTTTGGATCAATCATGGCTCGGGGGTGTAGGCCAAGGGTTAACCAAAACCCCCCCGGGTTTGTTGGGAGAGCAGGGCCCGAATACAACCACGCTATATATCTGCAGAAATCAGCCATTCACGAAGCTGAAAACTTGGGCTCCCAATCTTCCGTATCTTCCGTGAACCCAGCATCCAGAGAGCCGAGAGCAACTGGTTTCGTCCCGGCCATGGATGGTTTCCCCAATCCAATTCCCATCACCGTAGGATCTACTGAGTACTGTAGTTCATCCTAGTCCCCGATACGTGGCTTAGCCCATCTATAAAATGATGTGGGTGCACTAACTCTGGTTCTGAAATTACTATAAATGGGCTTATAATGATTATAACTCCTGTAGCTAAGTTTTATATATTTATATACAGTTATAATTATAATTACATATATATATATATTTATTATTCATAATATCATTATAAACCAGTTATAACTGGCAGGGCTAAAACCAACTGGCTGATTATCTATGGTTCTTTCTTATGGCCCTTCACGGCCTCCAAAGCCCCTTATCGGCGAAACACCACAGGCTGCAAAGGGCCTTGTGAACTTTTTCGCTGCTTGGAAGGACATGGGAAAATCCATGGGAAATGGCACATTTCACCATGGAAAATCATGGAACATCATGGAAATGTGAGTTTCCATAAATGGGGGATCCCCAAAAATGGTTGGGTTGTAATGGAAAATCTATCTATAAATGGATGATTTAGGGGTACCCCCATTTCCGGAAACCTCCATATGGGGGGTATAAAACGAACTATCATCAGAATTTTATATACTCATAATGGGGATATATATATATATGTATGTATATATCATATGGTTTTTATTGTCCTAATATCATGGGAGAATCACTATGGTCCTATGGTGATTCAACACTTTGCTTTCTTTTTGATGGCTCATTAAAACAGGGTTGCTCCAAGCTATTAAAGGTAGATCGCCGCCAGTTTTTTATAGTTTTTTCCCCTTGTGTGTGGGGTGTTGGGAGCAACCCTGATTTAGTTCAATGATATTACCAAACTTAAAAATGGTGATTTTCCATAGCGCACTGTAGTCATTGCCTGAGGGTATCTGGTTGTGAGTGGGATAATCTTAGTCCCAGTTACAGGATTTGGGTGGCCAACTCTGTACGTGAACTCGTGACGTGTTTCTGGAATGTATGCCTCTGCCAATCGTCAATCCAGCACAATTCCTCCCACTGTGCGCAGCCTTTGAAATCATTCTTTCTGGCTTTCTCTGAAAATAGGCTATCCCAAAATTTGATGCTTCATCACCATGTTCATCCACTTTCCGTATTAAAATGGCCATATATTATCATATATTGTGCATACCCAATTTAATCATTTTCAGACAGACCCTTCTCGGGCCGACTCACGACGTGTCTGCCGAGGTTTCAATAAGCCTCTCGGATCAGATGAAAATTCCTGGATAATCCCGGAGGTCCTGAACATCATTTTCCCTGGCGATCATGGGATTTATAGTGATTTAATGGGATATTCATGGGATTTATAGTGATTTAATGGGATACTCATGGGATTTATAGTGATTTAATGGGATATTAATGGGATTTATAGTGATTTAATGGGATATTCATGGGATTTATAGTGATTTAAGGGGATATTCATGGGATTTGTAGTGATTTAATGGGATACTAATGGGATATATAGTGATTTAATGGGATATTAATGGGATTTATAGTGATTTAATGGGATATTCATGGGATTTATAGTGATTTAATGGGATACTAATGGGATATATAGTGATTTAATGGGATATTAATGGGATTTATAGTGATTTAATGGGATATTCATGGGATATATAGTGATTTAATGGGATATTCATGGGATTTATAGTGATTTAATGGGATATTCATGGGATTTATAGTGATTTAATGGGATATTTATGGGATTTATAGTGATTTAATGGGATATTAATGGGATTTATAGTGATTTAATGGGATATTCATGGGATTTATAGTGATTTAATGGGATATTAATGGGATTTATAGTGATTTAATGGGATATTAATGGGATTTATAGTGATTTAATGGGATACTAATGGGATATATAGTGATTTAATGGGATATTAATGGGATTTATGGTGATTTAATGGGATATTAATGGGATTTATGGTGATTTAATGGGATATTAATGGGATTTATGGTGATTTAAAGGGATATTCATGGGATTTATAGTGATTTAATGGGATATTAATGGGATTTATAGTGATTTAATGGGATACTAATGGGATATATAGTGATTTAATGGGATATTAATGGGATTTATAGTGATTTAATGGGATATTCATGGGATTTATAGTGATTTAATGGGATACTAATGGGATATATAGTGATTTAATGGGATATTAATGGGATTTATAGTGATTTAATGGGATATTCATGGGATTTATAGTGATTTAATGGGATATTCATGGGATTTATAGTGATTTAATGGGATATTAATGGGATTTATGGTGATTTAAAGGGATATTCATGGGATTTATAGTGATTTAATGGGATATTAATGGGATTTATAGTGATTTAATGGGATACTAATGGGATATATAGTGATTTAATGGGATATTAATGGGATTTATAGTGATTTAATGGGATATTCATTCACCAGCTATATCACCATATAATAGGTAATAACATGTAATAACCAGCATTTTCCAAGAATTGGACCTGAAGAAAGTGGGAGATATACCACCACATTTGGAGGGTCGCCAAACAACGCCAAGGCAACGGACGGCCAGACTTCAATCGTGAGCCTCGTGGCCCCGCCATTTGGCGTGAAGCTTCCATCGAGTAGATACTGTACACATTATATATATATATATATATATCAATATTAATATCAATATGTATATTTATATCATTTTATATCTAATTATCATGTATTTCCCTTGTTGATTTCCTAACCCCCTTCAGTCTTTTGAACTTTCCCCGGAAGTTCCGGTTCGTGCCGCAGCACACGGCGCAAAACGAGGTGAAGCACAACTTCGCAGAGCTGAGCACTTGCGGCTTGCGAAAAGGAGAGGAGATGTGACTCGTCTGGACGTCGTACACTCGGACGAACGCTAGGTTGAAGTTTTGACGCTCAAGATTCACACAGCATCTTGTCCCTGATAGAACTTAAAGTACTATCAGAGGGCTGACAGTTAACTTAAGTTCTACCTATGAAATCCTGTCGTCCAGTCCAGGCCTGGTAAAATAAAGCGAGCTGTTGGTTGATAAAATATGGTAAAAATGGGGCCTTGTAAAGCAATTAGCAATTAGCAAATGGGTTGATGAAGGGGGGATATAACATGATATAACATGATATAACATGATATAACATGATATAACATGTAGTTGAAGGGGATTATAAAAGAACTTAGAATTGATGGGCACCAGCCCGTGGCTATTTTAACCAACCTTGTCAAGTTAGTTGGATCATTTACCCATTGAAAATCGGGAACTCCATGGGATATTCATGGGATTATAGTGGGATATATCACCTACAGTCAAGAGTTGGATGATCTACGCAGCTTTTTGAATCCATGGATTCATAGAGGTTGAGACCCACATTGCTTTGATGATTTGATGATTTGATTAAGGGACCCTTATCAATGATGTTTTTTGAGGATGGCACGGCAGCACGTCTATGAAACTTCTGATTTATCAACCATTAAACTAATTGGGGATAAAATTGGTGGTCAGCATGACTATAGAATCATCTATAATTGGGAAGACAGGGTCATGGATATGCCTGGGACATATGCAGCAAACATGGGGATATCATGGGGATATGATATTTGGATCTGAAATTTCTGGATACCGAGACAATGGCCATCAAATGATGGGGAAATTATAACGAAACCCTTTGGAATTGGTTTCGTAAAAGCAAATTTCAGACACGTTCCGATTCACATGATGAACATGGATGTAAACCTGGACGAATTTAAATTACCCTCTGGTAAACTAACATAGCAATGGAAAATCACTATTTTTAATAGGTAAATCAACTATAAATGACCATTTTCAATAGCTTTTTGTTTGTTTACCAAAGGGTAGCTTAAATCCAACATAGAGATAGTGGGATGTATATCTCTGGATGTCTCTAGTTATGGGTCACCAACTCGCTCCGAACATTTTGGATGGCGGAAATTTTCGGATGGTCCATGACTGACCCAAGTCATGGCTTTGTTGGTCGATTCTTTTTTTGTTTTGTTCGGGAAATCCACCATGACTGCGGAAAATATAGGGCAAATATATTAGTCTCAATGGATTGGTTCAAGGGAAAATTTACAGGAAAGCCCCATATTTAATGGGAAAATCTATGGTTTCCGGTTCAGATTTTCCACTTAAACCAATCCATTGATAGTCCATATTTTTGTTGGGACTGCAAATCCATGCAACGAACCCCGTCGCGGGTTTTTTTTGGTCGGTTCGTCTTCACGGCAGCGAGGTGGGACTTTACGAAAGCCGTGGACAAAGAGACACAGACCTTCGCAGTGGCGTGGCGGTGACGACTAAAAGAGGTGTGATGTGGGGTGATCTTACATAACTGGTTGGTGGTTTCAAACATTTTTTATTTTCTATAATATATGGGATCATCCTTCCCATTGACTAATATTTTTCAAGATGGTTAAAACATGTTAAAACCACCAACAAGATAATGTTGGCTACTGATTAGTGTGCCCCCCCAACAATGTTAGGCTATTCAATAACTCGCCATTTTCTTGCTAACCAGGTCTGGGGAATTCCGGATGATCAACTTAAGTAAGGATTTCAATTGACATCAAATTACTTTCAAGTGATTTTTCATTTCAACCTCAAAGAAATCTATTGATAAGAAAGGAATCCAATTGAAATCCATTTGCTTTCAATTCATTTGAATCTATATACTTTCAATGTGATATTCCTTTTAAATCCAAAATTCTAATGGCCCCAAAAGTTTTTGTGCGCAAAAGGGTACCATCGAAACAATTACATGATTGAGGATCTGGGTCACTCATGGGGTACCCCCTTGAAAAAGATTGTTTGGGTGCTGTTTTTCAATAAGGGTTTAATAAGGCATCTAATTATTAGGGAAACCTTGCATTTTCAAGGCTTTGACATGGATATGGCTTTCTAAAGTAAATGGACCAGCTTCTCCCCAAAGAAAGGTGTATAAAGGTGGATAAAGCTCCTCCTGAAAAGAAATGGATCTGAGAAAAATCTTTCCACAATAGAGGCCCCCACCCCCTTCCACAGGATTCTCAGTAATTTCGGAAAAAAATCCACAATAGAGGTCCATCACACTAATCGGTAGCCAACACTATATACATATATTATATATAATATAATATTCATATACATCCTATGGTATAAATATGTATATGATATGATATAGCATTTTTTTTAGCACAATACTAATCAATATGCCAACATACATATTTTCTATATTTAATGCATAGCTACATATGATATGCTTTCTCCACCGTCGGGGCGTGCCGCAGTGCCGAGGTTTGTCTTGAGATATCTTCGCTTGTTACATGACATCTGCACAGCTAGCTACAGGTTGGGCAAAACGCAAAGGGCCAAGAGAGTCGCAGTGTTCAAAACCCGGTGTTCAAAACCCTGTTGATTAATGATTATAATATATTATAATGAATTATAGTTATATTACTTATATAACATATATATATATATTATATAGTTATATATATATATATATATATGTGATTATATTCATAAGCCATTCTGTTTTTAAAATTATACTACCCAACTCATAATGGGGATTTTGATCATCTGAGTATTTTTGGTCTTTGGGAACTGATGTTCAGCGAATCATGAGTTTCTGTTGGAGAAAATGTCATGCAAAAACAACCATCATTGGGTATTTCGTGGGATATAATCTATATCATATCTAAATATATCTAAATGATAAATGATAATGATGATAATGGAGGTACAAACACAGCCATAATTTCGTAAACAATGGAATATAATGAGAGAACTCCCCGAAAGTGACCCCCCCAATAACCTTTGGACTTAATAAGGGCTTATTAATCACCATTTCCAAGAGCTTTTAATATGGGCCTTTTTTTATCGTGTATTATTGGGGAATCCACCGAAATGAAGGGAATGATCCACTGGCTAACTATCAAGCAGATCATCCCAGCAACCCCCAATCTCATCCATTCCCTACGTTTAGCACCAGTAAGTTTCACTTCTGCAGTCTTTTCACCAAAACCCGGCATTTCTGTTTTGCCCAATCGAACGCAACAGTTTTTCTCGTGAAGACGATCCGAATATTTAAGTGCGCAGCCAAAGCGCCAGCTGAGTCTCAGATGGTGCAACGGAAGCGGACCTTCAACAGGGCTCCCCCAACCTAAGCGGCGGATCGGCCCTGTAAGGTCACTTCTAGAACTGGGCTTTGCAGGTGACAGGCAAAAATAGATTGGTACCGGATACCGGATGTTGTTGCGGTGAGATGATGTTTATCATTATCATTACTTTTCTGTGGCTTCCTTTCACAATATGTTTCTTGCGATTCCTATTTGAGATGGATGGGTGATTGAGTTTCTACCGCAGATCAATCTATTTCGAGCTTGAAGCGCCCAGATATCAGACATATCAGACAGGACTTATGATAATATTTATGAATATTTATGACATGTGTTCTGAATTTGTATGCAGCTTTTGTTTCCACGTCTGCATGCGATTCCCAGGCAGTTGGGTCCATCGCAGGATTTACGTCGGCCGGTGTGGGCGCCGGAGCCGGAGCAAGCGTTGATTGGACCGCGAATCAAAAAGGCCCCTTTATCTCAGAGATGATGGATTTCAATGTAAATTCACTAAGCAGCGTTTTTCATTCAGAAAGATGGATAACACATGATAACACTCATAACATCGAAAGATGGCATTTTTTCATACTTTTATGGCATTTCTCACAGGATCTTTGTGGATAGATGATTTTAGAGGGATGATATCCAGAAAAAAACATAAAACAACCGTGATTTTGGAGCTGGAAACACCCTTTGAGGGTGCTCCCTAAAAAAGGCTGGAATCCCAGAATGATTCTGGCTTCTGAGCCCGGTTTTGTGTGGTACACCATGGTAAACCTATCATTTGGGGATGATATTTACCAGCCATTTATATATCAATATTGAGGATAGTACAATTACTGGAACATGAGTTGTTCGTAACATCCCAGGCTTCTACGTCAGTTTGCTCCAGTTCCAGTGGGATACAGATTCGAATGGTTCAGAAACTGTTGGATGGCTGCTGTGGATGAAATGACGAGATTCTTTGGAAATTGCTGGTCTGTGGTGACATCAAGTACCAAGTTTCAACATGGTCGTCGGACTTTGGGCTGGTGACAGGTTTTGTATGGGTATGCAAGGTGAGCGAAACTGGATAACCCACGAACCATCCCCATTGATGATCCATTTATCAACCAGTTAATGCCATGGCCAATTTTAAGTAGACAAGTTTGAATGTGACGTTTACCCAGTACCTGCAATACTTTCTGGAATCGGATGAAAGTTGTTTTTTTGCAAGGCAGCCTCCAATTTGAATAGTGAACCCCTTGGGTTTCCCCTCAAGTTTCCCCGAGAACGTTGAGAACTTCTTCATCTTGCAGCGTCAGCATGGCTGTTTCAAGTGCAGTGAGACACTGCCGTGTGCTGCAATAATCCCCAATGAACAGCCCATCTTTAGGGCTTTGTGATGCCAGGGATGAAATGCAGCAGGGCAAAAAGATGTCAGCAGCAATCATCGGCATCCACGAATCATGTGGTTGGGAGTTTCTGGCCGAAAAAATGGGAGTTGCTTTTGACTACCACTTTATTGATCTGTAATTTTCGTTTTGCATGATACATTGCATTAAAAAAGTTGGCGTTCGGAATGCTCAATCCAAGCATGTTTTTGATCGATAGTTTACCAGAGTTTTCATAGCAGTTGGATACAGCTTTTTTGTTTGGAAAATGTTTGGAACATGTCCCAACCATCATTCCACCATGGCAAGTCTCCCACCACATGGCCGCCCGGGTGCCGTTAAGGGGGTCCTTTTGATGACCGAACCAAACGGAGAGCCAGTGGGATTTGCCCCGCCGAAGGAAACGGGAGCACCAAACTCAGAAATACCTAAATCATGTTTTGTTTCATGTGTTTTCCATAAATGGGGGTACCCCATAAAATGGATGGTTTATAAGTGAGAATCCGATTTTACATGATATATGAAATATGTGAATTATAGCACAGATATGTACAGATTCACGAACCCACATTTTGCACAGGATCATCCACTGCTGGTCAAAGTGTTGACATAGAAAATAAGACAATTGTTTAATTGGCAAACAAAACAACGAAGCCAGCGAGCTGGGCATTTTGGGCATTCTGGGCATTCTGGGTGCATGATGCCATGGAGTCTGCATGGAGAATCTTTGTTTTCACTGAGAAACCGTTGAGCAGTGTAACATCTTGAGTTCAGAAAAGATGGTGGCGCACAGGCCCCACTGGACTTGGCGCATTTTCCACGAATTCGGCGCATGGCCTCAAGCTGTTTCCCAAGCCGTGGGCCCAATTTCCCAATTCCGCGGGTGAAACAGTTCGGCACTGCGCCGGGAAAAAAAATGGGCGGTTTTCATTTAGCGCTAGGGCGATTTGTAAAGCCAGTTGGGTTGCGACTCAGAGTTGTTCCGTGGGGTCTAATCCTAAGGATACCCAGGTACTTTCAAGGGCAAGGATAAGCCAGAAACCTTAGTGGTATACCTGGGGCTCGCAAGACATACACATTTTGCTCTGGTGAATGACCACTGTTGGAAAAAACACCAACCATTTGACCAGCTATTGATGGAGATGTATCAGAATTCCAAGCAACACACGGTGATTTCTGCAGCAAGAAACATGATTCATGATGCCTGCATCCAAAATTGGGATTACGCCAACAAAATTGCTGCAGCATTGATATTTAACCATATTTAACCGACATAAATTCGGACGTCACTGATTTCACCAATTAAAAACAGCACTTTGTGGTGGGTTGCAGTAACGTTCGTCGGTCCCCCCACGAGTCGAGCCTCACACTGGTGATCGCAATTTGGACCGGTCGTGCGTCAAACGACTGGGTTACAAAGGACAGCCTGAAGTGGAAGTTCGTGGCAGCTATGACAGTTGTTTTAATATATGTTTTAATATAATTTAATCATACGGTTATAGCCTTTTCTTATTTTACCATATCTTCTCCTAATATGGTGACCTGCTTGTTATTTGCGAAGCACAAGATGCTGAAATGGTTTTCTTCAGTGCCTGAAATGGTGTCTCAGGAAAACTCTTCTATACTACCCTCTGGTAAACAAACAGTTCGCTATTGAAAATGGCCATTTATAGTGGATTTACCCATTAAACATGGTGATTTTCCATAGTTATGTTAGTTTACCAGAGGGTAGCATTTTGCCATAGTTTGCTGCGTCTCAAGTCTAGATGGGTTGCCCCTAGTCCCACACGCACACGAGTGTCTATCTAGCTCTCCATGCAAACACCACCATGCCCACCATCGGGGTATTGCTCCCCATAGCCGTTCTCCTTTTGGTCGTGTCCCATTCTGCCCAAGAGATGGCAGGCAATCGTATTATGAAGGTTTTGACATTGTGTTCAAGCCAGACTTTGGAGTCCTGTGGCAATTCCTGACCCCAATGCCCCATGAATGTATGGTATATTTACCAACATTTACTCCTAAGTGACTCAAATGTAGGTAAATATTCCATACATGGAGCATATGGGTGAGACATTTCCCATCCCTCGACATTAGGAAACGACAAGGCTTCTGGTTGCCCATATGCTTCGTGTATGGATGATTTTACCAATATTTACAGCAAACATCATCCACATGTACATAAAGAAACGCAAATATATCATGCATCGTCAAACATGGGTGACTTCAGGCATTCTTCAGCCCCGCCCCGAACAAAGCCGTGCTTCGTTTTGGGGCGCACAAGAGCCGAGTTGTGCGAAAATCTTCCGCCAGTTGCCGTGCTTGGGCAGTTGATGCAACCCACAGGCAACATGATCTGGCACATCAAACATGTCATAATTTCTATCGATTTTCCAGCTTCAAATGGCCATAATCAATTGGGCGCAATAACTCGGCAGCTTCATTGCAACTATAGCAGCAGCTCAACAACAGCATCTTAGCCTCGCAAAGGTTGCGTCCCTTCTCGCATGCTGGATCTTTTCCGACCGCCAGAGCGTCTACCAGGTAGCCATTGTCAAGTGATCACTAAAACTTGAAGCCCAAGTTTGCCAGAGCGATACACTCCGATACACACCATGCCCAAATGGATCCAAATGGGCTACACGGCTATACCATGCTCTACCGCTATGGCATTGAATCATCCAGTGCCATAGTGCCATAGTGCCATGAGTTACGACGTGTCTCATTCTGGTGTCAGTCCCACGATGGGAACATATCAAGAATAAGAAAAAAACAATCTCTCCCTGCAGGTAGTATGTTGGTCTATGTTCCATGTATACTGTTTGTTTCAGCCAAGATCTTGGAGTTCGCGAACAACATGCTGCTGCCTGCTGCTTCCTGCTGCTGCTGATGATGATGCTGGGGGTGATGATGGTGATGATGATGATGATGATGATGATGATGATGATGATGATGATGATGATGATGATGATGATGAACGATGAATGTTGATGACGAAAATGATGATGATGACGACAATGTGTCATGACAACGACGACAAAAACAACGATGATGAAGAAGAAGAATGCTATGATGATGACGATGATGATGATTATGATGATTATGATGGTGATGATGATGATTATGATGACGATGACGACGATGATGATATTGATGATGATGATGATGACGATGATGATGATGATGGTGATGATGATGATGATGCTGCTGATGATGATGATGATGATGATGATGATGATGGTAAATGATGACGAATGATGAACGATGAATGTTGATGACGAAAATGATGACGATGACGACAATGTGTCATGACAACGACAACAAAAACAACGACGATGAAGAATAAGAATGCTATGATGATGACGATGATGATGATTATTATTACTATGATGATGATGATGATGACGATGATGATGATGTTGATGCTGACGATGAAGTTGGTGCTGATGTTGATAATGGTGCTGATAAAAATATAATCATGATGATGATGATGATGATGATGATGCGGTTGATGCATGATGATGAATGATGATGAATGATGATGAATGATGATAAATGATGACGAATGATGACGAATGCTGATAAATGATGATGAATGATGATGAATGATGATGAATGATGATGAATGATGATTAATGATGATGAATGATGATGAATGATGGTGAATGATGATGCATGATGAATGGTGATGACCACGACGATGCTGTTGACGATGATGGTGTCCACGACGATGATGACGACGGCAATGGTGTTGATGATGAATATTAATGCTGCTGCTGATGGTGATAATGATGATGGATGATGGAATTATGATGATGACGACGACGACAATGATGATGGTGTTGTTGATGATGAATCATGGTGATGATGATGATGATGATGCTGATGATGACGATGATGCTGCTGCTGTTGTTATTGTTGATGATGATGCTGATGCTGATGAAGAATGATGACACATGATCCATGATGACGAATGATTACAGCTGATGGATGATGAACGATGATGAGGACGAAGATGATGTCGATATCACAGCGAGTTGTGGAGACGCTTTGGCATGGTCCTGACTTATCGCTCAGCTTCGAATTCGTTTGGCGCTCTAACCACCTATGGCTCGGAGCCTGGCTCCCGGCGGCTCGGATCAGGTAGGGCTTTCGCAGTGGCGCTGCTGGTAACTTCCCATGGGTTGGTTTGAAAAATGGCAAACGGTCAGTCCTGGGACCCAGAGAATCCACACGACTGTCAGGACTGGCGATATTTTTTTCAAGGTTTCGACTCTAGTTCTTCTAGTTCGCACTGAAAAAAACTCTCCCAGCAACTTGTGTTGATCTTGCAGTGGCTACTTGTAGACCGCGGCATGAAGCTGTGTCGTTTGAACATCCTATCCCCATCGACGCATCGGAAAAGGTCTTCAACCGTCGGGTTTAGATTTGGATTGGTTTATTTCCATGGGAAAATCCCCATCTAAAATGGAGAACTGGGGGTACCCGGGGTAGCTCCATTTTGGGAAAACCTCAAATGTATTTCAAATATCTTGTGACTGGGGTGATGGACAATGATGGACATCCACAACTCCCGGGCCAGCGAGTTTGGAGGTCGGGTTCCCTTGCCGTTTGCAAGGTCGCAGCCAGGTCGTTCGGAAGGCGATGGCTTTGCCGGTGGATGGTCTCCCTGGGTTAATGACGTTTACTTCAGTGGATTTTGGGTTGTTTTCAAACAGAGACCTATGTCGCCTATGTCAATTTGAGCAGGTCTCTTTTTTCTTTTCACTTGGAATGATGTATATTTAAGTGCTCTGTGCTACTCAGATATGGGTTCTGGGTTCCATTCTCCATTCGACTGCCTTTTTCCGCGGCGCTTTAGCCGTTGATGCTGGCACCTTATGCCGGAAAACACATCCGAAAGTGATGAGTTTCTCCGGGGTTCACCATGCCTGCGGAACTAGCTTCATTTTATTTGGATGAATTACACTCTGGTAAATTGACATAGACATTGAACCTGACCATTTTTTAGTTGGAACTCATCTGAAAAAAAAGCCGATGACTGCCAGGGTCTATGTTAATTTTCTGGAGGGTATAACTATAATATACTATAATATACCCTCTGGTATACTAACATAGCTATTGAAAATGGCCATAGAAATAGTTGATTTACCCATTAAAAGTGGTGATTTTCCATAGTTGTTTGTATGTTTACCAGAGGGTAACTATACAAAAATTAGTTAATTTCCAATGACCTCACTGTGTGGAATGATGGGAAAATTAAGGTCGTTTTTGGGGATTTTTATCCCTCCAAAGGGCCGATGAATTCCAGTCGAAAAAAATGGTTTCCATGGCTTCCAAATCGCGAAGTGTTCAATGAAAACAGAGAGTAACTTTCCAGTTTCCAACCACAGACAAGATGGTCAAGCTCAAAATTGCAGCTTCCGTTTGGCTCAGATCAGAGCAAGGCTGGAACATGCCCATTTCTACCGGAAACAAACATCTACATATCTAGATAATCTAGATAATTATATAGGGGTTTTCTAAAATAGGGCTGCCCCAAAATCATCCATTCAGAGTTCGGGATTTTCCATCATAATCCATGGTAACCATCCATGGGTCCATGACATAGCCCGGACACCTCTGTGATGGGCTGTGGAAAGCCATGGGAATTTTGGGGAGATTTCCATTTCGGTGGAGCTGAAGACTAACAAACTTAAGGACAATTTCGGCAGCAACTTCGAAAATCACCATGTTATAGCTGGGTAAATCAACTATTTCGACTGGGCCAACTTGAATAGCTATATATAGCTATGTTAGTTTACCGGAGGGTCACATTTTAAATTATCGTCCACCGTTTGGTAAAGAAACCCACACATATGTAGGACAAGACCATGCTGCATTCGAGCTGACAACAAAGCAGCTTTCGGGGGCTTCCAATAGTTATTGATTGTCAACCATACTTGGGATGATTGGTTGAGATGACTCAATGTAATATTCTTGTGATGGGTTAAAATCACCAACCAGTTTACCGTCTCATTCTAGGTGACTTGCTGCTCCATTCGCAGACTGTGCACGCGCACGGCGGACAGTGACTGCTTCCCTCGCACTGCTTGGCATGTTTGAATGCTGCAAGTTCAATGAAGATATTGCAGTGGAGGTGACTTCAGTGACTGGGACCTGTGGAACCTGTGGGCATCCATTCGGCGTCTACGCGGGGGCTGACTGGTCGACTGGTTGTTTATCCGGGACGCCCATCTGGAGTTGAGAAGAACTGTGAAAGAGAATGCACCTGGAATCCGAATTTATAGTCCTGGTGACATATGCACAATATCCCACAATCATACAACACTAATACTCTGGATAAATCAAAAATCCGACCTCACGTCGCTTTTCGTGGCCAGGAATGATGGGAATTGGATTGGGAATATCCTAAAACAGGTGAACTTTACATGTAACTATAACCTGCATATATATATACACGACATAAGGCCTATTTTTTTGGGCTATGTGAGAGGATTTGCCCTCAATTTCTATGGCTTTATATGGTATCATACCTCCAGTTTAGGGTCCTGATGTTCCTATTCTACTCAGGTATATTGTAAGCAAACATTCTTCACAATTATTAACCACTATTAACCATCATGGACATTATTAATCATGATTAATCATTATTCAACATGATTAACAATTACTAAGCACTATTAATCATTATTACTAAGCACTTTCCAGATGACTTTTCGATCATGACCTCCAAACGCTCAGCCTGAGCTACTGAGCTCCAAGGGGATTCTCAGCCGAGGTAGCACAAGTGCCCTATCAGAAGCTGGACCCGAAGGATCTGGTTACGATAACCGAAAACTGGTGCAGGATTTCGAAACACCATCCACTGTATCTTGCGAAGCGCAAATCTTCATCATGCGGGACTAAATGAAACAGATTTCATATTATGATAATATATATATATACATGTAATTGTATATAATATATAATATTTGTAATAATATATATTTGGATATTTTTTCAGCACCATGATTTAAGAGATGCAACACCAAAACAATGGATGATCATATGTTGTTCGATGCCGAGGAAGATTGGCTGTTTTTTCGGCATGGTCATGGGGAATACGTAAGAGACGCCTTGTTTCAGCTTGGTGTGCCACAAATAGCCATTCATAGGGAAAATGAGGTCCTAATCCATTGGAATGAATTTTCCCCTGACATTTTCAGACAAACCCATCTTGAAGAAAGCCGAATCTCAAACTGATGCTGAAATACTCTCCGTTCCTATTCGCCGTATTTTGATTTGACCCAGCTTGAAGACAAACTTGCTGTTCTTTTGTTGCAATGAGCAACCCATCTCGACCCCTTTTGGTGACCGACCCAACTCCATGTGAGTCAGAGTGGTTTAACGCCACTGCCACTGTTGGTATATTCCAATGATTACTGGTCAAATCCCATCTCCTCTCACCCGAAAAATATCCCTATGATATCCCGTTGTATACCACCATTGGATTGTTGCCAGATCAACATCCAATCCCCATCCTATCCCCCATATCGGTGCAGGATCCTCAGAATGGCCTGGTCATTACCTTCCAGTTGCCAGACAGCTCGAGTTACTGGGACATCCGGCGGGAGCGGTTGGGAGCTAGGGCTATTCATCTTCTCCCAAAATGGGATATGATATCCCCACCCCTTTAAAAGGCTACGTTTCAGGGGGGGACCATACCAAAAATGTAAGCTGCATTTTGATATGGACCCCCCCCTTAAATGTAAACTTGGTCGCTGAACGTCCCCCAGGTGTCGTTTGTGTGGGAGGGTCTTCAAAATACCTTCAAAATGTAAGCTTACATTTTCAAGGCCCCCCCTCAAAATTACCTTGAAAAATGTAGCTTACATTTTGGGTACGTCCCCCCTGTGAAAAGGGTGGTGATGATATAATCAATGAGAATATGATGCAGATATAAACTCAGCTCTGAAGTATTGTGGGATGAATGGTTAAACGTTGCCATTTAACCATCGAAAAGGAGGACCCGAGAGATGCAAAATCGCGTCCGATTTTGGTCAGACTTGACTCAACCATTCCCAAGCGATGTTGGAAAAAGACCCATTTTCCATTTTAGGTATTTAAAACTCCAAATCGCGAAGAAAAATTGGGCAATGTCTCATACTTCAAAGTGCAGCTCCACTGAATTCAGTGGATTTTTTATTTGTATATAACTTATATAACCATAGTTTTTTTTGGGGCTTATCTCCCAATTTATGAACATTTATGGAGGTTATAACCATGCTTACACCCATTAGCAACCCCCCCAACTGCACTCCGAAGCTATGGACCACCTTGAACACTGAGGCAAAGACGTCTTCTTCAAGGTCCGAACCCGAGATCGATGTCGCGAAAATCAAGCAGGGTGGGTCAGGGGTGTTGATGCTATAACACCAGTGTACAGCCCATTATCACCCATTATGCACATTTATACACCATTCTACAGGATTATACACCACTATACACCACTATACACCACTATACACCACTATACACCATACAACATTCTACACCATTATACACCAGTATACACCCATTAAAACCAGTATAAGCCCCACAAAACCAGGTCAAAATCATAGACCCAGATCACTGCGAAGAGGATATAACCAGGGGATATGACAAGGTGTGTATTTCCCCAGCTGCCAGATTACCCTCTGGTAAACGTTTACAAAAAACTATGGAAAGATCCACCATTTTCAATGGGTAAATCCACTATTTCAATGGCCATTTTCAAGTTCGCAAACTGTGACAGTCATTACCAGAGCTCCAGATCTCAGATCTCGGTGGGCACTGCCCAGACTTCCAGATGTTATGTCAGAAACGATGTCAGATTTTTGTGTTTCAGGCTGGGGATCACTCGAAGAAGGTGAAGAAAGTACTTTTATTGTGTGTATATCTGTCTATCTATCTGTCTATCTGTATATATATATAATGTGTATATATATATATACAGATAGACAGACAGACAGACAGACAGACAGACAGATAGATAGATAGATAGATAGATAGATACATAGACAGATAGATAGATACATGGGTATGGTCAATATTTGAGGAGGGGACCGTGGATCTTGGGCATTTTGACTATGAACTATATAACTATTTTTAACTATCCTATTCTGAGGATGCCCCAATTTTCACCCATACCAGTGTATGTACACACACATACATATATATATATAGATATGCGGCGTAAAACATGATGCATGTTAGAAATCACACTCACATCTCCCACTTTGCTTGATGAGTTTCCGTTACACAGAGGAGCTGGATCTGCGCAAGAAGCTGTTTGGGGTAAGTGGCTATGGGTCAATCGTTGGAGTAACCCCAAAATTTCGTCGTTGTTGACCTCCCAAACCCGGCCGACTCACAACAAGGAAAACCTACCATCATTGTAGATCATTTTCAAGAACGGGATGCCCATGGATTTCGGTATCTTTCTGAATTTACCAGAGGGTAAGTTGTGTTTTTTTCCTCAGTTTTTTAAAGGTTGGTTTCGCACATCCCAGCTGCCCAAAACGTTGAAAAGGAGAAACCACTGGGCTTGGAGTTCAAAAAATCCGTTCCTTTGACGGTGGCTTGGAGATGGTGGGAAATGATGGGGCTTTATTTTGATCTGACGGTGATACAATGGGGGATCTAAAATAGTGATATAATGCTGATATAATGCTGATATAAATGATGATACAATGGTTAAAAAACAAAACACACATACACACATATCATGCATATATACATATATATATATAATTATTATAATTACGGTATTTTTTGTTTTTGGGAGGGCTGTGTATTTTATTTTATGTTTTTTTTTTCGCGGCAGGTTTTGGATTTTTTTTGGGTTCCTGGTTCTATGCTTTCCTGCTTCTCTGCTTTTCTTCTGTTCTTATTCTCTGCTTCTCTGCTTTTTGCTTTTCCTGCCTCTCTGCTTTTCATGCTTCTCTGCTTCTCTGCTTTACCTGCTTCTTCTGTTTTTTTGCTTTCCCTGCTTCTCTGCTTCTCTGCTTTTCTGCTTTTGTGCTTCTGCGACTTTCTACTTCTACTATTCTACTTTTCCTTTTCTTCAGTCATGCGTTGTTGCTGTTCTACTTCCTGCTCCTCTGCTTCTCTGCTAAATGAAACCCTAAGGACCCCAGGTGAAACCCAAAAAAAACCTTAGAGAAATCCTGATAAGAACTCCTGATAAGAAACCCCTACATGTACCCTAAAGAAACCATAAATTAACCCTAAAGAAACCATAAATGGAACCCTAAATAAACTTTGAATGAAACTCTAAATGACATCCTAAAGAAACCCTAAACGACACTCTAAAAAACCCTGAATGAAACCCTAAATGAAATCCAAGCTGAAACCCTGAAGAACCCGTAAACGAAACCCTAAATGAAACCCTAAAGAAACCCTAAATGAAACCCCAAAGATACCCTAAAGAAACCCGAAACGAAACCCTGAAGAAACCCTAAATGAAACCCTACATGAACCGTACAGAAACCCTAAATGAAACCCTCAATGAAACCCTAAAGAAGCCCTAAAGAAACCCACATGAACGTGAATTCCTAATAAGAAATCCTGATAAAAAACCCTACATGAAACCCTAAAAAAACCATAAATGAAACTCTAAAGAAATCCTCAACCAAAAGAACCTCAAATTAAACCTTAAATGAAAGCTTAAATGAAACCCTAAAGAGACCTTAAATGAAGCCTTAAATGAAACCCTAAAGAAACCCTAAAGAAACCCTACATGAAACCGTACAGAAACCCTAAATGAAACCCGAAGAAGCCCCAAAGAAACACGTTTGGAAATCCTGATAAGAAATCCTGATAAGAAACCCTTGAATGAAACCCTAAATGAAACCCTAAAGAAACCCTAAATGAAACCGTACAGAAACCCTTAATGAAACCCTAAATGAATCCCCAAAGAAGCCCTAAAGAAACCCACATGAACGTTTGGAAATTCTGATAAGAAATCCTGATAAGAAACCCTAAACCTAAAGAAACCTTAAACAAACGCCTAAATGAAACCCTAAATGAAGCCCTAAAGAAACCCTAGAGAAACCCTAAATGAAACCCTAAATGAAATCCTAATGAAACTCTAAATGAAACCCTAAATGAATCCTAAATGAACACCTAAATGAAACACTAAATGACAGCCTAAAGAAACTCTCAAGAAACCCACATGAACGTTTGAAGCACCTAGCTGTAGCAAATACTATGCAAATGAGAGGTTGAATTGCCAAAACGTTGCAAAGACCATGGCCAAATGTAGCAAATACCACGCAAAATGCAAAGTAACCATGCCAAAATATAGCAAATACCATAGTTCCAAACTGTTGCAAATACAAGGCAAACAGTACCAGGAAACCAGGGGATGCAGGGATATCATCTAACATCAGCCACTATCTTTTTCTGGAGATGGGACCATTTGTCGGAACCAATTTGCTCACAGAAGGCTGGCCATTGAATTTAAGGTGGATCTGAAACCATGATAAACGATGTATTTTGGTGGCTGTTCCACTTGACGAACAGTTTGCTGTGAAGAAAACACAGTTGGACAAGTAGATGGTGCCGTCCATTTCTGTGTTTCATATCTGGGTAACCGACTGGTTAGATACTCGCTGTATAGTACCTTATTTTGTTGGCAGGTATTTAAGATTCACCGTGTTATGCCTTCATTTTTTTTGGGATGCTGTTTCGGGTACGAATTTTTCATCATCCCAGTAGATGACACAACTGTAGAAATGTTCTTGTCACCAGTCTTGAAATTTGTGGAGCCCTTTGTTCCCGATTTTATTTCGGTACATTGCCATGCAGATTTTCCCCATTCTTGAGACTGTTTGGTAATAGAATACGCAAGCAAAGGCTACTTATGCCATCTACCAGGGGGTTCAAGGAAGACAACTATCGTGATCTTGAAACTGTTTGCTGGAAAACCAGGACGCGTCATCTACATCCATCTACCTTCAAAGTGGTCTATCTATATGTAAGGCTGCGAGTCATTATTTGTGTAGTATAAAAACCAACTTGTTTGACCTGAAACAATCTTTTCTGTTTCAAAAGATGTTCCTTTTGGCTTTTACTACAGTCATTGCTCGGGTTAGCTAATTTCAGCAGACGTACTGCCATGGTCATTCTTACACCTATACTGAGTTGTAGCAGCTCCTCATGCAAATCTGCTGCATAAAATTCACTTACACTTGTGCCCTTGTAGCTACTTCTGTTCTTGTAGCTTTGTCGTCTCACACACTTGAAAAAACACACCTCTCAAAAACACTGTTTTTGAGAACGCCCGAAACCGCCCTGAAGCCATATATACATATATTATAATATGTATATATAATATGTATATATAATATGTATATATTATATATAATATCTACACTAATACATTTGTGCAGCGAGTTAGATTTACAACGTTTCCACATGGGTACGGTACAGGTCAAAACCCTGATGCTCAGGTTTTAATGCACCTAAATAGTTGGTACTGTAGATGAATGTACATGGGCATTCGTCCCCACGACCCACTTACAAGGTAGGTGGTTCCCCAGTTCGTTAGCTAGCATTATCACTCCAATTTCACTGTTGGTGTCATGGTAGATATATGGAACTACCCTCCGGTTATTTAACATAGCCATGGAAAATGGACCATTTAAAGATGATTTTCCCATTCAAACCTCCATTTATAAGGGATTTTCCATGGCTATGTTAGTCATAACCAGATGGTAGTTAGTTAGTATGGTTTATAAACCAACGTTCACATCACCGGAGGTGGGGCACCACCTTGTAAAGCCGGCGTGCAAAGGTGAACTGCGTGCGAGACGTTGCCAAAGTGCCCTGGCGCTGGGCCGGGTTTTAGGTTCACAGCTAGGTTGAAAAAAAAAGCTGGGATTTATGACTGTTGATTCCCCTAATAACCTAATAATGGTGTTTTTTTTAAAGATAGATTCATAGATATTTTTTCGCAGTTTGACGTGATCTAAGCAGCAGAAAACTTTGAAAGGACTGGCTTTGTCTGAAAATAGAGTGCACCTAAATCTATTGGTTAACAATGATGTTCCCTAAGAAAATAGCAATTTAGAGAAAAACAACAATTTTCAGACATCCATAGATCACCAGCAGCTATCACCAGGTTCAGTGCGGATGGATCGCCACTCATTTGCAAGGTCACTTGGCATGGGAAACTGGGAAGTTGGAGCACAAGGTGGTGCCCCCCCAAGTTATAAATGGCTTATAATCCCATGAAAACTAGTTCGATATATCACCAACAAAAACCATAGTGACATTGGACTTATTCGCACCAACTTAGCTAACTATGGGGCACCACCCTGCAGGCAACTTGGCTTCGGTTGCGATGTCGCAGCAACGAAAAACTGTTTTTTTTTTTTGGTCAGCCCTTGTCAGCGTGCTTTTTTCAAGTGACAGCTACTACCGGAGCGCCGACAAGCCGCGACTTCGCCAGCCAGGTGAAGAGATCTCAACGGATCTCAAAGAAGCGACGATTCAACTTGTCCGACATGTCAAAGATACTTGGTTTCTCCCGCTGTCAATTAGGTAAATATGCTCTACTGTGTATATGATAAAATATGTGTATATATTGGAAACTATACATCTACATGTTCAGGTTGGTGAATTATTTCAAACTACCCAGATTGATGATTAGTCAGGGGATTATGATGGGAATATATCGGGATGATTAGGATATACAATGATATACAATAAAGAATATCATCGAGATGTAACCAGTTGCCCTTTTCCAAATTAATACTTGAGCAGTGGCTGCGTTCGACACCCCTGCTTGATGATTTTCTAGGAGATGATAGGTTGCCAATATATGGGGGAGATCTCTGTTGGTGATTTTCTGGGACTGTATTGCATAATTTCTTGGGTCTTCAATTATGAATTCAATACCCAATTGGATGTAAATACCCAATACTTCTATGCTTAATTTATGTCAGTTTATTTTTCACATCCAATTGTGATTTTCGAAAGTAGCCGAGTCTACAGAACCCATCATTTTATGCAGTTTCTATGAAATCATTTACTGGGTAGCTACTCCGTTTATATATATAATATATATATATATATTTGACACATCACTGTTGGATGAATCCAACCAGCCGTGAAAAAAAATGCGGCAAATCGTCGAACTTTAAATGGGTGAATTTTCCATAGCTGTGAGGATATCTATTTATTGTGATAGTATAGAAATTCCAGGCTAGATGATATTGGATTTGATTTGTTGACCATGTAATGTATTAATGTAATTTCAAATAAGACGTTAATAATTAGATATACCCTCTGGTAAACTAACATAGCTATTGGAAATCACCATTTTTAATGTGAAAACTCACTATAAATGGTGATTTTCCATAGCTATGTTAGATTACCAGAGGGTATTTCCAAGCAAAACCAGGTAGAGATAGCGATCTGGATCGCAATCAGAGTTTGGATATCATTGAAGACCCAGCTACTCATTGGACAAAGGGGATCAGCAACCAGCTGTTCTGGTTTGTTCCTTGATGAACCAAGGATTTGCCTGTCAGGCAGCGAGGAGAACGCTCATGATGCGCTACATATTTCTGGAGGGATTTTCGGCCAAGCTGGCTTCTCTCCATGTTTGATCAAAGACTGGAGGCACAAAACCTCGCAACATAGCCTCTGGTACTTCAACATGGCTATGGTAAAGATGCTCTGAAAAAAGTACCAGAGGCTATGCCCATGAATTTCCGTCTATTTTTGGTTCCTTTGTATCTTTTCCCAAGGAGAAGATCAAACCTTGCATGCAGCCTTTTTTTTCGGGTGAAAAGACGTGTGTTGTTTTCGCTGTAGCCTCAGTTTGGTAGAATCAGGGCGATTTTCTGATTCTTGTAGCCATAAATCTAAACCGACTAATCATGAGAAATCATGTGGAAAATGACCGGACAGCCATGGCCTCCACGTCACTTATGGTCTTATAGTATTTAACAGACTTGTTTGATGATGATAAAGACTTTAAAAACAAAAACAACATGTTTATGTGTGTAGATTTATTCAACCAAGCAGATTTTTTTAAAATCTATTCAACCAAACCATTGAAGTCTCAAACTTGCAAGATCGATCTGTTGGCGAATTCTCGTCGTCGATCTCCGGCAGATTTTTCACCAACGAGTTCACCGCTGCCATTGCCATGTTCTTCGAGTGGTTTCAACAGCAAAGAAACATGTTCTGATGAAGTGGATCCGTATGGATGTAAAAAAAAAGTCATAAAATCCTGGCCAAACTTAGACATCACTTGCGGCACGGCACGATCCTTTGGGCTTTTGAACACTCAAATCATCAACTTCCGCCGTTCGTGATTCGCCATGGGGCAGCAGCTGGGATGTTGTGTTCCACAAGGAGTGAACGATGTGTGCCTTAGCCCGGCCATCAACCTGTGCTTTGTGTTTTTTTTTTGCATCATTTTAGTACCCTGTGGTTATTTAGCATAGCTATTGAAAAATGGTCATAGGAATAGTTGATTTAGCTGTTAATGGTGATTTTCCAGTTCGCAAACTGTTTGTTTACAAGAGGGTAGCAGATGAGTTCCGTGACATCGTTAATTTTTGGCCTGAATTTCCTGGATAGAACCAACTTGCCGCTATGGCGGGATGACGAATGCAGAGTCTAAACTTCAAACTGAAGATACCCGGTGGTAATATGTGTGTATAATATATATATATACACATTATTAATTATGTAATTTGCTATGGAAAGTCATCATTTTTAGTAGATAAACATCGAACTATTCATGGATCATCTATACCATTGCAAAGTGTTGTACTACCAGAGGGTAGGAGGAATCTCCTCAAAGTTCCGCTCCTTTTCTTTCCTTATGAATGTACAACAAAGCCATGCAGAACCCAGATTGGTTACCCTTTAGTATTCAAACATGGTTGGAAAATCCTCAATAGTTTGATGATTTTCCCCCATCTTTCCAGGTAAATAACTTCCATTGAGTGCAGACACATCTTACTGGTGCTTAGTAGGGAATGGGAATGGGGGTTGCTGGGATGATTATTACTAGTGATTATGGATCATTCCCGAAAATTCCCTGCGTAAAACGCACCAGTAAGTCTTGTTATTTGCTGCAGTTGGCGTGCAATGTTTTGGCATACGTCTGACATCGCCATGGTAGAGCCATGTCAAATTGCCATAGAAACGCCACTGGCCCCGTTTGAAACGCCACTGATGGAGGCTCAGATCCCATGGTGGGCAACCCATACAATAACTTCAACTGCCCCCCAAGTAAGATAGCAGCTTGGCTGAATTTTCATGATCCGAAACAGTTTGTTAGATTGATTAATAGTGGTGAAACATTGTTAATAATGGTGAAGAATGGATAGAACATGTTGGACATGTTTAATCGTGGTTAATAATGGGCAATAATGACGGCTACCCTATTGTAAGCTAACGCAGATGTGGAAAAGCTATGGTTTTCCTAAGAACACATCTACAAAGGGTTGATTTAATCATGGTTAATAATGGCTAATAGTGCTTAACTACAACCATAGATTTCCGCGTTCTGCTGCAGCAAGGTTCACCAGCTTGAACATCCGCTTCATGAGGAAGAAGAAGGACATCACTTGGGCGGCTGCCTTCCATTCCTCTTGGTTGATGATTAGTTCAGGGGTCATACAATCTCCTTTAAAAAATGGCGATTGTCATGGTCCATTTTCACTGGGCATGCCCTTCTTACACAACCAGGATTATCTGGGTATCAACATGTATCAACCGAAAAAAGATTTGCTGTAACAAGTATGTAACCAGTATAGGGGGTAAACTGGCGGTGCGGGACCTCAGGGACCTTGAAATCGTAAGTGGGTAACCATGGGTAACCACTAATAACCAATATCAGAATATTCACTACTAGCGTATCGCATGGTGCCCATTAATATTGCTGGCATCATGATTGAATACGCTGACAAAACACATAGGGATGGTTAAACAAGCCATAGCAGTTGCTGAAATACACTCCAAAGTGATCTGTATAGATGCAACTGTCCCTGCCTGCGAAAGCTGACATAGCTTCCTCAATGAACTCGATACTTAGTTTGGGTGTCAAACTTGGGCACTCAATTCTTGGGACCAAGTCAAAACAATGACCATGGGCAAGCCCATTTGTATCATTTGTAGGTTCATTTGGGTATGGATCAATACCTATTAATACCATTTTTAGTGGGATGAACGTCCATTTACCAGCTATTTTGATGTTCACCAGGGGTACAAGGTTTTGACACACTGCCATTTGGCTCTCAGGTTTTAGCGATTTTAGCGCTTCTTTCTTCTATTTGCTTTCCATAGTTTTCCCAGGCGGAGATGATGTCCCCAATCTATACCCTCTGGTAATCAAACATCGCAATGGCCAATTCCCCAAAAAAAGTACGATGTTTTCCAAACAATGCAACCTTCATCTATCAGGAATTTTCAGTCATGACACATATGACACACTTGATAACCAGGTTGGGTAGCGATATTTTCTTCGGACACAAAAACCCCAGGAAGAAAAGGCACTGCGGAGTGCCGGAGCGGAACTGTCTGAGCCTTTTGCGATTGACTGGACGAAAGCCAGGAGCGGTGGCGGAGGTCCAACTAACCTTGGTGACACCCAACAAGGACGGTAGAAAAGTACATCATAGCTATTTTTAATAGGATTCCCATAGGATCCATGTATGGTATATATACTAACATTGGGGGTATATTGATGGTAAATGTTACCATCTATAGCATACATGGATCCTATGGGATTCTTTTTTTAAACCTACACATGAAAGCAAACATATATTTCTCTACAGAATTGACAAGTGATGCTGAAGCAGAATCGGAAATTTGACAAGTGAGGGACATTTCCCATTTATTTTGGGGGGGATTTGACCAATTTTGACCATCTGACACATCAAAAGTATGCTGGTGAAACAGCGATTTTTTCACACCAAAGAGGTGATTGGGTCATGCACTGGAAACATGACCCGATATTCGTGCTGGGATTTGGATGTTGAGTCTTTTGTTTGTCAATTTAAAAGCATTGCCAAAGGACCAATCAACATTAGTGCATCAACTATTAGTGACTATATAGTAGTTTTTTTTTTTTCAAAACTTATTGTCAAACCCGAGAAAGTTGCTTTTTTTGTTTGTGCAGATGTTTTCTGGATGTTTCTAGTAGTCGCAGGCCAGTGATTCTTGGGCATTTGTCCCGAATTTGCGTTGTGAATTCATGGGAATTGTTCACCTGCGTGACTTGGGTGTGCCAGCATCTTGAATCCCAAGCTGTCAGCACTACGTTTTACTCAACATGTTACCCTCTGGTAATGAAACAATATGAAACATGGCTTCCCGGAGAATCCACCAATAGTTCCAAGTCTTTCTACAAAAACATCCATGTCTAATCTTTTCAAAGTAGATTTTTCCCAATGTTTCCCGTTGATTTTCCCATATGTTCGGATGTTCGTACAGGGATTTCCGAAGCGAACAATCGTTCCGAAGGCCCGAAAACTGGAAATTTGAATCCTCCACTGGTCCTGGCAGCTACTTCTTCAAGCACCTTGGCGATGCAATGATTTCGCGGCCTTTTTTAGCTCATGACTTTGATTTGTGGAGCCAAGAAAAGTTCTTTTTGCAAAGTGTAAATCTATAGATTAGTATTTTTTCTATGACTTATGTCATATGTAAGACTAGATAAGAGGATAAGACTCGTCAATGGTCGTTTTTTTTTTTTGTTGTGTCATGTTATAAATATATATATATATTTATTCATATCGATGTGCTGCGTTCCTGGCTTGGAAGGCCACCCAGCAGCCTGACATCTGTGGATAGCTGTGGATACCTGCGACCTGGTCCGAGGTTTGAACCCGAGATTGATGATGTGAAAGGACCCATCTCTGACGGTGAAAAGAAACTGAAGTCGACCCTTGGACAGAAAAAAGTCTGTGGTTAAAAACCGCTGACTTTTCTCCGAAAAATATGGAACAATATGTTTCACTGTTACAGCACTCGTTTTTGGAGTTAGAGGTAGTTCGATCATGTTACCATGTTTGAAAGGTCTCCCATCCTGGTCTGCACCATCTCTGAACTGCACCATCCTGGTGGCCCGGTTTCCCGACCGGACGCCATCACCAAGGCGTCCGGAAAATTACGAGGGCATGATGTACCAGACGAGCATGAAGGACGAAATTTCGACCCGGACCTTGTGTGCCATGGTCAAGTTAATTGGATTATATATATATAATTAGAGAGCTGGCCGCTGTGGGAGTGCACTTTTTTCCATGCAGTCATTACATTAATCATTATATTAGTCATTATATTAGTCATTATATTAGTCATTATATTAGTCATTATATAAGTCATTATTTTTATCATTATATGAATCATTATATTTATGATTATATGAATCATTAAATTAATCATTAAATGAATCATTAAATGAATCATCATTATATCAGTTATTAAATAATTCATTATATTAATCATTTTATTAATCATTATATTAGTAATTATATATATCATTATATTAATCACTATATTAGTCAATAAATTATCAAGTATATCAGCCATTACAAAAATCATTATATTAATCATTATCTTTGTCATTATAAAAGTCATTATAAAAGTCATTAAATGAATCATGAAATGAATCATTATATCTATCATTATATGAATCATTATATTAATCATTATATTAATTATATTAGTCATTGCATTAGGCATTATATGAACCATTACATTAATCATTATATGAATCATGATAATAATGATGATATTAATCATTAAAATCTTCATTTAAATAATTATTAAATTAATCATTAAATTAATCATTATAATAATCATGATGTTGATCATTTTATGAATCATTATATTGATCATTTTATTAGTCATTATATGATGGTTCAATCATTATATTAATTAATATATTAATCATTAAATCAATCATTATACTAATCACTATAACATTCATTATATTAGCCATTGCATTTATCATTATATTAGTTATTAAATGAATCATTATATTAATCATTTTATTAATCATTTTATTAATCATTACATTACTCATTATATATAAATTCATTAAATTAGTCAGTATTTTGCTCATGATATTAATCATTGTATTCATCATAATAGTAATCATTATATTAATCATTCTTTAAATATAATCATGATACTAGTCATTATAAAAGTCATTACATGAATCATGCAATGAATAATTCTATCTATCATTAAATGAATCATTATATTAATCATTATATTTATCATTCTATGAATCATGATATTAATCATTATGTTAGTCAATGAATGAATTATTATTTCAGCCATTACATAAATCATTACATTAATCATTTTGTTAATCATTATATTAGTCATTATAAACATCATTAAATGAATCATGAAATGAATCATTATATTTATCATTATATGAATCATTATATTATATTAGTCATTGCATTAGGCATTATATGAACCATTACATTAATCATTATATGAATCATGATAATAATCATGATATTAATCATTAAACTCTTCATTTTAATAATCAGTAAATTAATCATTTTATTAATCATTATAATAATCATGATGTTGATCATTTTATGAATCATTATATTGATCATTATATTAATCATTATATTAGTCATTATATTCATGAAAAAAAGTCATTACATTAATCATTATATTAATCACTTTATTAGTCATTATATAAGTCATTAAATGAATTTTGGTTTTTCCATGGTTTTTTTTGCAGTTTGGCCTGGGGGGCGCAGGTGTGCAAATTGTAGAGACGCGCATTTTTTTGAGAGGTACTGTGATGAAAGCATCTTCACATGAAAAACATTCAAAACAACAATGGAAAAAACACAAAAAAAAGTTCAGACCCATGGGCAAGGTCTGGGGAGAGGCCTGGCAGGGGACATGGGTCTGAACTTTTTTCTTTTTTTTTGTTTTTTTGGTTTTTCCATGGTTTTTTGCAGTTTGGCCAAAACCTCAAGAACACAAAAAAAAAAAATCAGACCCATGGGCAAGGTCTGGGCTATCCACACACAAACCAAAAAACCAAAAAACCAAAAAAACAAAAAACCAAAAAACCAAAAAACCAAAAAAAACAAAAAAACCAAAAAGACAAGACCCAACACTCTGCATCTGACCCCCTCCCCTTGGGGTGTGTAATCTTGTTTTTTTTGTTTTTTTGGTTTTTTGGTTTCTTGGTTTTTTGGTTTTTTGGTTTGTGTGTGGATAGCACAGGCCTTGCCCATGGGTCTGAACTTTTTTTTTTTTTGTTCTCGAGGTTTTGGCCAAACTGCAAAAAACCATGGAAAAACCAAAAAACCAAAAAACCAAGAAACCAAAAAACCAAAAAACCAAAAAACCAAAAAAAACAAAAAAACCAAGATTGCACACCCCAAGGGGAGGGGGTCAGATGCAGAGTGTTGGGTCTTGTCTTTTTGTTTTTTTTGTTTTTTTTGGTTTTTTGTTTTTTTGGTTTTTTGGTTTTTTGGTTTTTTGGTTTTTTGGTTTTTTGGTGTTTTGGTTTTTTGGTTTTTTGGTTTCTTGGTTTTTTGGTTTTTTGGTTTGGATAGCCATTGCAGATGTGCCAAGCAGAGATTGCCAGGCACTGTCAGTGGTTGCACTAGAAGCAAGAGGAATGGAATTCAATTTTGTCCGGTTGCGCCATATGCTGTTGGATCTTTGCACAGGAAATGCTGCAATTGGCGCACTCCCACAGTGGCCTGTTCTGGATAATTATATATATATATTATATCTATAAAACTGGGGATGGTCATCAATCCATATTAGTTTGGAATAGGAGAACATATATTGCTTTTAATCCCTAGATAATGATGGTGGGATGACCAGGGGACCTTTTTTTTCTTCATCTTTTGACCATGGCACATGTAGGAATAGTTTTTCATGGAAGTTTCCAAGCTATGAAGTCTGAGATGCCAAACATGAACATGAATGGGTTTGGTGTTCATGGTTTCATTGCCATGTGTTTATTTTATTCTGTTGTGATTTGAAACTAGGAAGAGCGATTGGTGCCGTTAGCCATCTCCGATTATGAATGCCTAGCGTTGGTTACGTAGATCTCTATTTGGGTATGTCGGAAGATTGGATAGTCCATATCACCCCATGGCTTATCAGAAGCCACATTGAAATAGGGGTCTCCTCCATTTTGAGACACTTATACGCATGACATCCCCATAGTAACCCCATAGTATACCCAAGACCATGTGTATGTTATATATATATACATGTATACATGTATCCATAAAGTGGATGGCTTTATAATGCTTTATACAAATCCTCTTGGTAACTTGTCTGAGCCGGAAAAACACATGTTGATTGGTTTTTCTAGGGGGCTATCAACCTACCTCGTTTTTATCAACCAACCTGTATTTCATGGGATGGGATAGGTGTATAACTTTCGCTCAGGCTCAACTGCTGAGGAATAAGATTCGTGTTACCAGCCATATTTCGGTAGATGAACATCAGTACCAGCCATAAAATGATGCGAACAGGGTATCGTTTGGTTCTGATTATAGTATATAACCAAACTTGGGTTTTTTGGTCAAACTTGGGTACCACAACAAAAAAAGATGGTGTTTCCAGTCATCCTCAAATCTGTCACGGCAATGGCTTGATCCCCGTAGGACTGGCCATCGGATCAGCAAAGCTACAAATTGGTGAAGCGCACGGGTCCCTCGGACGGATACGGTATCGGTTGAGATCGGACTGATGGGGTGATTGGAACCAACAAATGATGGTTCTATTACCATACTAATTTAGTAACTATATCATATAAATGAATATGTATATATATATATCTGGTTGGTGGTTTAGAACATCTTTTATTTTTCCATTCAGTTGGGAATAATAATCCCAACTGACTAATATTTTTCAGAGGGCTTGAAACCACCAACCAGACATATTTTTATACACAAATGTAATATACTGTATCATATGTATACATGGCTATGGCTCAAAACCCTGGTAATTACCCGAGATTTACCCTATTTACTAGCTGTAGCATGCTGTAGCTGGTTACTGGATGGTTATTCCCCCACATATGGTAATAATAGGTTTTGACCCATCACCACATGTATATATAATTATGTACACATTCATATATATATATACATATATATATATATGTATGTATATATATATATATACATTTCAGTATCCATACAGGAAGGGGCACCCTAGATATCAGTTGGTTTATAACAACATCTAACCACATATATCCACTGGAAACATCTATAAACTCAACAGTTCACCACGTGAACTTTGCGTCAACTTGGCTAAGTGACGACCTGGTGCCCCGTGGAGAGAGAGTACCGGTACTACCAACGGATTACACAAAGACGACCGCTTTTTTGGACTGCAAATGATCGTTTGATTCATGGTTGACCAAACAACGAACATATTCCAGAATGCATATATATATATATACATCGTATATATATATCGATGTATACTGTATATATATATATATATGTACAACAACAAACATCTTGGAATATGTGTCTATGTATTGATATATACATATTGATATATACATACTGATGTATACATATTGATGTATACATATTGATGTATACATATATTGATATATACATATATTTATGTATACATACATACATACATACATACATACATATAGTGATATGTATATATATATATACACATACATATATATGTATATATATATGCACATATATATGTATAAATATATATATGTACATATATATATATATGTACATATATATACATATATATATTGAAATACATATATCGATATACATATATACATATTGATACATATATATACATATTGATATATATATATACATATATATATACATATTGATATATATATATATATACATATTGATATATATATATATATACATATTGATATATATATATATACATACACATATTGATATATATATATACACATACACACATATCTTCATGGGTTCTGTGCACTGTTTGTTGTTTGATAATGTTTGCGCATGAAGTTGATTGTAGTTGTATTTGCATAGAATGGTTCCAGTTTCATCAGCGCTAGGCACGACGCATTCTTGTAGGATCATACCACTTAGTAAGTGGCTAGCGACCCTAAGTAATAAGTCCCCTAACTTCCGTTATTCCCCTGAAATACTTTTTTTTTTCCCCACTTACTAACCAGTTAATAACTGGGGTCATCATCCAAATATGTCCACTGCATTCGAACATAGCCTCTATCTCCCAGCTGTCGATCACTTACCGGTAGTCAAACATGGGCTGGAAAAACGAAACCTATATTTATTTCTTTGTTGGATATACTAACCTATCAGTATTTAATATGGGCTATAAAACGTTAATTACCACCATTTTTCAACTCGATGATTTGGCGAACGAAACCTCCGTGCTGGGTTTTTTGGGAAAATCTCCATGGAAAACCTTCTGATCGTTGACGGGGACCGAATTTTAGAAACGATTTTCTGATACCCTCTGATTATTTAACATAGCCGTGGAAAATCACCATTTTTAATAGGTAAACCCAGGTAAAGCATCTATTTCTATGGGCCATTTTCCATGGCTATGTTAGTCATAACCAGAGGGTAGTTGATCATAGAAACCATGATGTTACATGGAGGTTTCCTAAGTCATGGGGGTATCCCTAAATCATCCATGTTATTTTCGGATTTTCCATTACCCCATTTTAGGAAACCTCCACATTTCTCATTCTTGCCGGCTCAATAAGCCACAAAACAGCAGCAGCTGGCTGTCGCTGTAAAAAACATTCTTCCGAGGTCCAATGGACCAATTGCCAGTTTTTTTTTCCGCCATTGAACAACATGTTTGAAAATTTTCTTCGATTTTCACTAAAATGACATGTCACCATGTCTGTTTTGACAGAAAAAATGATATCGGTGAGAGTTTTTCAAGATCCTGACAGGTAGTGGCTACAGCTTCACGGCAGGGCAATCTGAGAACTTCACGTATGTTCAGGCGCGATGGTGAAGCGAGGACATGGCAGGGCTGCACTTGAGCTTATCACATGTTCTGGGTTATCACATGCTATTAATGTTTTATTAGTGGTTATCACATATTACAACCTTATGGTTATCACATGTTATTTTTCAGTCTTCAGCCGTTGTTAATGGATGGAAACTCCGGAAATCCTAACGTGGGAACTACCCAACTATGATTTTCTATTGGTGAACTGCCAAGTAGCAACAATCAGCAAAATTTTCGCAACAATTAAGAATAAGGAGTTGGTGAACTATAACCCAACCATAAGCCAACCAGCAACAAAGATTATGGAGCCATGGGGAACAAAGATTGAGCCGATCTCAGACTAACACTGCGCTACCGCTGGAGATCAAATCATAGCAGATTCAAAATCTGTGTTTCTGGCAAGCAAAATGCGCAAAATGTCAGGCTGAATGCATACACATTCCATGTTTGTTTTTGCCTGTCACGAAATCATAGCCTTATACTTTTCACCCCGTCCAACCCAAGCACTGGATCCACGTTTGTACACATACTATATCTTTAGACACCAAAATGAACGGAGACTAAAGATTCAAATCCTAAGTTTGGGGTTCTTCACATGGACCAAGACTCGTTCACTATAGCGCACCATAATTATCAGGGGCCAATATTAGTTATAAAGTTATTAACCATCATTATTACTGGTTGGTGGTTTGGAACATGATTTTTATTTTTCCATATATTGGGAATGTCATGTCATCCCAACTGACTTTCACTCCATCATTTTTCAGAGAGGTAGGGCGAAAAACCACCAACCAGATCATCATTATCAAGCATTCTTGGAGCATATTGAGGTGGATTGTACACCTATCAACAAGATGGGATGGTCTTTTTTATCCATGACAAATTTGGATCTGTGCTGACCATGATGTTTGGAGAATTTTTGGATGCTCACATAGTTCCGTTAGAACTCATTTTCATTGGGATTGAAGCATTTACATACCCAATATGATAGGGATGTATAATTTATAAGTATTGATATAATCATTATTACAGGATAATGAGGATTTACATAATCATTACAATTTTATCAGCCTTTTACTTCCATATCCATTCCAGTAAGGTTTTTCCGATATATTCCATTTATAACATGTTCATATATATCCCATGACGGATCCATGGTGCTGGTATATATGCTAACATAAAGGGGGTATATTGATGGTATCCATGTTGCCAGAATATAGCAGCACCATGAATCCTATAGGGATTCCCGTCGTGAATTATGATCGTCGCGACTTTTTGTTGGCTAGCATAATCCCATATACCCTCTGGTAAACTAACATAACTATGGAAAATCACAATTTTTAATGGGAAAATCCACTATAAATGGTCATTTTCAATAGCTACGTTAAATTACCAGACAATCATCAAACAGCAGGCGTTTTGAACATTGATAAAATCTTGCCATTACATATGCTCTTTTGCTTATAATTCTCACTTGCAGGTTATGATATGCCTATTTTCATACAGCCATTACAAGGTGGTGCCCCAGTTTGTGAGCTAAAGTTGGTGAGCATCACTGGGGCACCACCTTGTAGCCCCCAAATCCAACTCTAAAGTTGATCATCATGTTCCTGAAAAAAACAATATATCTATATGATATATCTGGACACTTATATATATATATATCCCTATATGTTGTACGAAAAACACACTTTTCAGGATCTCCCCCTTGGTAATGCCCATTTTTCTGGCCAAAAACCCAACGGCCAGGCGAAATATCAGGCGCTGGAGCGCTACGACCGAATATCTTTGGATCCAGATCCGTACCCTGGAGGGTTTTGTATAGGAACAATAGAGGAACATCATGGGAAATTCATTGGAACATGTGGGAAAATCATGGGAAAAGATGGGAAATTCATGGCAAAATCATGGGAACAATAGGGGAACACCATGGGAAAAGATTGGAAAATCACGGGAAAAGATAGAAAATACATGGGAAATTCATGGCAAAATCATGGGAACAATAGGGGAACACCATGGGAAATTCATTGGAAGATATGGGACAATCATGGGAAGGTCATGGAAAAAATATGGGAAGATCCACTATAAATGTAACTCAGAACATCATCTATTTCTAGCAAGCCTAGTAATCAGCCATGGAGCTGATTTCTGAAGGGTAAAGCCGGTAAAGCATATTCGACGGATGAATTAGGGATATTCAATATATGTGCACTTCCCATGATGGGACAATGACCGTAAACCCATAAACCATACAATGTTCTGAGCCTGGCCTAGTACATATGACACCATATATATATATATACATATGTATATATATATACACATACATATATATATATACATGTATATATTATTATATATATACATTATATATATATACACATATGCATGACATCTACATGTCATGCATGGATAATTGAGACAATCAACCATGTGTTTGGCGAAGTGATATCAACACCACGACGTCAGTAGAAATGATGGTACTACTATAGCAGGGGGACCCATCTGCCGGGTGGTCTGCCATGGCTATCCCCAGGATGATTCAACCATTGACTTTCTTTGGGGATGGGTAGAACCAACCAAAGGTGTGCCAAGTTTTGATGCCAATGATAACAGATGAAGTTTGGTGTTTCGATGTATTGCTATTTGCACCATACCAAAGAAAAGACGCTTTATATTTTCGTCATATTTTGTAATTTTTCAAGGGATTCCAATCTTGTCAATCTACATATATTCCACTCAAAACCATTGAGGGCAACTTTGGCAACGACAAACCTGGCTATGGTTTTTTAGGGAAGTTAGAAAAGTGGTGGAGTGATAAATGAGCAACAAATTATGCTATCCAGCCTCCTCCAAGTACTTTATCCAAAGCTTCACTTTGCGGCAGAGTTAGGTACACTGACAGCATGTCATTTCGCCGGCAACGTCTTGGAAAGCCGTGTCATCCCGGCCGTGGACAAGGCGAGGGGATTTCCCAGCCACAGGCCACAAAAAAGGAGCTGGGGAAAAACATAATTCTCAGACCAAACGTGACAAAACCATGTTATGTGATGTTAAAAAAAAACATGGGGATTTCAACCAGAAATAGACAGTTTGAAGGATTTATAAGGATTTGAAGTAGCAGAAGTTTGAGCTTTACCAAACAGCAATTGGAGTATATTGAATATCGTATCTTATTTTAATCCCGAGTTCATTCGGAGTACGGTTGCCTATGTGTTTCACCTTTCGCAGCTCCAGGCATTTGCGATGTGCCTCACATCAAGATTATTGGAGAGATCCACCCCAACGAAGCTTGGTCATGATTAAACTGGTTGGTGGTTTCAAACATGAATTTTATTTGCCATAAGATATATGGGATAATCCTTCCCAACTGACTAATATTTTTCAACCAACCAGTTAAAAGATTGGAAAGGGCTAGCAAGTCGTCTCTAGCGGCTAAAGTGTTTACAGATGTGGTCGACACCCCACCATGTTTGGAGAAAAGTTCCTTTCGAAGGGCTTTCCCCATGGGTTTTTCACATGTGTTTGATTGTTTTTGGATGTTTGCCCCCAAGGGTAAGAGCTAGTCGAGATCAATCTTAAGTTCACTGGGCAATGGCGTCATGTTGAAAGTGAACGCACCGGTGTTCAGCCAGTTAACTGTAACCCAACCAACCATGGTTGATGGTTGTAGATAGATTGAAAACGCGAGTTATGAATATCACATATATATATATACTTGACCAATCTTAAGTTTGGTTCATAATTCGGATAATTAATCTTAACTATGGTTTATAAATGCTGATATACCTAATCAAAAAACTATATGGTTTATAAATTATAGATCAATCCACCATATACCCTCTGGTAAATTAACATAGACCCTGAAAATAACAAGTTTCTAGTGCAAAGTAATCTTCCAACCCTATCTGCCAGGGTCTATGTTAATTTACTGGAGGGTAAATCATGTATTCCCCACTTAAAGCCCGTCCTTCGTAACGCGTGGCGTGGCGAACTGTGCTTGAGCCGAGCAGGACATTATCCAGGGCAGCGTTGGGGACTGTCGCTGGGAGCGAATTGGTGTTTTTCAGACCATCAATTTTTGGGTACCCCAGTTCGCTCGCTGGATGGTTTCCATGGAAAATCCCCATCTAAAATGGAGAACTGGGGGTGCCCCGGTGACAAAACGGACACCATGACTGGAATGACTATGGGGTTCTCTGAAAAAGGGGTACCCTCTGGTAAACTATTTTACTAACAGTTTGCTAACTGGAAGATCACCATCTTTAGTAGGTAAACCAACCTTTTCTACGGGCCATGGCTTCTATAGCTCTGTTGAATTACCAGAGGAGATATCCCCAAATAGCCAGTTATTATCCGGGATAACGATGATTCACCCATGGATTTAGGATGGTTGTGAACTCCTGCGCCACTTGGTAGATGATAAACATCCCCATTATACTCTCCTACTATTTACCATGTTTCATAGTTCCCTTTATTAAATAGGTTCTAACGCAGGATTTCGCAACCATCCACCGCATGACATGTTTTCTTTTTTAAATCTCCATGTTGATGAGTCCTCTCACGCAAAAAAAGAGACCAGTAAAACATGTTCAATCATATTGAATCATATTCATATCCCTCTCTCTCTCTATATATATATATGTAGACATGGACATTTATCTTATGATCTGTCATAAACAATCATCATTGCAATTCATTATATACCAGTCATGTATCTTTATTCCATTGATGTAATGATTATAACTGTTTGGTGCTTTGGAACATTTTTTATTTTTCCATATATTGTGAATGTCATCATCCCAACTGACTTACTCCATCATTTTTCAGAGGGGTAGGTATACCACCAACCAGTTATAATGAAGCACTGATATTCCATATCACTTAAACCTTTCATTCATAGAATTGGATGATGGGAAAATTTACAGGAAAGCCCTATATTTGATGGTAAAAACCATGGTTTCCTGTAAATTTTCCCTTAAACCAAGCCAGTGATTCATCCTATTTCGGCGTGCGATCTCCTGGCCAGGTTGGCTTCTCTCGGCCATCAGTGCTTTGTCGGAGTTTGAGGGCGCCATCGCAACGCTCTTTCGGAACACGCGTTACGTCAAGGACCTGGACTGGTTGCCTTCTGGTAATTTGTTACGTAGCTATTGAAAATACCCCATAGAAATAGTTTTGATTTACCTATTCAAAATGGTGATTTTCTATAGTTTTTTGTATGTTTAGTAGAGGGTATCTCCAGAAACTGTAGTAGCTGATTGGGATACGATGAGGGTAAGCCCAATACGCTGACGCCCTAAACCGACGCTGATTTTGGCGATGGTTCCTGCCACCCATCTGATGATGTGGGGGTTTTTGACATCGGGTGCCACATTCATGGAATATAAGCCAACAATATTGACTATTGAGAAATTTCATGGGGATCTCTGATTGAACTACTGGAATATCATTGGGATAGAACCACTTTATGAGGATAGTTCAGCAACAATATTTGGGTGTATAACCTGTTTCTTTTTTGTAAGGATTTTTGATGGACATAATGTGGTTTATGCCCCATGAGATAAGTCACCATCCCATCAAATGAGGTTTATGACATTGGGCATTTCCTATGAAAACAAAAACTGGGATGATGTCTATTCTGACCCCCAGTCATGGCTAATGCGGCTAATGGACTATGACTATGTCTTTTTTTTATGTCACGATGTTCGCCTGGGTTGGATATCTCCACAGGCTGGTGCCCCAGTTCGGAATCGCGTGAAAAGTTGGTGCCAATATAAGTCCAATGTCACGATGGTGGTTGTTGCTGATGTATCGAACTAGTTATATAATGGGATTATAACATATTATAGGTGATGTATCTATAGTTAATGGATGTTAATGGGATTATAAGCCATTTATAACTGGGGGGGGCAGCACCTTGAAAGGGTTCTAGGCCCTCTAGGCTTCTGCTGAAAACCAGTTCTGGCACGAAATCTGCTTCTTCGGCCAGGATCTGCCGAAGAATTCGCCGCAGAAGTATACCATCACTTTGTATGACATGAAGACATGGCAGCCTGTGGATATTGAGGCGCCAAAAGAAGCCACAATCCAAAAGGTTTTTTGTTTTTTGGAGCCAAATAGAACAAACAACTGGTTGTTATGCTGACTCAATATATCTCACACATATTACATATTACATATTACATATCACATATTATATACATATTACATATATATATATATTATACCATAGAATCTGTCGTATATTGATGTCCATCGTCTTAGGCGGACTTTACTTTCCGGTCTTTTTTGGGGTGTACTTGTCATAACCCCTCTGGGAGTTGAACCTGAAAATGGGGGTACCCAATAGCTGGATAGTTTATAAGGGAAAATCCAAACATCACATGGATGATAACTGGGGGTACCCCATGACTTAGGAAACGTACGTCTCTTGCGTAAATGCCTAAAAATCATGTCGACACTAAAGCGAAACAAAATCCCATGTTTGGGATTGAACATGGACATTCAGAATGACCAGCATCGATGGCAGAGATCTGACAAATGGTTTTGGTATGCTTTGGTAGCATGGGGTGTATCGTCTTGTGGATGGTTCGGGGAGTTTCTAGAGATGTTTCTACAGTTTCCAACACAATTGATTTTCCACGGAAGAACAATAGCATATTTGTGAGAACATTTGTTGGAGAGGGGAAAAGAACATGGCATATGGATGCATATGGAGGTTTCCGTTTTGTCATGGGAGTACCCCCAGTTCTCATCCATTTTAGATGGGGATTTTCCATGAAAGAAACCATCCAGCGAGCTCGGGGGGTACCCCCATTGATGGACCCATACATGAATCATTCAGATCACTTGTTTAGAAGGTGTAAGAGGTGGACCAGGGGGTTGATTACAAATGCTACATTATGTGCAGATGTGTATACATATATATATATATATAATTATATATATATATGACATATGCATATATATATAATTATATTAATTATTAAATATAATATATATATATATAATTATATACATTATACACATATACATATGCGTATGTACATATGTATGTTTATGTATGTCTTGTAGTTCAATAGATAGAGGTCGTTTTTCTTTTTTTTCGTATGCACTCTGAGCCGTGGAGCGTCGTGGAGCCGGGAGGTGGACGAACGTTTATGCATGAAACCGGATGGCAGCGATCTCCTGGGCTGTCATCCCAGCTATGATGGTGAACTCTGGGCCTGCTACGTGACCTGGTTGACCTGGTTGCGGGTTGCGGGTTAGATATGACCCTAGGGAAACACATAGAAAAAGATGTGGAAAAGCCATGAAAAGCCACGAAAAGCCATGATTTCCCGAGGAAGATCGTCTACAAATGGTTGATGTTCCATGATTTTCATTGATTTTCCACATCGTTAGTTTGCCCTGGGGTACTGGATGGTGTCCTACAAAAGCTTCACAGCATCATCATTGGTTGGCAAGGTTTTGTGAGATACCAGACGTCTTCAAATTCTTCAAAAAGGTCTCAAACTTGTAAAAACACGTTGAACCTCATTTCGAGGATTTTTGTCAACTGTTTTTGTTGTTTCTTTTCTTTTCATAAATCACAAACATGACTTTTCACGTAGAGATAGCCGCCTTTTTGCTCAATGATGGCGACACCTGGCCATAGGTGGAGAAGGCGGTGGCCATCCATTCTGGAGGATGGGATGAGATCGATGGTGGTCAATGCAACCTGCCCTTCAGGGCGTAACCACCGGGATGGCCACGGGAAAAAATGGTGATTTAACGGACCTTTCATGGGGTGTAAGGGTGATTTAACGGACCTTTCATGGGATTTAATGGTGATTTAACGGACCTTTCATGGGATTTAATGGTGATTTAACGGACCTTTCATGGGATTTCAGGGTGATTTAACGGACCTTTCATGGGATTTAAGGGTGATTTAACGGACCTTTCATGGGATTTCAGGGTGATTTAACGGACCTTTCATGGGATTTCAGGATGATATAACGGACCATTCATGGGATTTAATGGTGATTTAACGGACCTTTCATGGGATTTCAGGGTGATTTAACGGACCTTTCATGGGATTTCAGGGTGATTTAACGGACCTTTCATGGGATTTCAGGGTGATTTAACGGACCTTTCATGGGATTTCAGGATGATTTAACGGACCATTCATGGGATTTAATGGTGATTTAACGGACCTTTCATGGGGTTTAAGGGTGATTTAACGGACCTTTCATGGGATTTCAGGATGATTTAACGGACCATTCATGGGATTTAATGGTGATTTAACGGACCTTTCATGGGGTTTAAGGGTGATTTAACGGACCTTTCATGGGATTTCAGGGTGATTTAACGGACCTTTCATGGGATTTAAGGGTGATTTAACGGACCTTTCATGGGATTTAAGGGTGATGTAATGGGATATAATCAATGCAATGGGATATATCGATATAACCGATGGGATAATAAAGGGAATACAGTAATCATTTGCATATATCCCGTCAATATCATATTACATAGAGGAATATCTCAATCATATTGGGATAATGTGTAATGGGAATATTGCTCGAATATGATTGTATATCACGATCCCATTACCACTGGGATGCGAAAAACATGGGGCCGCCTAGATCGATTTCTCGCGAGTTGTTGACGCACAGTTCCCTTGGTGAACTGCTGGGTTTATGAAGGGGGGATGAACATATACCCTCACATAGCTATTGAAAATGGCCATTTATAGTGGATTTTCCCATAAAAAATGGTGATTTTCCATAGTTATGTTAGTTTACCAGAGGGCAACAGTTTGCGAAGTGGAAAATCACCATCGGAAAAAGTTCGGTAAATCAACGATTTCTATGGACCATGGCTTCGCGAACTGTCATTACCAGAGGGTGTAGTTAGTGCGTGGGCTTCACCCTGGCAACATATAGCTGGGTCTCAGCTCACCGTAGCCAGAGGATCAAACACATCTTACACTCTGGTAAACATACAAAAAACGATGGAAAATCAGCATGTTTAATGGGTAAACCAACTATAAATTGTGATTTTCCATAGTTTTTTGTATGTTTACCAGAGGGTAGATGTCAGATTGAGATGTCTTGATTTCAGTCTTCCAGCCATTTTTGTTGCTGGTTTTAATTGGAGGGCTATTTTTTTTGGGATTTTTTTCCCGTTTTTTTTTGGGTTTTTTTTCCCGTTTTCTGGTGGAAGGAAGGTGCG